CAATAACTATTTCCATTGGGCCCAATGGCCACGATCATTGACTATGACATGGCAGAGCTACACTGGGAGGGAGGCTTTGCAACCTAAAAGCACCTAAAGCACCTGAAGCAGCCAAAGTAGCAAAGGTTTCTTGGTACACCTACCGGTCCCAAAAATTTCAAAAAAAATATGCAAAAAAAAAGCCAAAAAGCCAAAATGGAAACCCTCCGCAACTTCAAAGGACCCACGATATCAAACCAAGGCCACCTTAGATACCGTGCCCAGCAATTACTTGCATCGGTTGCACTGCAGCGGCAGCATCTCGGCTGCGATGCCGTCCTGGATTGCGATCTCTGTACCATGTGATATATCAGTATCTCCAGGCTCTCCTCTCAGTGCCTGCGTAGCAAACCGCCATCGCTTGCACACTGTGCTACACTGCACTGCACATCACTGCACAGCATTCCGCAGCAATGATTCCCGTCCCGGGCCCGTCAGGTGCCATGCACGCGTTCCCGAGAGTTGACTACGGCACCGTGTCTAGGAGTTCTAGAGGTGGGAGCATATACGTGGGCATTTATATGGGCGTAGGCAGACTCCTCTGGGCGACGAATAGTCAAACTGTTTGGAAGCCGCTGGGTTCGGTTTCTGCTTTGATAAAAGCCAATACCAACATCAACGCCATAGCCCATTGTCATAGCCATGATAAGCCGTCAACTCGAGCCCCCTGAGTCAATGGCTTCCCGCGCCATGATCATTCCGGTGCATAGCACAGCACAAAATCGAGAGCTGCTATGCCAATGCTAGCATGATTTCTCACATTGGGTGCCTCGCTGCCTCCAAGGGGATATCCCGAAGCCAGAGATTGGAGCAAAATGTCCGCCGCGGTTTCGAGAAAGAACGGAGACCAGTCCGCCAGGGACGGAGCGAGAGGCAGGGGCGGTGCAGCCAAGGGCAGCCAGGCGCTTGTTGGACTGACTGCGTCCGTAATATGCGGATGTCTCAGATGGGCGACGAGCAGACCAGACCCTTGACGGCGCTTGATTTCCCTGCTCATTCCATCGGTAATAGTGGTTTCCTGTTGGTGAACGCCTGAGAATCGTCGCGGTGGTGTCAGGCCAGCAGGGGCGGTCGAGTGCCATTGCCCATGGTTATCAACCCTCCAGAAGCAGGCCAAGAATACCTACGTACCTCCCTCCGTACGAGTACTTCGTACCGCACTACACAGGACCGGACAGGACTGGACTGAATGACTGACATTGTCAGACTGTACAAACATTCCTCGTACGTTGGCACAAGGTTGCCATGCACGCTCGAGCCATCCCCTCCGGGATCAGCAGCGCCATGCCGCATCCTCGCCGGCGGAAGTCGTCGGGAGCTTGTGGAGCTTCCGTGGAGTTGTGGAGGAGGTCTTGGAGTCTTGGTGTTTTGGCGTCGAGAAAGCCTTGGAGCCCTGGCGCCCTGCAAACCACTGCTGCAACCTCAGGCCGCCATGTGCAGTCCTCGCCAACCTGACGAGCATGACATGATGGCACAGACGAACCCCTCTCTACAAACTCACGAACTATTTTGGCCGCATTGTACACAGTCGTACAACGTCAATAGCTTCATGCCAACCCCGATCTGGAAGCTGCCTATTCTGCCGGCGTCGGTGCCCATTGTCTCGGGAATCCCGCCAGGGGTGAAATCACTAAGTTTGAGAGAACCCCCGGTGTCTAAATCGAAACACCGTGCAAAAGTACGATGGCGAGATACAGATCTGCTTCCCAGCCGGCCATTTTACCTGTTTGTATACATTGTGTTCATCGTAAGCTGCGGCGCACCACACGGCTATCTGCAGAGATAGCCTTACACTACATTGTTTCTTTTCAACCGCCAACCATCTCCTCTTTCTCCCCCATCCTAGCACTTCGCGCTGACGAACCATCCAACATAGCTGGCTTGATTGCCTCGCCCTGCATAATCATGCCTCGTCGAAACACAACTGCAATCGCGGAACTATATATGCGGGGCCCTTGATATTGGTTCGCCCACAATATCCTCCGTAAGAGTCGACGATACCCTGTAGCTTCGCGGCCGTCATTCTCTTCTGATATTGGTATATGCGCCTTGCTCCCTAATGTGGCTTCCCGCCTGTCACCCTCCTTAATGGCTGGACTACGAGGCGTCAGGTGAACACGCCGAGCAGGACTTTGGAGACAGAAGCAGAGTGAGGTGTCATTGTGTTGGGCAGACGCACATACCGAGTCTGGACTTGGGCTTGAAGTTCAAGCGCCCTGCCAGTTGCCAGATGACAGGAGATATGGTATAATTGCATGTTATTGGGGGTATATTTGCTTCTGTTGTCGTGTTAAATCCGGATGGAAGGAAACGGCGCCGGTTCCAAGATGCTGGTCAGTTCTTCCCCGAGGTGGGTGCAGTAGGCTCGGTCCATTGAGCCGTTTTGGCTACTGGCGGAGCAATGCCATGTTGTGTTGCAGCCACGCCTTAGCGTCTCGGGCACTAGCTGTCCCTTCTTTGTCCTCTCAAGCCACTGCGGATCCTAAGGATTCGAAATCCTAGTGATAGTTAACTGCAACGGCATTTACCCAGGTCATAGCCAAAGTTACTGGCAGTGCCATGACAAGCCACTAGCATCCTAGATGACTAGTGAATTCTGCCAACAGCCCTAGATCTACATATCAGCTTTGATCTAGCTCCAGACTTACCTCTAATGCTCCCACCCCTGGGGAAGCTGAAGTCTGATGAGTGAGTAACGCAAATGATGGATTCAGACTTATAGTAGTCAACGAACGTACAGCGACTTCCTTGTCGCCACCTTAATAGTAAATACTAGTTGGTGCTTACGGGTCCCCCAGCCCCGATTTTCTGGATTTTTTCCGTTCTTCCTACCCTTCTAACCTCATTCCTAGCAATTGTCAGTTGTTGCCTGGAAGTTAATCACCCAGTCCCTACACCCACGAAGAGCGGGCTTAACGTTTGGCTAATGAACTGTGGATCGTCGGAGAATTCGATCTAGCATGGGACGGCCTGGTGGTCGTTACATTGCCCGATTCTCGTCTTATCAACAACAATACGAGATGGCTAACGCCACTTGTGTATAGATTGATGACTAGATGTGCCTCGTCACCATTTTGGCTCGCGTATGCAAGCAATTGTTCATCCGACTCGATTCTGTTCTTGGACAAGAGTTTTTCAATTTTCTGTGGCTCGCTCGATTTAGATAGCCTTCATACTCCTCTTTGCATCTGGATCCACTTATATCCGAAATTATTTTAACTTCCTAGATCAGACATCCTTGCTTTTGATCTGTTGCCAGATTCGGCAATGTTTTCCTTGGGGCGCTTTTGCTTCGGTAGGGAGGGCGATCGTTATCTGACTTGGGAATTCCTGGATTCCCGTGGCTGCTGCATTTATGCCACCTCTCGGGACTTTGGAAACCGAGCCATGCGTATGCCATCAGTATGATGAAGTAATCTCCGGACTCTCCGGACATTCATAAAAACGGGTTGATCCCCCCAAGGGAACCAAGGATCAGGGAAGTAAGGTCTTTGTTCCTGCATAGAATAGCTAAGTGCTGTTGCTAGATCCTCGATGGAAGGATTTCGAATAGGCTCCAGCCAGGCTATGAATGAACTTTATTTTTGTTGTTTCTCACGTCCGGATAATACACTTCCCGAGCGGAAAGCACAATTCGAGTCAGTAGTTATTCAAACTCTAGGATCTTAGCAATTTTACCCTCCGCAAGACACATGCCAAGAAACCTCATTCGCACTCTATATGGAGGTTCCCCTCTTTCTGTGAAAGGTAAATGTGCCATAACCCTTCGTGAGTGACTTCCTTTTGGGGAAATTAATGCAGTTAAATCAGTCAATAAACTTTAATGTGCAGAATACTGTTCCCGCCCCCCTCTTTTCACCAGCTGATTGATTACTCCTTTTGACTCCCATCAGGTATTTTCAGTAAAAAGCAGCTATGATATAAATGTTACATTTTTCTAAATATTACTATAACCAGTATCTATTGTTTAGCTCTTAAATAACTTCTCTTGGTTTAACGTACAGTTCTCCAAAGTAGTCTTGAGTCCCTCGAACTGTCTAGCAGCCATCATAGATGGATTTACTTGCTAGTAATAGGATTTCTGGCATTTTCATTTCCCTTTTCGTGTAGATAGAAAATGAGTGAAATACTTTGCTGATGTAGGAGGCGGCAAGGGATTTATTCAGTTTACTAAGTCCGTGTATAGTTGTACGAATAGAACTAACCTACTTAACTCCTTCCATTGCCCTATTTACTTATCTTTCTCGCTATATTCGTAGAAGACTCACTAAGAAAATATCATCCCGACATCTTGATTGTTGTTTTAGCCTCCTTGACAAGGGGTCTTTCTACCTAGAAGGTAGAATGAAAGACGGAATGTCAAAGGAAGGAGGTAAAAAACGTCGTGAGAACTCGATTATAGAGAAATTAATTTTGTTATGTTGGTTGTTAGAAAGACCAGACGGCAAGTAGGGGTGGGGGAGGGGAATAAATTGGGCACTAGTTATAGGCGGATTATATGATTATATGGGTAGAGCATGGCATATATTTACCGCTGTTAGAAACCTGCTTTGTACCTGACATACATACTCTTATCTTCATAGCTAATATCCGCACATTGGAAGAAAGCAGGGCATGCGGAGGAACATCTAAGTTCAGGATTGAAAGGGGGTGGGAAGAAGGGCCGCTCGTCGCGAGAGGAAGTTGGGTTTGAATGTTCACGGACGCATTATAATGATCCACTGTGCCTATTCTAGAGGCCTCTTGGAAAGTAGAAGGTCGACATAAATATAGGTTTATTCCACGTTGGCATACATATGCCTAATGTCAAACTTGCAGCCGTCATTGCTATACAAGAGTCTGATAGCCAGAGCCACAGACATAGCTTCGATTCACACCTGCCAAAGCGACGTGATCTGGATTGCACTGGCAGTCTGGCGAGGTTCTCCTTACACCATTATACCCCAATGGTATCGTCGGAGTCAATCCCAAGCCGCAGCACCAGTCGCAGCTCTCACATCCTCAACATGGGTGTAAGCACTCGGCACCCTCCAGTGCACCTCCCCCAACGCATCACTTTCAGCCTTTACCGCGTCTAACCCGCTCCTCTTGGCCCTCTCTTCTGGCCCATCACCCGTCCAGAGCCCATTATAGAGCGAGATATCATCCTTCTCAACATATACCCATTGTTTTCTCAACTTTACACCATCCCTCTTCCCTGTCCACCAAGCGAGCATGGCTTCGGTGGCAAGTACCTGCTTAGCACACTTGACGAAGTCGATGACGTCGCCAAGTTTGCTTTCCTCATCAATAAACACGCCGGAATAGATGCGTAATGTGTTCAAGCGAACCCACTGACTGTCCCATTCAATACCATGGTCTCCTACATCTTCGCCATTCCAGCGTAGGGCATATAGCCAACTGGTGCACCCGCTCAAGTCAAGATACTCCAAGCTGGGGACCCGGCCTGCAAGTTTGCGGAGCACGTTTGCTGCTTCGCGAAAGTTGTTGTCGAGGGTGTGCGAGTAGTAGTCAGTACCCCCATATTGGATGTCTTTGGTGTATTTCGAGGATACTACAGTAGTTGTGGCATTGGGTGTGAAGGAGGGAACAGGCCAATAGGCGAGGGAGAGGTGGGTCACAGTTGGGATGTGTTTGGCCAGTGTAAGCAGTGCTGGCCAAGAGATGGATTTTGGTGGGTGCGAGAGGGAGAGATGGGTTAGATGAGGAATGGTGGGGCTAAGAGGGAGTGCGATGCTCTCCTCCCACGAAAGTTCGGACATTACTTCCTCGGTCAGCTGAACTGGCTTCTCCATAAGGTGGATGAGCTGCTTCAATGAAATCGAACGGCCGACTGAGCCGGAAAGATCCAGGCGATAGAGGCCCTCATTTCTTTCCCCATAATCAGCGACTTCATCTAGGGCCTCGGTTGGTATGAGCAGCAGGTTCTTCAATCCTTCGAAGCCAACACCTTCTTCTGGACCATGGACAGCAATGATACTCAGAAGCAGGATCCTCAACCCAGTGCGAAGATCCGCTAGGTTGTTTTTCTCGTATTCCTGGATGAAGTTCCAATGGTGAGCCATAGTTCTCAGGCACATAGCCTGAAGGCTCTTACTCGCACTCCCATCCTCGACTGGTACTCCAGGCAAGTGGTCCAACCCGGCAGGGTACAGTCGTTGATACGGCCGATTTACCAACGAACTCAGAGCATATTGCGATCGTTCGAGCCAACTACGGGGCGGTGCAGGCCCCGCAACGCGGTTGTTTCCACGGCCAGGAGCATATCCAGTGCGATGCCTCGCTCGAGGACCTGACGTCTCGGGTAAAGAAAGGAGATGTCGGATTTGTGGAGGTAGAGTTTGGGACGAAGGGGTCGTGGGGAGTAGGGACCGTGTCGAAACGGAGACTGGAGTCGATCGAGAAGAGGTGATCAGTTCATTTACACTTGGTGTGAGTGGCGCAGCGTTTTCTGGAAACTATGAGGTTAACATAAGCACCAGTTTGGAATCACTGAAAACAGCATTAGGTTGAGACATACGGCTGGACGAGCTGGATTGTGTTGCTGTCGATGTGGCGGCAGAGCCTAGTGATGGATGAGGCGTGCTTTGTGGCTTTATAAACGAATACTGGGCTGTTGATCGTTTCCTGGGCATTGAGAAGGAAGAGGCGAATAAGGTCGATGACGCCAAAATAGCGACAAGTTAAAAGTGCGCTGCGGGTTGAATTGTGAATGTCATGTCCTGTCGAGGAAATGGTGCGAGTAACTTCTATATAAATAGAGTAGCAGTTACACCAACTACGCCAAGCATGACTCAGACTAATCGACCTCCTTCGCTTAGTTCTCAAAGCTTATCCAAAAGAGAGTCTTGCGTTGCGACCGCTGGTAAACCGAGATCTTTATTATTTAACAATTTGTTTGAAGATTCAACAAGCAAAGTCTGGGAGGGTCTAGAAGAAGTGGCGTAAGGATAATGTTCCAGAGTAAAGTCCAGAGAACCAACCCGCCTCCAAGAAATCGACGGGTTTTTGGGCGAGCCAGTGACTTGCGCACGACGACATAGAGAATGTTTCCTGCGCCCTGCTCTCCCTGTTCTCTGTGCTGAGAAAGTGTATTCGAAGTTTGGATCAAATACGGTTCATTCTGACCTTCGCGGAAGCTATCGAGGTTGTGTTTCTTGGCACGGTGGGCCCGCGATACTCTGTCCACTTTGGTGGAGAGTTTGGACTGTGAATTCGGCCCTCAGATATGCCGTAACCTCTGTACGAAGGAGGTAGTAAAGTTCTACTCACTGGAGAGGACGGATTAGAGCCCAGCTGAAGTTAATATCTTCATGGGAGTATTCAAAGATCACGCATCCGAGGTGTACAGTGCCGGTATCCTTCAATGGGATGCCGTAGAAACGCTTCTACAGGAGCGTGGCGTGAACAAGCCAAAAACCTATGCCTCCAGTCTCTATCATAAACTAGCCGCGAATCCTGAGTCTGGATTTTTATCTTTCAAGAACATGAAGTACAGATGCCTTTGATCCAGAATCTTTACTCTTAAAACCATTCTAGTAGGGAGGCCATGACCTTCTTCCAGCTTGAAATCTTTCTCTCCCAGGAAGGCTATGAAAACAAACATCAATTCGATATCAAAGATCCCGGCATGTGATTTCGATCGATTGGAGCACGGCGTCTACCTCGCCTACTTTCAAGAGAAGTCTGGGAGCACATTCAAGGTAAGTATACCGGAAATTCTATATCTATAGTTGTCAAGCATGCCCCCGGAGAAGTTTGTAGTACAGTACCCAAAATCTTCGGCATACCTCCGCGAACGCACTCGCCGCGCCATGTTGCACAATATCTACAAGACATTTGCAAAGGGAGCAGAAGTATTATCTCCTGACAACTGGGTATAATCATGTCAAGGCGGCACCGGGAGCCGACTGTGAAGCAGAGAAAGCCCAGAGTTGAGCAGCCGTGGCCCTTGTGTGGGTCTGTGGTTGCTATGGAGCTTGATAGAGAATTTATGTCAATGAAGTTCCTGACAAGGCGGCGTCTTTCCTTGAAGTTTAAAGCCTGAGGAAGGAGAGGGCTAGACCTCTAAAGAGAAATGAAATCACCTAAGAACAAGCAGATGCTCTTCTATATATAGCAAATTTTTTTCTCTTTGATTTAAGACCATAGCAAGCAGTATCGACTTTTATTAAGCTAAGAGACAATTCAGACGACCCTGACAAGCAGGAACACAGAGTTAATTTTCAAACCAAAGCGTTTTCTTCTAGGTCAGAGCAGACAGAACCTTGCATATGTCGAAGCTTTACACACACCTAGCAACGAATAGCACTGGGCATCGAGGCTCAAGTCTGAGTAAGCGGTTTTCCGTCTTTTTGCTTCTGAAGGCCGTATTTCTTTAGTCGCAGAGCATTGATCTCAATAAACCCAGTAGAGTCCGCAGGGCTAAAGCCTTCAAGCGAGTCCATCGAGGCATCCTGTTCGTCGTAGAGGTTGCTAGCATCGCTTGAGCGGCCGAGCACATAGACCTAAGATGAATCAATGTTAGCGACAGCCTAATTCAATGGTTAGAAAGGCTGGGAGGCTATCTTACGCTGCCTTTGTATGCCATCATCCTGACTTCACCGGTGACGTTATGTTGAGAGAAGACGATACTGTTCTCCACGAACTCACGCTCAGGGCTGAAGTACATTCCATTGTACAATTGGCGTGACCAAGCCCGCGTGATAAATTGGTCGCGAAGGTCCCTGACCTGAGCGTCCATGACAAGGCCCTCTAGATCAAGATGCGCTAGGCGGCTGCGGCCAAGAGTTAGCGGATATGTCCAATCATACGGGAGCTCTCAACGAAGGGGAAGCTAAGTCTAGAAAGGGGGAAGCTGAGGATAAGTTACTTACGCAATTGTGAGCCCTGGCGTGTCGTAGCAACCTCGTGACTTGATGCCAACTAGTCGCGTCTCCACGATGTCGATGCGTCCCACTCCATTATCGTGACCAATCTTGTTAAGGAGCTTGAACAGCTCAACCGAGTCGGTGGTCGTCTGGCCACCAAGAACAACCTTGACTGGAATACCCTTGTCAAAGTGGATATTAAACTCGGTGGGAGCATCAGGGGCGTCGAGAGGATCGAGGGTCATCTTCCAGAGCTCCTTGGGCTGAGTGACAGTTAGTAAATGCCATGATATTAGCTCGAACCATCCGCAATTCCTCGCCAATTTTCAAGCCCGGGAGAGCCATCGCTTCAGAGTACATTGCCGGGGACAACCCCGAAATGAAGAAATGATCGAACGCGCTTACCGGTGTGTGATCAGGGTCTTCAAGGATACCGGCTTCGTATGAGCAGTGCACGAGATTTTCATCCATGGACCAAGGAGCCTTTGGTGACGACTCGACAGGGATATTGTTCTCAGTAGCAAACTTGAGGAGATCTTGTCGGCCATGGAACTGGTTGCAAAACTCCGGTAGCCGCCAAGGAGCGATGACTTGAATCGAGGGATTGAGAGCCTTGAAGGCGAGTTCGAAGCGCACTTGATCATTGCCCTTGCCTTTTAAACTATTAATAAAAGAATTAAAAAAAAAAAATTTATTAAGAAAAGTATCTATTACCAGTGCATCCGTGCGAGAGGAATTGACAGTTGTACTGCTCGGCGACCTGGACTTGGCCTCTCGCGATCACGGGGCGGGCTAGCGAGGTGCCCAGGAGGTAGCGATCTTCGAAGATAGCATTGCACTGAATGGCTGTAAACACGACCTGCTCGACAAAGACCTTCTGGAGATCTGCAATGATCATGCGCTCGGCGCCTAGCAGCAGAGCCTTCTTCTCAATTGCAGCGGCATCCACGGCGTCCGCCTGGCCAACGTCGGCAAGGTAGCAGACGACCGTGTATCCTTGGAGGACCAGCCATTTTAAGATTACAGATGTGTCGAGACCTCCGGAGTAGGCACTGAGGAATGATTAGCCATGACGAATTGCTTTATTATCAGCACTTGCGCTTACAGACAAACTCGACCTTTAGACATGGTGATGATTCGTGGTATTTGCAATTATAAATAGGGAAAACAAGTACCAGGTGAGTTTTGGCGAGACTTCTATGATGTCGTTGGGAAAAAAATTTGGCACAGATAAGACTCACACGCGATTATGTAAGCTACTTCACTAACTCACTGGATAAGCGAGTGGATCATCATAGGCCATATCACGTGCATACATCCCAAATAGGGACTAGCGCTGCTTGCAATTGCGGACCGTAATTCGCCAGGCTAGCTTATGCCGGGTCTACCCGCCCTACATTTATTTATTTCAAGACCACGCCTTCATTTTTCTGCTTCGCCGACTCCGTAGTATTCTAGTGAAATACACCTACCTACCTACCTAGGCAGGTATAGGTAGGTACCTTAGGTAGGTACTCGTAGCAACTTCACCCCTGCACACGTGATCTCCTGCCGCCTTGGCCAACCCCTTAAAAAGAAAGGAGAGGACTCCGAGGCAAGGAGATGCCACCGCTCGCGAGTGCTCAGTGCTCAGTGCTCACCCCCTAATTAGATTTACAATTGGGAGAAGTGCGGGATTATGGGCGAATTGAGTAAGCCGGTGTATACGAAGTAGAGACGTGAGAACGAGACAATGCTGAAGACGGCGTTTGGCCCGCCTGCTCCTAATTTGTTGAAGCACGAAGTTGTGTCCTCTGTATCTGAAAAGGCAAACTGCTTGTCTTGTAATAGCTCCTTGTAGTGCAGCTTAATAGGTAATTGCTTCTTCTTTCTTTATCTTTTTCTTTGGAATAACGTTCTGTCACGACTGGTATATTGGCAAATATTGATTTCGCATGTTTGAATCTTCGTTTTGGATACCGTTTGAGTTCCATCCACTGGACGCCCAACTCATATGCAAGCTGCAGTAGTGGGCTGGGGATAGCCGTTAGAAACACACGGCCAGAGTGTCGAACGTTTTGTGCCGTCTTTGAGAAATGCCGTCTTGATTTCAAATACCAGCTTAGGACGTGGAACTTGTTGAGTTATTCGAAGGAGAATCGACAACGAAGCCATGCGCAACAGGGGGGATATTCTGCGCTTTCTTTGCTATCTCTAGTTAACATGTATTTCCCTTGCATACTCCGAGATCTTTGAACCGCCCTTTCAAGTGTAGGATACCTTGGCTCTTCAGGGCACGACTCCTACAGACTTACATCGAGTAGAGGATGGCTGGCGATGATGCAAGTGTAACCGTGGTCCGAGTATAGTGCTTTGACCTTATAAATTCCCCCATTGTTGGGTCTATTTGCGATGGAGCTGACTTCCTCCTTGTCTTGGCAACTGTGGCGACGTGTTCTCTCCACCCAACGAGCCCTCTGTATCATACAACACGTATAATCAGAGTGCTGATCGCTACGGTTTAAGAGTAGTTTCTGACAGAGGTTGAATCTCTCACTTCTTGATCTGAATGCTCTGAATTTGTGGCTCTGGAGCAGGTTGCAGAATTGTCCATAAGAAAACACAGTAGTACTCGGCGGCAAGACACCAAATAGTAACAAAAGCTTCAAGCATACGGACAGGTGACCTTGCTAGCTGCATATACACCCTTCCGTCCATCTGCCAACTCGCCGGTACGCCTGTACGGCGGTAGGCTCGTACGCCCGTAGGCGCAGCATCCATCTCCACCACCCTGCCTACACGCACAATCAATTATTTTCTCTTTCCCATTTCCTTCTGCCCTCTTTCTTCATCCTAATCCTCATCCTCATCCTCATCTTAACCTCAACTCCATCCTCAACTCCATCCTCAACTCTATCCTCAACTCCATCCTCATCTCCATCCTGTCATCTTCATCAAGTGGCCATTCAAAAATAATAGGATTAGATGCCCGCCCATATTTCAACATCACACACCTTTCCTATCCCGGCAAACATGGACTCAAATTCAATCCAACCTCCACTCAGGGTAAGTCGTCCAAGCGCCTTTGGCCTGTCCGTTATCTAACCACGAGACACCTCTAGAGTTGGATCGACCGGAAGCTTGAGCGGGCTTCCCCAGTCAACTCCCCTGTTGCTTGGTTGCAAAACAGTCGGCGCAACCAAGTAACGGGGGGGTCTCCCCTCTTTGCTCGTTACACCAGAAGGGGGGACTGGGGAAGCCCGCCCCATCTGAATATTATACACTTTACTGTTCCGGCAAACAGTCCTTTGGATGGAATATACTTCCACCAAGTGTAAGTCATTTATCCAACTTAGATCTATACACTAGCTAAGTACGATGTGCCTGTAGGGGTGAATTGATTGGGATCCGGAGCGGGCTTGCCCAGACAACCCTTCTGTTTCTTGGCTGCAACCGTGTCGGCGCAGCCACCAAACGGGAGGGTCTCCCCTCTTTACTAGATACAACCAGAACAGGGACTGGGGAAGCCCGCCCCCATCTGAAGATTATACCGTTTACTGCTCCGGCAAACAGTCCCTTGGACGGGATCTACATCCCACCCAAGGTAAGTCATCCCCATACCTTTGTTATACCCACTAGCTAAGTACGATATGTCTCTAAAGCTGGATTGAGTAGGATGAGGAGTGGGATTCCCTAGTTGGCCCTCCTGTTGCTTGGCTCCGAACATGTCTGTTCAACCAGGTGACGGGGGGGGGGGTTCCTCCTCTTTACCAGATACAATAAGAGGAGGGACTAGTGAAGCCCGCCCCCTATTTAGACACAGCACGCTTTACTGTTCCGGCAAACAGGATCCAAAACGAAATTTGCGTTACGTTCCACCCAAAGTAAGTAATCCACAGACCTTCGTTATCCGCTAGCTAAGTACGATATGTCTCTAGAGGTGGATTAGGTACGATGAGGAGTGGGCTTCCCCAGTTTGCCCTCCTGTTGCTTGGCTCCGAACATATCTGTTCAGCCAGGTGACGGGGGGGTGCTCCCTCTTCACACGCAGAATGAACCACACAATAACAAGAGGGAGGACTGGGGAAACTCGCCGACCTGGTGATGAACAGACGGCTAAACAACAAAAAGCTAACTCTAGCGGGCAACTGCCTACCCACAGTTGTTAACGGTATGTCATTCCACACTCTTTACTGGCCTTTAGTAACGCCCCAATCCCTACTTACTATTTATCTACACAATATATCTAACCACAATATGCAGAACTTGGGCCAAGCCGGTGCATGTCCCTACGGGGGTGTGGGTTTCGAATACCATTAACACATACCCTTCGTCGATATCAACGACTTCGATAAATGCAAGCGGGAGAATGGATGTCTAGTGGTGACCAGGAAGAAGAAGGAGAAGACGAAGAAGAAGAAGTGGATGTGTCGGATATGAGGAGTGTGGGAGTTATATTTGCTATTGGTGTTTGGATATATTTAATGGGGTCAACTGTGGTATATACATTTGCGGGAGGCTGACGGAGAGTGCTTGTTGAGGATGGGAGTAAGGGCGGGCGGGTGGTGGTATTGTAGAGTATTCCGGCATATGGAGAACCTATTATGTAGTGATAGCAATCAGGTCTGGACCCTTCTTTTTCAAATAATGCCCCGAGTTGGTATTTTGTGTCATGTGTGATGTGGGAAGAAGCCTCTCGGCATTGGTCAGCGAGATGAGAGGCTAGTATGGCGCCGAGTAAAGCGCCCCGCATACCCTGAGAATAAGCCAATAGAAGTGTGGAGGTTCATCGAACACACATACCCACTACTTGTATATGTAGAGATATCACCATGGAACAATTGCAGGGTCTTAAATATCTCTTTTGCAAGAACTTAATATTATCTCCGACGATCACTTCCGAGCCTCTGTACATACCCTATCCAATCATCTCAGGTCCTTCGTCCTCAAACCACGCTTCCTTCACGTTCCTCGAACAACATCCCAGGGATTTGTTAACCCCGATTCTCGACGTCCCTCCAATAATCTAGCCATGCCAAAGGCAGAATCGAATACAGACATTAACCAAACACTATCCTCATTCTCTTCCACTTCATCTTCCTCCACTTGCAAGCCAAAAATAGCTGTTTTTACCATTAATTCCCATCCATCTATGTCGGATTCCATTTGAATCCCATCCATCTATGTCGGATTCCATTTGAATCCCATCCATGCAAATATATCCCGGTTCCATTGCAATCTCAATTGCATATCCTTCCATCGTCCAAGTATATTAACGCCGTAAATTAATTAAATGAGTGTGTGGGTATCTTTTTCATATCAGTGTGTATGCAGTAAGGCCGTAAAAGAGTGTATGGGTATCTTCCTTTCCATGTTTTCGTGGAGAGGTTCGGCCGTAAAAGGAGTGTCGTGTTTCGTCAAATATGCATACGCTGTCGGCCGTCTGTATGTGAAGGATTGTGGGTATCATGATGTATCTTTTATCCAAACCAAAACCAAAACCCCAAATAAAATCATGATACAGTGAACAAAAATATGTATCGAGAAATTCTAAAAGTTTGAAATCGGAAGACGGGAGGGGCTGGTAAGAGTGATTCCAATCAACGTTATAGGAAGAAGACTAGAGCGGAAATGATGAAGATGGAGGTGAGTAGGGTGAATGAGGACGATGGGGTGAAGTGTGGAGCGGCGCCTGTGACTTGGAGGGGTGGAGTTGTTGTTGATGCTGTGCCAGTAGTAGTTTTGTTGGCTGGTGGTGTCTCCACAGTGATCTGGCTGGAAGGAGACGGCGCCTGGATGGAAGGAGATGGCGTCTGGATGGAAGGAGAGAGGGTCGGATTAGTAGCTGGAGGGGTAGAGAGTGGAGGTATAGCCACAGGCTCCGTATCAGTGTTGGCTTCAACTTGACTCGTAACCTCGACACTCTGCGTAGGCGTAGGAGCGGTTGTAGTAGCAACAACGACACTCTGTGTTACCGGAACAGGAACAACAACGGCAGTACTGGTGCTTTCAGGGAGCACCGCGGATTGCGCCGGTCGAGCAGAGCAGAAGTCGATAAATTGCGCGAATTGAGGAGCCACGTAAGCTTGAAGCGACTGCTTCGTATCATCTCCGTTGGCGACGGCACATTCTTGGCAGGATTCATAACCTAATTTGAATGCGGAATTACTCTCACAAAGGGCGGGCTGTTTGCCAACTCTTTGGGCTTCGATCCAGCAGTTATTGCATTGAGCATAGCAGACTGCGGGGTAGACTGTGGCATCACGTTTTGATAATTTTGATAACTTGGCTGCGTGGACGCGGACTTCGCGTTTCTTTGCGGGAAGCGGGGTTGCAGCCGGTGGGTAATGCGAAAGGCCCGCTTGCGAGGTCCATTCTTTAGGGCTGTCATTGAAGAAAATGCCATAACCAAGTCCAAAAGCGTTGGGATTCAGATTGAAGTATCCATCGGTTGGAGGGAAGTAGGAAGTTTTCCCAGCTGGCCAGGTAACAGGGGAAAAGTCTGGGCTTGGTACGCAGAACTTGGCATCGCAGAGATAGTTTTTGTCGGGAGGGTCAGCCCATACCGTACAATGATCCGGTTTAGGCGGGTTGCAAACAAATCCTGGTGAGCATCCCCAGAGGGCGTCGGGTCCGGTATCTTGTGGTGTCACTGGACCCGAATTCGTAGGCCTCGGGCAAACGACATGGTCCGTGACAGTGGTGACACTGCCAGGAATGGTAACTGTTTGGGCTGGGAGCGTAACTGTCGTGGTTACGATACTTGTAACTCCAGGAGCTGTGGATATGACAGTTGTGCCAGCTTGAGTTATCGTCGTAACGCTTCCAGGGAGGGTCGTGGTGAAAGTAGAAGTAATTGTAGAAGCAGGAATAACCACCGTCGAACCAGGCGCAGTTACCGTTGCCCCCGGAGCAGTCACTGTTACGCCCGGGCCAACTACTGTTGTACCGGGTCCTACAACAGTGGTGCCTGGCTCAGTAGTTGTAATTATGTCAGTCTCCGTGGAGGTTATTGTCGACGCTGGCTGAGTAATGGTGGTCAATGACCCGGAAATGGACGTGGTAATTGTTGTACCTGGTAAGGTTTTCGTTACAACACGGGTTTTTGTTGTTGCTTCGATACTATTAGCGCAGATTGACCGAAAAACGCATGAAACTTACTCAGGAGCTTTGTTTTGGTTTTTAAAACAGTCAACACAGTAGTGTAGGTCCTATAAGAGTAGATAGTCTTCGTTGTCAGGTGATCACTAATACGAGTTGTTGTAACTGTGACGGGGTAAGACGTAGTTACAACAAGTGTCGTAGAATATGTCGAAACTACAGTCGTTGGGACCGTCGTCGGGACCTAGCCGAAATGTTAGAATTAAGTATCTTATATAAATTCCAACTCGAGAGTTTGCCAACAAAGCACTAGGGTTTATAAGATTCCGATGGGTCTAAGAAAAATTTGAAAGCTAAATTTAGAAGAGGTGTCGTTTCCCACGGTTTATGTTGCATTCCAACTCGCAAACTAACTCAACCGGCATATATATTCGGGATGCTCGGGAGATATAGCAATCTCCGGGATAGGAGAATAAACCATGCAACTCGCAATGGAACTCATATATTGGATGTGAATTGCTTACTGTTTTGGTCTTGGTGACAGAGTATGTCGAGACATCTGTCTTCGTCTTTGTCGTAGTACTCCACTTCGTGGTAGTCACCGGATATCCATAAGAATCGGTGATCGTAACATTATACGGGAAAGACTTGCTAGACTCAGTACCAATTCTAGAAATTATATTGGATGTTTGCTTACTGTTGTAACCACCTTTGTAGTTGTGGTTGTATGCCAGTAGCAGTCGCATGGTGGAAGGGTTTCTCGCACTGTTGTTGGGATTGTTGTTCGAACGGTTGTGGGAACAACAGTCTAAGGTTATGTTAGCCTTTACACCATGCAGGGCGGATTGGGTAGACTTGCGGTTTTCGTATAAGTTGTCGTCCTCCACTTGGTATCCGTAACAGTGTAGCTAGTAGAATTAGTTCCCGGGCATGAAAACGTACAGGATCAAAACCTACCCATAGGAGTTTGTTGCTGTCACAGTGTAGGGGTATGACTGTATACCTGTTAGTAGTGTATTCCAAAATTAGGGTTATGCTCAATATACCGTTGTAACTATAGTAGTGCTAGTTGTGGTCGTCCTGGAGGAGAATATTAGCCAAATACATCCCCATATTCCAATACGCTGCAATTCGAAAATAGAATGGTCCAACTCACGTGTCAACTTCCGTCTGCGTCTTCGTAAGGGTTTTGTCCGACTCGGATACCGAGATAATCTGTATTATCCATCAATAAATTCCTTTATCCAATCTTGAATCAACCTTACCGTCGAGACTTCTTCGATTGTTGTTGGAACACTATAGATGATCAGTTTCTCTCTTTTGTGGTGCGGGGGTACAAGAGCCTACGCGACTGTGGTTGTGGCTGTCTTTGTGACGCTGGGCATGTTTTAGCATATTGCACCAATTCTAAGGGGATTCTAACTTACTCTGACCCTGGTATGGTTATCGTTGCAGTGACCGTGGTTGCTGGCTTTGTTACGTAGGAAATGACGGTTGATGACTGGCAATCCGTTGGATATCCACCGCCATGTCCGGGCTGGCAATCTTTTGTTGTTGTTTTTGTTTTTGTGACGGTCTCAGTACATGTCTCTGTGTGTGTTTTCGTTACTGTTGTAACTCGACCCACGCAAGGTGTGGACTCGGGATAAGTCCCTGCTACCAAAATGTTTGCCTCCACGACTGCGCTCGAACTCGCAGCATCAGCCGATGATTCGTTTGTGAATTGGCCATTCGCAACAGCAGCGAGAAGGCCTGCCGCCATGCATATCCTCCAATTTAAAACCATCGCGGTCTATCTGCAAAAATACACTGAAAACGATCGTATTGGAGACAGCAAGCTAGCTGTAATCCGCGAGCGAGGGTGGGAAAAGTTGGGTATGCGCTTCTTCGACAGGAACGACGATCGACCTGCAGGTATAGCAGATGGGTGAGCCTTCCTACATATGGCGAGCCTGTCGTTCCAAGGCTGAATGAGGTGCACCGAGCTCCACACGAGCTCCAGGGTGGGCAACAACTAAGTCGAATTCGACAGGTCCGGGGAGATGTTTTCCCAAGGTATCAACCGAGCCGAAAAAACGTGCAGAGTTGCAAGGAAAGATTGAACAATAAGGGCAGGGGAGTCTCGGGGTGGTTTTCCAGCCGGCATTGCTTCCTCGTTATATTATGACTTGCGTGGACATCTGAAAGAAGGAAACAGCTATGGGACCCTCGCCCCTGGAGCGAAAGCAGCGGGGTTTTTGGTAGGGATGGGCCAAATACATTACCTTGTTGAACGGCCGACTCGTGCCTCAGCCAGTGACAGCGAGGGTCGATCTACACTGGGGCGCGCCGAGAGTTCCAGGGTAGGTAGCCTGTAGCTGTTGATAGAGTAGTCACAGACTCGACTCCGGAGGCAGCCTAGTCCACCTAGTACCTCGTAACTGCTGATGGGATCCACGCCCGACAACGTCTTTTTTTCTCACCAGTCTGAGGGAGCCTCATAGCCGTGATCACTGATCGACGCCGGCCAACGCACACAATGGACTTACGAAAACAATCATGATGGCGCTGACACCGAACGGCGAATAGTCAAGTGGCGTGGATGGTGGGGAGCAGCCTGTGTGTGTGATTTGCTCTATCATGACGGCGATGCCTCAGCTCCGGTTCCAGCCTTGAGGGCCACGAAGAAGTGTTGAGCAGAACAAAGCAAGGTTTGGGCACAGGTATGTTGCAAGGGACCTGGCATGTGTGGCTGCCATTGAAGCACGAAGCAAGAGGGGGAAATGCGGGAGGCATAATGTGATCAAGCCCGAGGCTGCTGGGCCGGATGGAGAGCAAAGTCGTTCTTTGTTGTGCTTCGACGCTTTGTTCTCTCTCCACCGACATCGCCGGGCCGTGGCGGCGGGAGGCCCTCGATAGAGGGACTAACAGATTGCGCGATTGAGCTGTTTCCCCGCCAATAAAGATAAAGATAAGATACTGTATTGTGTGCTGCTGGTTCCGGGGACCCTTGATTGCCTCGGTGTTTTGGTGTCTTGGGGGCTATATCCTCCGTAAACCCAACCGAGGGGACAATAAGAATTGCTCCGAATTATCCCTCGATTCCTCAGTCTTTTGGAATTCAAAAGAGCCCATATTGACAGGACAGGGGCAAGAGCTATATTGCGGCGGGGCATTCATGCCCTTTTTTCTTCTTCTTCATCCTCATTTTCCTCGTAATGTGGTGTGATGTGATGTGATTGGTATACTTACGCGGGCATAGCGCGTTGTGGTGTTCGTTGAGGCGTGAAGAGGGACGAAAGCGCCCAATACCCAGGTCGGAACCTGGCAACATCTGCGGGAGAGCCAGCGAAGACAGCCAAGAATAGTACCAAGATGATAGATGATAGAATATGGCGAGGGAGTAATGGCGGACGGAGGTACAACGTATGATTTGGAACACGAAGCACAGTAGCATGGCGCCCGCAGTAGTGCAACTGAACTGGCGCCAGTGCAAGTGCAAGGGCAAAGTAGAGCAACTAACTCCACGCCACTTGGTCTTGGACAACACCAACACCAATAGAGAACATCTTGGTACAGTACATACATACCACCACCCAGTTTACCAGAAATCCCACCAAAGTGCAGTACCTGCCGAGCCTGTCTGTCTATGGAGTATGCTCTCTCCATACGGAACACAGACGCCTCGTACAAGTCTCCGGGACCGTTTGTATTTACTGGAGCCTCCCGGGTGGCTGAGACTTGAGATTCAGACTTCACGATACCCGGAGACCAGGTAGATAATAGCAGGTGGGACATATCAGCCTCCCCAGCCTCGAGAGTCGAGAGTCAAGAGTCAAGAGTCCCAGCAACCCCCCGCATGCAATGTGTCGGCGACCGCCATCCTGGGCTGAGCGATCGTCGCCCGACACTTGTCGCTCATCGTCCACTATCGAGCCTGGAGGAGACTCTCGCACTTTGCTTCCTCCCGGCCGTTGGCGAGCGAGTGCTCTGCTTGCACTGCGATAATAATATCGCCGGTCTCGCCGACACTTTCCCTCGATTCTCCAAGCTCTGCGCCCTCTTGTCCCGATGAAGCGCCAACGCCGGCCAGCACGTGAGCTGAAATAGCTGCAACAGCGGATGAAATTGACAAATAGATCTCAGTAACGGGTCGCAGACCCTGTCATCCGATGGCCGCTGGACTGGGCAGCCACTGCTACGTACTTTGGGGATCCTCGGGAGCAATACTTTCGTACCACGGTCAAATATAAGTAGCAGAAATGACAGCGGGTGGCTGGGGTTGACGACTTTATCCGACAAAGTAGTGGGCGCTTGAAGGACAGTACCTGTTCAAGGGAACTTTTACGCCGCAATCAATATTCTTGGTCTTGCAAGGCTCGACGAACCTCACAATGCGACTACATACAGTACATTGCACACCATCTGGCCATCTCGATATCTAGGCTGTCATTGGTGTCCAGTCGGCTGTGGAGGTACTGTTGGTGGTTGTTGGTTCTGCCGCAAATCGTTTTCTGCGCTGCGAATTTGGCTCAATAGCAAGGCGTTTGGATGAAATGGCGCTTCTCACTGGATGAGCACCTTTTCTACAGTTCGGCAGCAGCTTCGTATTCACATGTTCATGTTTACGGACCCGACGCCGTCGTTGAGGAATTATTCGACATTCGGGGGGTTCGTACTAGACTTGGCGGTCAACACCACAAGGCTGAACCCACCGAATCTGATCTACCAAGGGCGCTGCGCCGCTGAACGAAGAGCCTGAACGGCCCTAACGGATGGGGGGCACGTATTCGCTCCAGTCGCCAGGGCTGAGTGAGCACTGATGCATCACACCCATCATGGATCAATTGCTGTCGATCCCTGGCCGTCCCAGCCTCCTCAGCGTCCAAAGATGAGTGCTTCCGTGCTGTGCCCTACAGTAGGTACGAGTACCCAGTGCCCAGGTACGAAGCGCTGGAACTACTGCATGTTTCTAGGTGACCGCCTGAGATAGTACTCGTACCCAACCCACCCGCTCCAGCACCACCCAGGACGCCACTACTCTACCAATACCACCACTATTACCACTATTACCACCCCACACCTCCCCATACCCCTCCACTACTCACCAAAAGGAAGGTGGCATTCCGTCCGGGGACACAGTCAGAATTATTATGCCAATCGCTCGTACAGTCCACTCCTCACTCGGCCATAAGCACAACAAAGCGAGCAAACAAAGAAATGCAAACGCACACAGAAAACTACCCTCGTTGAGGGCAAGTGGCGATTTCCGACTCCTATTCTGACTGGGTGGTTCTTGACCAGTGATCGTCGTCGAGGGTGACTACCAGGGCTGTGGTTTTGCATCTTGCATCAAGCCTCCAAAGAATTCAACCTTCATCGCCCATGTCCAAAGAGTTCCTTTACTCTTTTTCATCCCATCATGATTCGGGCAGCGTCTTTTCTTGTAGCCGCGTCGCTGTTCGTGCGACTGGTCGTCGCACAGGCGGCTGGGTGGACGGATGGCCAGGTCAATACAACCATGTGCCAGTGGGATTCGCCTCGAGGTATGCCTTTTCATAATGCGTTTCAAGAAGCGCCACCCAGCAGCCGAGCAAGCAATATTAACATTATAACTAGCTGCTGTGATTCGCGATACCCTATATATCGATGGCGGTTACCTTTGGTGGCAGCCAGGGATGGCTGATGGCAGCCTTGGTAGCCCGATAGCTGACGGTAAGAATTGAAGTAAATTTTCTGCCTTGAAGACAATTCTCACATTTCCAAGGCAATCCGCTGGGTCTGGTCTATCTTCTGAACTTTAGCACCCCATTCAATACTTCCCAAAACCTCACTAGTATATTTACCACGATATCAAAAGCCGCTGGCGGGGGGAACTCGAACAATATTGGCCCACAATATTATGATGGGGGCATGTTTGCCAATGACTACGAGTGGTTCACATACGGAGGTCTTCTCGCAACTACGGATGCATTTAGATCGCCAGGGAAGGATGTTGTTACAGCATACGAGGCATATTCCTCGGATCCATCAAGGCAGTTTGCCAGTGGATATACTATTAAGTATCTACCCGACGGTTTGACCAGATATGTCTCAAACGGCGCGGCTGTCAGTGTTCCTTCAGAAAACCTCGGCTTCTACTTTGGGGGTTTGCGAGCTGCGAGTTCTGGTCCGATATATTACCAACCTCCTAACTCAAATGCTTCCATAAGGGCTGATACGCAATCCTTGAATATGGTAGAATTGGATATGAGTGTGCAGCAGAAGGAGGCTTGGACCAATCGTACTCTGCCCCCCGAGGTTCCTGGACGTGCCGGTGCCGAGTTGGTCTGGGTTCCAATTTCTGAAAGGGGAGTTCTTGTGGCAATCGGTGGAGTGATATTTCCCTCCTACGCCAACTCAAGCCAGAAAGTCAACGCCTCTGCCACCGCAGAAAGTGTACGTCAAATCTCCAACTTCGTTATCATAACTGACGCCCGTTTTAGAAAAAACAAAGCCCCACCTTCATGTCCACTGTAGCTGTATATGATGTCGCTAAGGGGGTCTGGTACGAGCAGGCCACTACCGGTTCCCCTCCCGGCCAACTGACCCAGGGTTGTACCGTGCTGGCATCTGCTCAAGACTATTCCAGCCACAATATCTACTGGTATGGAGGGTTCGACGGACTTAACCCAAAGGGCGATTTTTCCGATGACGTCTGGGTCCTATCCATTCCATCCTTCGTGTGGATGAAAGTCAAATCAGGAACGGCTGCCCACGGCCGTGCTGGACACCGATGTACGAAGCCTTACCCCGATCAGATGATAGTGGTGGGTGGCTATACTTCATCACCTGGATTATCGTTAAACTGCCTCGATGGAGGCTTCATCCAAATCTTCAACCTCAGCAGTGCTGAGTGGATGACCTCTTACGATCCCAGTAAATGGAGCAATTATACAGTTCCATCCGTGATCTACAAGACGATCGGAGGCTCTGAGACTGGCCATGCAACTGAAACTTCGCCTTCACCCACCGGCTTTACTAACAATTCAATGAAAGCACTATTTGACTCTAAATATAATACGTCCAAGATAACTACCTGGTATCCCTACCATGCTAGCCCAACATCCAACAACAATCGAACAACTCTTCTCCCAGAAGCGGTATCAAAATCTAGCACACCATCATACCTAGCTCCAGTTCTCGGAGTCGTCCTCGGCTTGATCTTCCTCAGTCTTGTGGTCCTTGGAGTTCTACTTTGGCGTCGGAGGAAGCTATTAAAACTCAACGGAACAGCAACACAAAGCGAGCCAGGAACGATGGATAATCGCCGCTGGGTTACAAACTGGCTACGCGCTACCCCCACCTATGCTAAAGCCCCAACTGTCACAACTGATGAAACGCCCATGACTCCTCGTACAGAAGAGTATGAAGTACCATATGTCCCTGATGTTCCTGAAATGGCGGGCGTTCCAGTTTTAGAAATGGAGGGTGGGTTCAGCCTTTCTTATATAACAAGTATACGAAAGCTAATTTATATACCAGATACCTCCCGACCCACTGAACTTCACGGCACAGGCTTTGTCCCAATGGCGACTGGGAAGGCAGCAGCCAGCGGTCGCCACCCCAACGGCCTCGCCCACTCTCCTTCAACAGGCTCCCACGTCTCGCAAACAAGCTCCGTATCCCGCAACTCCAACGGCTCCGGCCGCCCCGGCATCTCCCCTGTAGCCACACCTCGCGCAGATTCCCCCTCCCTTGGGCAAGTTGGAACTAGATCTCGCATAGCGAGCGATCTCTCCGATTTTAGCGAAACTGACCGTGGACATCTGAGGGGAATTTCGGAAACGAGCGTCAGTACTGATGGTGCATATGCTGCGCCCCCACAATTACCTGAATCGGCAGCTCCCGCTCCAACTGAACCACCAACAGTGACAGTAACGAGTGAAGAAGACCCAACACCGGCGCCCTTGTCCGTCGTAAGTCCACTTACGCCGCCACAGGTGACCCATGAGTCAGGAGATTATATTGGAGCAGGTGCCACTGGATCAGCAGGGAGGGCTCCCCAAACCACGCAAACAACTCACCAAATTCAAAACCAGAATAGGAAGAGTAATTTTTCGGAGAAGTTGGATGATTCTGATGGACCAGGAAATTGAACGCTGTAGGCATCAAAATTTGGGTGTATAATGTGTATATGACTGTGATGATTAGCTTGGATTTTGGGTGGTTTTGGCGTCCGGTAACCCTAGTAAGGGGTTTTCATGGAGCACGCATATATATAGCGTTTCTGAGGTAATTTATAAACCGTACAATTACATTACATATCATTAGGTCTACGCGTATTTCGAGTTGCAAATCATATGCTGGATACTGTGCATACCATCATAGTGATCTCGCTATCCATAGGTTAAACAATTATATAAAACCCAAACCTATTTATTAATCTTGCTTATGTTGCTATCTCACCTCATATTTATCCTATGCCTTGTCTCCTAAAATGCGCACTCTTTAGCTACGGCTATTAAGTAATAAAATGCAGTGCTTGGTTAGTCCCATGTGATTGGTCTGTTTGTCTGATAATTCAGTCTATTACCGTTCCAGGCCCATCGTTCTAAAATTTTACTCTATTAACATACAAAATTCCCTCCATAGTATTTTCTCCAATTACATTATGGTCCCTCCAACCCCACCTGATTGAATGGCTTCGATCGACCCGCTTAATTCATACTGGACCTTTTGCCTTGAAATACTTGAATACAGTTTTAAACACCCACTTCCTCCTCCATCGATCCCCAAGAGCATATATCCATTCTCGAACAAAATTGAATACGAATAACCAAGCTAAACACAATGGCAACATTAGGATAATGAAGAGGCAGAGAATGCTGAACAACCGACATGTAAGCTGGAACGAAACCCATTGATCCGCTACATAAACTTGCTCAACCGACATTTCAAGTTGCATAACACTCAAAATAAGAGAAAATATCGCAAAAGCAAACAGTAGTGGCCCATAGAGTCGTGCAAAATAGGCCCCATATTGAGCATCCATGCGTTGAAAATGGCGCTTTCTCAGGAAGATTTTGGTGTAGAAGTTGAGCGTGATAACCGAATCTCTCCATATGCGTATCGAAGGGAGACATCACGATCCCGTATCTTATCAAATCTACTTGAGAAGTTGCAGAATTGTTCCCAAGATATATCTTCGGGGATGAGCTGCAACTTCTCATCTGTCGCAATTCGAAAGTCGGACTCGTACTTTACGAGGTAGAAGTATGTTCGCAGATATCCCAGTGCCACTCTGCAGATGGATTCGCGCCTAGGGCCCAGAGGGGACGTCTTTGCCAAAAGATATGTTGACCAGAATGTAGGTATGTGAGAGAAGATACTTCGGAAGCGGCTTAATAAATATCCGATCGTAGTACCAGCTCCTGATAATTTCACTTTTTCCGACAAGTTAAATTTTGATACGTTCTTTATTATTTCCGTTTACTGTCACTATGCGAACGGATATGAATCTGAACACATAGTTTGCCTACAGAATCTGAGTTTAGAGCCTGTTATATTACGCCACGGTTAATGGAGAGTAAAATATGAAAATATGATACGAGAGACCTAGCTGGCTTATCGGCCGACGGTCAAAAGCTGACGTACAAAATAAATTGCAACGTAATATAAAATGCCAATGATTAGAGAAATATGATATTGGAATGCTGTGCCTAGTTATATGCCATCTAGAAACTACCTGAGCGTAGTCCATCATCGAGCCAGTAGTAGAGGGGCGAAGAGCCCTACCAGGCAAAACAAAAGGTGGGGGCTTCCAGTGCGCGAAATGTAGTGAACCGTTGTAACTCCTGTTTCCTCGACATGATTTCTGCAAAGCTAGCATCCTAAAAGCAAACAACAGTCCTAGTAACATGCAATAGCCTACTGGCAATCATCATCCACTCAACGAACCTCCATCTTGACATTAGGCGGCATCCACTTATGCCTCTGAGCCCACTTCTCATTAAAATACCTCTCCAGTGTTTCGCAGTCCCTAAACACCTGATCCTCGGGCGTCCAATACTCATAACAATTCTGGAAAATCAGCCTAATATCGGCCTCAAACTCAGCACTACTCTTATACTCCCCCCTATCCATCTTGGCTTTGATGGTTTTCAAATCGATTGGTCGCTTGACTACGTCGAAGTAGTTCGGAGCATGGTGGGTAATTGGGTCGACGGGCTCTTTGAAGGGCCCTACTAGGCGAGTCCAGAAACCGGGCCCGGAAAGCATGCGTCCGATTAGGTCGCGGCAGTAGAGGAGATCGTGGTCAGCGTCTATTTGTGCTGGTTGAGCGGTGTTGGATGAACTAGCAGGATTTTGGTTTTGCGGAGGGATTCGGCCTTTGGGCTTACGGCTACCGCTGATGTTGGCAGATTCGGATTTACGAGGGCCCTTTCGCATGTTAGACTTGAGCTCGAAGTCGTCATCTGTTCTCCCGATAGTGGTGCCTATTTCAGATTTGCGGGCACGTTTGGGAGATGGCTGGTGCAGGCGGTCAAGGGCGTCGAGCTCGTTGGGTTGGTGGGGAAGCGGGTGTTTCTTGGATTGCGGCGTGTATGTCGGGCTGGCAGGAAGATCACTCATAACGATTACCAGCTCGCTGAGGATTTCTTGGGGGAGGGACTTGGCGAAGGCGTTTCGGACATCAGGGGAGGACCGCACTAAGTTAAATCCAAGTTAGTATATTGCATATTTCATCAAAACGCGCTGACCATAAAAGCTCGTGGTAGAGCAGGTCTAGACAAACATACTGTGCTCTGCAGCCCACCCAATAAGCATCTTACGCAGCCCACTACCCTCTTCAGTCTCCTCCCAAGCTTGCTTTAAAAGTGTCGTTCCAGGGATAGCACTCGTCAGCCGGCGCCGCTCAGCCATGACATCTAAAACGGCGGTTCGCAAAGGAGCCATCTTCAATTGCATTGCCAATTTCCAGACACCCATCAGAAGTGGATAATCGGGAATTTCTCTTCCGCCGCGACGATCATACACATAGCCGGTATAAATGAAGTTCTGGAAACAACCAAAGATCTCGACGTCCGTATCTGGTAGCTTAACAATATGCTCCACCTTGTTGATTTCACCTTGTTCTGCGAAAATTTCACGATAATAGGGAGATTGAGCACACAGGAGATCTTTCTGAATTCCATAGGGTGTCTCATCTTTGCCAATCAGGATGATAACGAAGATTGGATGAGGTTCACTGTGAGGGCGAAGTTAGCACTCTGGCTTCTGCGACAGCATCGAAGCTAGCACATACTGCCACGAAATGGTCGTAGAGACCTGGCTTTCCTCAGTCGTGAGATCCACACCATTATCTGCCATCATGTTTTCACTTGGGGGATTTCGGGAGTTGGATGTGGCGCTAAGGAGAGAGCCTGTTGACAATTCACTGGGTTGCATATTTGTCTCAATTCATCGCGAGAGCTTCGCGTCGGAAGATTCGAGACAAGAGTTTGATCTGATACTCGAGACCTGCAATCAATTATTTTGAGGTAACTAGACGATGAATCAGTGTGGTGATCAAGGAATGAGATTCGAGTACGACGGATGATTCAAAACAAAATGCACAGATTGACGCCACCACTCTGAATGGACATCACCTTCATCGATATTATAAGCCATGTCAAGCGCTTTGAGATGCATTTACAAGAGCCTGAAATGATGCAATGTGAGAGGACGTCGAGTGATGGACGCGATAGTCGTGTCGCATATGTCATGCATACCGCCATTATGCGACCTTGCTGTGGCAGAACAGGAGATTCAAAAAGCCCAAACTCACATTATTTTTCAAATAGACGCGACCGGCCTCATATCCATTTATGTCGTGAGTCGCTTGGAGCTAATTGGGTCTCAATTGACGATCGGATTGGCACGAGAGGATGGAATTCTTGATGTGATGTTGAGGTTCTTGAGGTTGCCGGCCACTTTTCCATTACCATGTTAGCTGAAGTTGCACAAATTTTATGCAATCCACAAGAGAGTTTGTGCAACAGACACTCCCCTTGCAACTGCCCCCCGAACTATTGCATAGCCTTACACGCTTAATAGATTTTGTAATTCAGTAAGCCAAGTCCATTTAAGTCTTTTATATTATTATACCTAGGTGCATAACGCTCTTTCTAAATTTTAGATATTTGCTTTACTTGTACTTGGACGGAGGCACTCCTCGCTATTATATAACGCGTCTTGGAAGATGTTCTACATTTCTCGGGTCAATTACATTTTACAAATGCTTTGCAACAAAAAGCTGAATATCAAATTTTGCCCTTCATTTCATCTATATACAGCTACCTGTTAATCGCGAGCACACGGCTCCTGCTGATAAATTTCAACTGCATAACAAAAATATTACGTCAGATGCCCACGGCGGGTCTGACCCCTTTCCAATCTAACAAACTCCCTCCCTTGGAATATGAGAGCATTTTACAACAGTAGAAATGAAGGAGAGATGGAAAATCCCTGTTGATAGAGAAGGTTCAAAGAATAGGTAATTTTATGAAATCATAAACTATATGCAAGAAACATGGTCATGATAATTGTTAAAGGTGAAAAGAGAATTGATAAAAAAAGTCGCACGGAATACCGCTTTGTTTAGATAAGAAAAGTCTTTCCTAATGAGGAAAGCTGTTCGGATGAAAACCAACTGTTCAGACGGGACAAGGTTGTCAAGGAAAAGATAATTTTGCATTTAAAACACCCACAGAAACAGCAGCATATATCCGCACAAAACGAGATACCTAGTGACTGACGTCAGGCGTGTCGACCAGATGAGCGACTAAAGTCTGAAGGTAGCCACAGCACGAGGGGTGTGAGTCAAACGGGTCTTCAAGGCCCTTGTTGGCTTTGGGTTTTTGGTTGGAACCTATGCATATAAGCACTGTACAAAACATTGAAGGCCGAAGGCCGATCGAAAAAGTCGCTTAATGCGATATTTCATTCACTGATCTGTAAACATGAATGTTACAAGTGAACCGCCTATGTGACTGGGACACGGCTGTTAGTAGATCCAGCACCGAGATTTTAAGACTGGTCAAATATGTCGGCTCGCTCACGAATGTTAGTGGTTGAAATATGAGAATTGGCAATTGCAAATTGCATTTAGTCAACAAATCATAATTCAAAAGTACCTCCTATTCCCATACTTCGACCTTATCAATCTCGACCTCCATTTCCCAGCTACCTCTCCATTCTGTCGCCTGGTATATACTTTCCTCATGTACACCGACCTTATGTATCACATTGAGCCGTTTCAATCCGTCAACGAATCTCATCGAAAACCCCTGTCCCTTCTCACCGAAGCACAGTTCGTTATCGCTACCTACCGTCCATGCTTTCTTGCCAATGTTACTGCGAAAGACGTCGTGAATAGGGGCTAGTTGGAACAGAAGACTTCCCTCCAAATGATCTTCTTGCCGCGGAATAATTTTCTCCTCTTCGCCTAATCCTTGTAGGAAGGCGCCAAATACAACCGTTTCTCCATTCGATGTCGATTTACCAGATACAAGAAGAAGTCGGAAGTCCCAAGATTCCTTTGGGGAAAACTTGATGGCGTCATGCACCTCGGATACCGTGGGAACGTCAGATGCAGCCTGACAATCGTCGTATTGGTATATAAGGCGAGGGTTGTCAAAGGCTACTGTCGAATCGATAGTGAAAAGAATCTGGCTGATAGTGACAAGATTAAGGATGTGGCCCGATGGTACCGATTGTGGCGGGTATGCCACATATTTATTAACAGAGTCATCATCGGAAGTCCTAACAAGAGACTCATATAAGCGGTAGAGGGAGAAGAAAAGAAATGGCTAGGGTATGTTAGCAAAGTTGTAGTATCTTAGAAGGATTCTGGGAGGTATTACTGTTCTTTCGGAAAGCGCCCATTCAAATTTCTGCCAAGTAATGACTTCGTCGGGGCCCGAGCCACGACAGAAAGTATCGACAACATGATCTGCAGCCACTTCAAGCTCTGCTAACTGTAGAGCGGGTTTCTGGATTCCATCATTTAGATGTTCTGCCAGTAACAACTTTACAAGTGGCTTGAACCGGCCCCTCGAAATGGCCAGCTGCCGTAGACAAGTCGGAGTGGCTAGGCGCCTTGCAAGTGGACGAAAGTCATTCCGGTCGTACGTTGAATATGACGGCTCAACAAATTGCATGCGTGAGCTAGAAATAACATCGAGAATGTCGTGATACATCTCATCTCCTTCCTCATCGTAGTTGCTAAGTGCCCAGTCACGGGAGTGGTCAACTACCTGAAATGCCCTCTGCGCTGCGATTTTCTTTTCCTCCTCTTCGTCAAATCCGAAATCTCCGCTTATATCTGCAAGACTCTGAAAAATTATCCTTCTCTGATCAGAAGCAGTTCTGGTCCGGTCCACGCTGGCACGTTCCGGAAGCACCCAAAAGATGGCACGTAGGAGGTCTTCATATGTCAGATTGGACGGTAAATCCCTGATAGGTTGTGTGTTGAAGGGGAACCTGCTCATATATACCGCACTAGAAAAGAGAATCGGACCAGCCTCAGTCAAAAGTGGTAGAGATGAAGGGATTGATAATTCTGAGAGAAAGTTTTGAAAGATTGCCTGATCCCAGTGTTTGATCCCGTTCATGCCCACGACAGGGGAATTAAATTTCTCGCGAAGGGCTGCATGCTCATTCTCGTCGAAACAATACGACACTATCTGATCATAGAGCCTCTGCCGGATCTTTTCCGGAGTCATCAATCCAGATTTTTCCCAATCTGAGATATCAGATGGTGGTGGCATGATTGTTGCTGAATGGGGAGTGGTCACAGGTACGATGTATTTCTTGGTGATGCCGTGAAGGTGACTTTGTAAGAACGTCAATATTGTAGTCTGAAAAGGTGGTCAATGAATGCGCGGAATAATTATTAGAGAGTGAAAAGAATGGTTTGAAAGGTAAAAGAGGAAATGATTCAATTCGCTGACCTGTCCACGACGTTCTCATGAGTCACATGAGATGGGATCTCACCATCTCGGCCGACAACTCTGTAAGATCCATCTAGGTCGTCATACCAGATTTCACCGCCCCATCTCAGCCTCTGTGTACTACACCCTTAATCGCGCATATGGGAATCCATTTGCCGTCGAAACAACGCATGTCAGATGGCGGGCGTGCGCGCGATTTGCCGAGAAGTCGAGGCTGTTCTTTGCTTCCTTCAGGACCGTCTCACCCGACGACACCGCCCCCTTGTTTCGTGCGTAATTTGTAGGAATTAATAGGTTGATTTTAGCGACAACCAATGGGCTATAGGATCCAAGCTTTAAAAGTTGCTGAATTTATCATGATTGGTTTTAAAAGGGTTATGATGGTGATTGTTATGATTTTTACGTATTTATAACCGCATAATGTCTGTATTGTGTCTTCGGGGTGTTGGGCTATTGTTGGAAATTGGTCTATCGCCGTCGTCTACAAAGACAGGGGCATAAACGAGTAAGCAGGCTCACGATTATATGACAGAGTCAGCTTAACTTCATTTGAAACTTTAACGACAACCTACAATGCACCCCACCGAGTACTTGGCAGGATGTCACTTATACAGCATAATCCTACATCTTCCGAGCCCGTGACCCAGTTGGGGCTCTGCAGAGTTCGAATATGCGGATATACGCTTGGTCATGCTTATGTTTGGGATCACATCGTGACACCCCAGCTCTATGCACTTTGGAAAATGGACACGATCTGACATTATTCGGATATCCCCAATATTGGCTGTGACACTGCTCCTTCCCTCGAAATTACTTGGCCGGAAATAGATATTCTTTTCTCAGGATTAAGACCCAAAATTTGTATATAAACATCCTCAGGAGCTCCCTCGAAACAACATCACAGCATCACAACATCACCTCCCATTCAAAGCATCTCATCCACTAAATCATCCCATTTATTGTACCCCGAGACTCCGAACTCTCCATCCCAATCCATAAACCGCCAATATGAAGTTCTCCACCACATTTTCTGCATTGCTATGCGCACTGTCTCTCGGGGTCAGTGCCGCCCCGGTTGATTCTGGGTCTGACCTTAGCCTCAGAGTGAACACCCCGGCTCCCGTCACCGTCGAGACACCAAATTTCAAGAGAATTAAGGAAGCTCACGCCGGCCTGGTGAACGGGAAAAGATACGTCTTCACCCAGACAAACCCGATCAATGCACAAGAGACAGACCAAAAGACCAAGGACCTTGAAAAAGCATTGGGATTTAGCCACATTTATCTGGTGGTTGGAGATGTCACTTCATCATCGAAAACCGCCGATAAGGGCAAGAACAAAGGCCAAGTGACAACGACATGGGATTTCCAGGGCAAGGAGTTTGATATGACACTCAAGGCTTCCGATAAAACGAAAACCGAACAACGCGAGCCTAGAAAGTGGGAGTCCAAGTATGCTACTCAGAAGACAATCAAATATGTCAAGGAGACTACGAAGACATTGGATGCCATCAAGGCACATGGTAAGAGCACCAACCACCCAATAATCAAAATAAGTATCGAGTAGTTGCTAACTATGATCGCAACAATTAGGTGCCAAGTACGTTGCGGGCCACCCAATCTACAGCTACGACCCCAAGGGAAACAACTGCAATGCCTATGTCAACGACTTGATAACTTTCACTTAGAATTGAGGCTGGAACATTGCTGCATAGCGAATGGCATTTTGGGCGTACACGGTATACGGCTATACCTGTACAACGATCAAAGGGCATTTACTTCTTTATGGCGGGTAGGATGGGTAGTGGGTGTTCTTGCTGGGATTCTCTTTGGCTTTACGGTTATGTCGGACGGAAAATTTGTTTTGATGCATTAGAATTTAGATATCTGGATCTCGGGCATTTTCAGCTGGAATAAACAACCATTATGCGTATACCTCGTTGTTGCATTTCTTCACCTGTCACGAAAGTTTATATTGATGGTGTAAGTGGTACATTTGTAAGTTATCACTATGCTATGGTATGTTTAAAAAAGTCCTGCTATAGTCTGGGCAAGCGCGTGTGCGTCCTCTGAATAAAAACTTGAGCTCATCCTACTTCAATTACTCAATTAAAATGGGAAATTGATGCGCGCAGCTACCTAGCAACTTGCTTCCCCTTTGGAAGAAGGCACTTTCTAGAAAGACCATCACGGCCTAGCAGCTGATGATGTGTTTTTTGGACTTTAAGTCTTCCCAGAGAGCCTTGATGAGCTTGTTCTTGTGGTTTATGCGCCCAAAGCTGTCGATAAGTTCAGCAGCGGTATAAATTCCCAAGACCCAGATTGGACGAGTCAAGGCAACGTTGAGGCGATGCGGTTCGCCAAGGAAGGAGACGTTCTTGGTCTTGACGAGAGAAAGCAGCATAACATCAAACTGCATACCTTAAATCGCGTCAACTGTCTGAGCTGAAATATGCTTGACTGTAACATTCTTCAGATGAGCGAGACGTTTATTTAGTATTGTGACCTGTGCTTTGTAAAACGAGCACGCGAGGATGGTTCTTCCCTTAAAAAGGGGGTCCTTGCACATTCTCTCAGCATCCTTAATTATCTCTTCGATTTCAGCATCGTTAATCCAGGAAGTACCACCATTCTCCTTGTAGCACCGTGAATTAACAATATCCTTACAGAATTGATTCGTAAGGACTTCAGTGCCAATTTCGTACTTGACAAAGTTACAGAAGAGAGCGAGAAGCTTCTTGTCTTCGTCTGAATACTTTGCCTTGCTGACTTGGCCGTTATAGAAAGCTTTGCTCGGGAAATTAGGGATATCTCCCTTGCAGCGATGTTGAACCGTGAGTATATAGTGCTCGTGGCCGGCCAGAATAAGTCACTCGAAGTTGGACAGAAGACCTTGGTTTTCGAAGGGGTTAAGGAATGGAGCCTGCTTATCCTTCCATCTACAAGCGGAGAGAAGTGCAGCCCTCATTTGCTTGTGATCACCGGCGAGAATCCATGCTCGCGGATTGTATAAGGCGTACAGGATCATAATCTTTAATATAACGGAGTGGAATGTACAGTCAAGTGTACAGTAAACAATCAAGCGCGTCGAGCTTTAGGTAGGTAAAAATATGTATGAGTGAAGAAGCATGCTAAACTACAGTCGCCTGTCGCAGCACACTCTAAGTACTCGGCCCCGGAAAAATTAAACTCCGAAGAGCAGATATCGTACACGTGATATGCGGCGGTTCTACCCCGCCATATACGTCCCCCCCTAGTAGTCGCCCTTGACTACATCCTTATTCCCCCCTCCGCCTCCTCCGCTTCCTCAGCAAATAGTAAACCCTCTTCCCCCCCCTGCTCGAGTCCCTCGTCGTCTACTACGTCCGGATCCGGTACTACAGCTGGCATCGGAATGCCCAGTAGTACGAGCTGTTCCTTGTAGTAGTAGAACGACTTCACTCCAAATACTCGCTTCTCCTCCTCCCTGACCGCAGTAAACGCCTCCAGTGCTGCCGCGATTGCCTTCTCTCTCCAGCGCCTAATGAATTCATAGGCCCGCAGCCCGGTCCTCCCCCAGCAAGATATTCCTCTCCGCTACCACCGCGGGCGAGCTCTACCTTCTTCGGTACACGAGGGCATCCGAAATCCCGCCGAGCTCTGCGAGCTTAATACTAGCTGGGAACTGGTATAAGATCGCTCTATATCTATTGGGCAGCCTAGACGGTGTAGCCTTGGGCGCTACGAAGTCTCGATACGCTGCAGCTAGCTCCTCCTAGGTGCCACTCTCCACTACCTCCAAAGAACTCTCGTTGTCCTGTACACCAATGAACCAGGGGAGTATAGTGCGGCGGATTTTAGTCGTAGGCCTAGTAGCCCTATAGGGAATTGACAGTAAAGTGATTCGTACTTCTCCAGGCTAGTACGGGGTCTGTTTCCAGCTCACCCCCAAAGTTCTCGAATCCTCCTTGGTAAATATCTGGTCGGTAAGCCGGTACACATAACCGGAGGTCTCCTGGCCCCGCTCCTTCACTCTCTCCTACCACTCCCCAAGCTTATATTGTATTCCGGGTAGTATGAAAGTGCAGTTTTCTTCGTCCTCCTCATCTAGTGATATAGTACCTTGGATCATAGCTGCGCCACGCGCATTTGCTAGCAAATCTGGTATATTCAAGTCGATGTGGCAGAAATAGGTGCCATCGCCGGGCACACTATACTTAGCGTAGTACGGGTAACTGACCAGCCGCCAGGCTTGGTCGGGTCGGAGTGCGGCGTATAACATATAATACGCTGGGTCTTGGCGCATTAGTTGCTGGGTTACGGAAAAGAATATAACTCAGTCGCACGAGCTGCTTCGTCCAAGATACAAGGACAGGCTTGAAGTTGGTCGCCATGTCTACCTTAGCTACAGCAGCAAGAGTAAGCACTATGCCGTCTGCCTCAGAAATAACTTCAGCTAGGAGGTCGTTTAGAGCAAACTTGATTTGGGTGCGCTGATCTTTATCAGTACCATAGAAGCCATCTTCTCCGTAAGCCTTAAGCATAGCGTGCATGCTCCTGTGTATAGCGCATTCTTGGGCGACTTTGGTGCAAAACTCTTTTCGCCAGTATTATAAGGCCCAACGGCCATTACCTAGATATAAATCTGATATCGTGTGAATATCTCAATAGAATTGAGATATTCAAGTTGTGTAAATATCTTACCGGAGTTGAGGTATTCAAGTTGTGTGAATATCTCACCGAAATTGAGATATTTCACCGAAATTGAGATATTTACAAATGAATCCGAGACCCCCCAACGCTCTTTAGGCTTCTTTTTGCTGGTCGTAATAGCAAAAAACCTGCGACTTTTCGCCCTTTAGGGTATGTGCTCGAAGAATAGTCTTATCCTTCTTGCTTTCTTTACACGTCTCTAGCTATCGCGAAGCTATATCATCAACTGCCCGATTAGAGTCCACGAAGTAAGCTACTTGATTCGTTGTATCAGGGTTGGATATGAATTCTGTAGCTGTAGCCAGACAGAGCTCTGTCTTTCCAGTTCCAAAGAGGCCGTGAACTAGAACGGTCTCTAGGGCGTTGCTTCAAGCCTTGTAAGTGCGCTTCTGTGCTGAGTTCAATTTCGTCGTGAGATCGAGCTTAGCCTTTCCCTTAAGCGCTCCTAGTGAGATATTCATACGACTTGAATACCTCAATTCCAGTGAGATATTCATGCGACTTGAATACCTCAAAAGAATATCGACGCGTTGAAGAGGGCTGTTTTCAGGATCGTGGCACAATAGAGTCCGACAAACGTGAATCTGCTGAAGGTTTGTGCTTCGATAGAGTTTATCTGCACAGCGGACCTGGTCCTTAAGTCCCTCTCTAGAATAGGGCTGGCTGAGGTTGACACGAACCGTTGGGCCACTTGAGATCAATTGAGCAAGGTTCTCTGTAGTAGTTGCTACTCGGAGGTTGGTAACAGGGAGAACGGTACCGACGAATGGGGGTTGATCTCGAGGGCCTTTGAAGTCAAGGTCGTAACGTCGCTCAACTACCACAGTAAGGCTTCCAGAGTGGGTAACCCCTTGGGGATCAATGACTCGCTCAAGCTAAGCGTTCGGATCGTTGTCGTCGTCGAGCTCGTCATAGTCGAAGACATCAACGATGGCTTCATCTCCCAATTCCGAATCGCTACCAGGCTCAGGAGTATTATTGGCAGGCTCAATAACAGTATTATTAGGCTCGGAAGCAAATCCTGGAGTATCTGGAGTATGTTTTTCTTGAATGATATGAACTCGAACCATGTCTCCGATTTCAGGTCGAACGACGATTTTGTCGGTAAAGTCTACGAAGCATATATATGCTGATGCGAGGGAGCCGACAGTAATATCAGTATTGTTGTCTGCCTTGTTGACGGCAAGAGGACTCTCAATAAAGTGCGCATTAAATGTATCGATCTTTAGCTCGGTCATGGTCTGCTGAACAAAGTCTTCCTCGAAGACAGCTTGGTAGACTGTGGGGATGAGGATCGACATTGAATCTACGAAGACAGTTTCTGCTCGTTGAAGAGGAATTTTTGGTCGAGCAGCGAAGTCTACCAATGTGTCCATAGTGAAACACTTGCCATTAGCAGTGTTCTGAAGCCAAGCCATGGAGGGGTCAGCGAGGAGCTCAGCGCTGATGCGAGCTGAGAAGGTGTTGGCTTTCTTGTGGGTAAGATCGTCAGATCGATTAATCAAGAACATGAATGGCAGAAGCTGCTGAACTTGACCAGCTTGGGCTTGGGCTTGGGCAGCTTCGCGGGTATGATGGCGGAGATCCTTAATTAGCTTCTTGATGGCATCTTCGACTGCGCTGTCTGCAAGCTTGGGAACCTCACCACCTTGGATAAAGGCACCTAGGGACTGAACACAAAGTCGGCCGAATTTGCAAGGTCCACCACTGTGGTCAACAAAGCCATCACCAAGCGAAAAGCCGTCGGTAGTTGAAAGAGTGTAGCCATCGGGCAAGTCTTCGTAATCGAAGCTACAAATCTGCGAGGCGGGAAGATAAATGGACACGCAGTGATTGTCAAGGTTCTTGGGATTGTTCTCGAGGCTCATATCTCTAGGGAGCTTGATACGAATGACCATGGTGGCGCGCTGTTTCTCAGGAACTCGAAAAGCGATCGAGCAAGATGGCTGCGTGGCTATTCAGAACCCCGGAGTTAGCTTCTTCTAAATTATTCAAGGTTGAGGCTCATAAAATATGATGAGAGGCGTATCAAGCGCATGATAGCTCGTCAAGAAGTCTGGAAAGAGTATGAGAATACTAACGGTCCGTGGGCCAGAGATCCTTGTTAAACTGAAGTCCTTGGTACTTGAAGACGGTGTTGTAAGTTACGATATTCCCTGAGGATACCTGAGCCAGTGGTTGCTCCAGCGGTATATTCGATGTCGAAGAGGTCGTTGGGACCGCGCTGATCGTCATCGAGATCAACGGTGGGAGCGATCGTGGCTGGGGCTTCTAGATCGGTTGCCTTGTCTTCAGCGCTGGGCACGTCACGCAGCGCGTCGGAATGCTCCATACTTGTGTGACGGATGTTAGTTTATTGATAGTTATGGTGGGGAAGGGATTGTACGAAGTTGGGGTATTGAGGTGTTGAGTTGAGTTGAGTTGAGTTGAGGGGTTGAGGTTGGAGGGGTTGAAAATGTGTTGATAATTAGGACCTAAATTAGTATATGTAATATCGGTAATTGAATAAGTTATAGAATAAGATAATTATATCAATTAAAGAGCTTAATACTATAGAGTGAAAGCTTTATATATATAAGTAAATAAAAAGGAATAAAAGTATAAAAAGAACTTCAATATATATTATAGAGGAGCCAGAAGGACCCTTAGGATTATTAGGAGGAATCGTAGATAAAACAACCAAAAGAATGCAGTCAAGGTAATAGGTATCAATTAGGTGGTAGGCGCGGTATCGGATTATCGTCGATTGGTCATATAGCTAAAGAAGTCTAAACTATAGTTTAATATTCTTTTGAGGAGGTGAATATTCAGGGCGCACTCAGGTAGTAGTATTTCAGAACGACTAATAGTCACAAGATCCAGTTATTAATATAAGTATAGCAAATTGAGTTTATATTAGTAATTATCCTAACTGGCCAGCCTCTCCCTGGTCCAGCTGCATTCTGGTGAATCGTATATATTGATATATATATTTGTAAAAAGGAGAGTGAGTGCCAGGAGCTTATATGCCTAGGTGACTCCACTTATCCACGTGCTAATTCTAATACAGGTAAGGGTGCAAAAACAAAGTAAATAATTGGTGGTCCCTTGATCCCCACCACAGTAGCTCCACTTATCCACGTGCCAATTCTAGTACAGGTGAGAGTGCAAAAACAGAGTAAATAACTAGTTGTCCCTTGGATCCCTACCACAATATATTTTTTTATTTTCTTTATTAAAAGAAGCTTATGTTTTTTATAATTAAAAAGTAATTATATTTAAAAGAAGATAAATATAATAAAGTAGAATAATAAATATTATATAAATATATAATAAAAAAGAATAAAAGTATAAAAAAAGCTTTAATATATATATATTTTTTATTTTCTTTTTAAATAGTTATAATTCTAAAACTTTAATTTATAGTTAATTACTTTTACTTTATTATAATAAAAGATATTATTTAAATATTTCTTTAGTAGTTTAGTTAAGTACTTTAATATACGTATTATAAGTAGTTTCTAATATATATTAGTTAGTTAATAAGTTAACTCTAAAGAAGTCATATATATATATACTAAATAGAGTTTCTTCTCTAAAGATAAATTTCTTAGACTTATAAGTAGTAGAAAAGACCTCGACTATAAGATTAGAAAAGGCTATATCTATATAGCCTCCTAAGCTCACCGCTTCCCGAAACCGAGTTATTTACATATTCTTTAGTATCGTACTTCCATCATTGATTTTGTAGCTTCGAATAGATTCGGATCCTTCCGAAAGGTCATAAGATAAGCCGATGGAAGACTTACTATTCGGCTCGAAATCGTTGTCGGCCATCCATGACCCCTAATTACCAGCCGCTGCATCATGGTCGTTGCCGCACGAATCGGCAGTGTCGATCATGTCACGGTCATCCAGCGACAGTATAGCTTCCTCTTCCCGTGCGACCTCGAGAATCCAGCCACTCGCATCTTCTAGGGCGGTATTATCAACCGACATCGATTTAGGCTCTAGATAGTAGGTAGGTCTGCTTTTTCCTCCCTTAGCCTAGCGGCCCCGGCGTGAATCGACAGCGTCGATTATGTCACGGTTATCCAGCGATAGAATAGCTTCCTCACCCGGTGCAACCTCGAGCGCCTGGATGAATGCGTCCTCTAAACTAGTATGGCCAGACATAGATTCGGACTCTGAATAAGGGATTGGGGATTTTTGAGGGTGATGGCCTGCGAATGCCATACGATATTCTTCCTGGTCGATGGTGCCTATCAGGACTCGTCGACGATTTTTCAATCGTGCCGTCGCCTCAACGAGGCCCTCGATGCGGGGATCACAGGCACGAACTGCAGCACTGATTGATCCGTACAATTTCTGCAAATCAGATGTCGTCTGCGGTGTTTTAAGAACTTCCTTGGCGATCTCGGGATCTTGCTGCACCCTCTGCCATCCTTCTTTGCTAATATGCTGAGGCGTTTGTTGGACCCGATTAAGCGATAGCCCATGCATTTTAGTAGCGTTGCTAGCGCGGATGCCTCGAAATATCTCCTGTACATTTACCATTGATATAGCCGAGTGGTAGTGGCTATAAATATCGGAGTTGGTTTTGTGACCCATTAAGAATCTTCGATCTTCAGCGGATACGTTTGCGGAAAGCACATTTGCGTATGCCCTGCGTAACGCATAGGGCGTCGCGTTATATTCAAATCCGGCCATGCGACCAAGCCCTACGATATTTTCTCCCAGCTTGCCACTGCGAAGCGGAACCCCCTGCAGCGGATCGGAAGACAGGAACTCCTACGAAGCCATCTGACTGACGAATGTTGCAAGAATCGACACCTAGGTTTGAGCCTTGCGTTAGCATCGACGGCGTCGATTCTGACCACCGAGAAGAAATGCTTACCTGGATCAACCGCAAGAAGATCAGCCCAAGTAGCTCCAGCCCCAAATACGCCTTCAATAATGGCCAATGTCACGAGTAGCCGTAAGAATCCTGCATGGCCGTCACGGTGGGCAATAGGCGGAGGGTGATGGTCTTCTTCTCATTCGAGGTCGTTTAGCCTTTCTGATACTCGAGGGTTCGCAGTGTCATCGATTGGCCCTGTCGCGACAAGGAGAGGGTTTAGGTTATATCGCGACATTTCGTTGCGCTGGAACCATGCCTCTTCACTCCTTGGGCAGAGATGCGCAGCTTGTGTGCCTTCCGCAAAGGCACTCATCCGACATGAGTGATCCCTGTTAAAAACTGCCGCGCTGAGAGATGATGGCGTGGCGAATCTGCTCTGTGCACAGGGTATGTGGTCTTGATTTGCTTGCCAGCATGCATGGATGGAGCTTTTCATGGGGAAATGCCCATTCTTTGAAGGTCGGGACAATGGCATATGGAGCTTCGAGGGAAGATTCGGGGAGGTGGAAGTAGTAGTCGCGTTCGCAGAGAATATCGCCGTATGTGAGAGTTATAGTTAGTCCATCAGCTTTGGCAGTAAACCAGCCATTCCATCTGTTGCCACTAATCACACCACAAGCAGCATGCGCAACGCCGTATTCAATGCCTCCAGCTGCACTGTCTGGCGCAAAGAGAGTGAGGAGCACGTTACTTGAATCAGGATAATGTGGATGTCGGAAGCGGATCGGATTTACAGAGATCGAGGGAGGTCGTGACGCGATGGTTGGGGCCGGAGAGGTGGTAGGATCGTGAGCCTCGGGATGAATCTCGATGAAATTTTCTTGGTCTTCCTGGCTCAGAGTCCGCGATGCATTGTCGTTGCAAGTGGCATCCATCTGATTATCGTGCTGGTGTTGTATGGATAGAGGGGTTCGCATTTTACGAGCGAGAGCGTCTGTGCTCCTGGTGATCCATTAAATTCGGTTCACTGGGCAACGACTGTCACATATGCATGTTTGCTCAAGACAGCCAAAAAAAAACATAAACCTTCAACGATAGATTAAGAGTCTCGCCGTTGTTCAATACATGGTGGAGGCCGGTTTTCCGAGGTCCAAGATGCCGATGAGTCGCACTACCCTCTGTGGGTGGAGGAGAACGGTGATGAGGGAGATGGTACCATGTCAGCTGAGACAATTCCCTTCGAGATCCAGACTATGCTGGAAGGAGAAATAGAGAAAAGAAAGCCATGAGCTTCGGCACAGAAGAGATGAGTGTTGGGGTTGATGAGAGGTGTACATATTATTCCATAATTTAAATACATTCCTGAAAATAAGCAGGGCATGAAGAAATCTGAAGTACCACGACGACGGCTGCTGCGAACAGCGGGCATATACATGTCGTATAAGCCGCAGTTCGACATTTCCATTACCCAAACGAGAAGCCGGTACTTGGCATCGTAATTTCTAGAAAATCCCCTTCGCCACATATAAGAGGAAGGCCGTGTCTCGGCTTGCAACAACAGACGGCCACCTTCATACCATGTCTGCCCTACGCACTTGGCTCTCAGAAACTCATCCCGTGCTCTTATTCTATTCAGTTTTTATTGTATTCTGGTTCGGGGCAATCATTTATTGTATACCTGTGCGACTTTATCTTCACGAGAAGGCTTTAGTGGCCGAGCAACGCCACGCGACTTTATCTTCTCCATATCAGTCAATCATTCCACTCTCTAATCAAAGCGTCCGTGGATGGCACGTACAACGATCTGTTCTTTGAGGACGCGGAGTCTGAACCCGGCTATCAAAAGCGCATACGGGCTGTAGTACAGAACCTTCACCCAGACTTCGCGGAACGCATCGCCTTGAGTAAGCTGATGGCAGGAATGGGAGACCTTACATGCCTTGCTTTCTTCACCAAACCCACTTCTTTCTTAACCCTTGCTTCGAACTCACTCTCGTTGTTTATCATCCATTCCGGTATCTTCCTCCAAGGGAATTCTTTGCGGGCATAATGCTCGCCATTATGCAAATTAACAACCTCGTCCATATGACAAGCTTTGCTCCTTTTTAAAGCAAAAGAAATGATATTCTCCCAGATGAACGCCCTATAACAAGACTTCTGTTCCGTGTAGCTGAATGATTTTTCCGATAATCAGGAGGGAGCCAAAGAATATTCGTATCGCCTTCCACTACCCAATGACTGGATACTTGTAAGATTGGCAAAGGCAAGGAGCCAGTGTGGCCCTCGAGCATCTGCAGCGGTGCTCCCGTGGCCGCGTCCCAGAGCCGCACCGTCCGATCGCCAGATCCAGACACGACCCGCTTGCCGTCCGGTGAGAAGGCTGCTGACTAGACCAAGTCAGTGTGGCCCTCGAGCGCCTGCAGCTGTGCTCCCGTGGCCGCGTCCGAGAGCCGCACCGTCTTGGTGTTATCCTACCAACTGGTGGCTCCCGAGAAGAGTTGATTCTGCAGCATAGTACGCAGGAGAAGCACAAGAATTGTCAAGAAAAGTTGGTACCAGGGGTGCTCAATTCTTTACTCTTGTCACCCACTTTGATTGAATCACTGACATTGTCCAGGATATTAATCTCGGTGGATTCCTAAGTTGAGGTTTGATCGGAGATTTTTGCCAACTGCTGTAAACCCTGGATCAGCTTCCCGGGTTCCTAAAAAGAGTTGTTCTTCTGGTACACTTTGTAGCTGAGGTTGCGTACCAATGCTGAGGTTGCTTACCAATGCTGAGGTCTGAAGCTCCTATATGAGGCTAAAATACTTCCATTTGGTCATCCTCTTAGCCAGTTCGATAGGGCTGAAGGTCGAAAATTTGTGCGGCATGTGATAGTATTCTTCTTCCAAAGCTCCTAGGCTTGGAGTACTGTTGTATGCCGCAAGGGGACCACGGAAGGGAGATCCCAAATAATGAGTTTCAAGAAGTCCTGTGTCTGAGAGAAGTAATACTGCTGGGTTTGCGCAGGACAGCAATACCTGTTTATTTCGGTCGTATATATGCGAGCAATAAGATGCATCAAGCAGCGCCTGATGCGTCGATGCATACGTAAAAAGTATCTTTGATCGCCCCAAGATGTACTTTACTAGTAAACCATTTCGACTTGTGGAACTGCCGTAGGCACTTCGATGAAAACCGTAGACTTAATGATTTTGCTGAGCTCTTGAAGGCCACCTTCTCGAGCCAGTTGTATCTTCATCAGTTGGCGAGACCTTACACTCTGTTGACACCGAATTAGACAATTGTCCAGACAAGCATGTATAGCTGGTTCAACTTGCCTCTTCAATTGTTCCGCTCGTTACATATCGAATGACGCAGACCTGTTTGTCTTGACCTAGGCGTAAGACACGCCCGATTGCTTGGTCTTCGACTGATGGGTTCCATTGCGGTTCAAGTATATAAACCCGACTTGCAACGGATAGATTGTTGAGCCTACAATTATAACACTGAGTCAGACATTCTAGATTCGGGGGGGGGATAGGAGGTGTACCCTGCCGCACCGGTTCCTAAGGTCATCAACAGTACCTTGACTGAGGAGTCGTGATGAAATCTTTTGAGTACCTCCTGCCGACGAGGCGGGGGAAGAGTGCCATCTACTTGGCCGAAGACGATCCCAGTTTGATGGAGAAGCTGGGCCATAAGATCGATGCTCCGCTTCCAGGTTGAAAAGACAATGCTAATAATGCGATTAGTAGATAAAGAAAAGTCTCTTGGTAGGATTTGGCTACCTCTTCTCGTGAGCATGGTGTTCCATTATGTCAGAGAGCACTGCTTTCAGCTTCGAAGGGTATTTAGGATGACCAGAAATACTGCTGTAAATGTTAGATCCGCTGTCATACCCACTGTCTTCTTTTTGCAGTGAGATAGGTTCAGGGTCGACTTGGCGCACTGGACTGAGATGGCCTCGTAAAGGATATCCACTATCATATGAAGCAGTGATCTGCTGCTTGCAATCCTGACATTTGAGGCGACGGTTGGGGTCGACAAGCTGTTGGTCCAACCCATCGATTGTGTCAATAGAGAGTATGTCGCAATTGCACTCTGAGCAGACGGCGCTGCCAATTTGCTGGAAAAGGCCGTTAATTTCATCAGGGTAGAATTGCTCGGCCGAGTCTTCCTCCGTCACTCCCGTCTGCGTAAGAGTCGTAAGACCTGTATTGCAAAATATACGCAGCCGCAGTAAGGCTGTCAAAACTGCTCTGCTTTCCTTTGGTGCTCGTCGTTTACTGACCACAGCCTTAATTGAACGCTCGCACGACTTTGCAAGCTCGTTGTAGGCTCTCTCCTCAACTTTTGACAGTTGTGGGTGTTTTTCGAGGCACGTAACGCCGAGTGGTAAGGACAATATGCTTCGCCTTAGGCATATTGACCCAAGAAGCATTTTGAGGTTCTCATAATCTGGCTTAGGCCTCTGGGAGCCTTTTCCTATTTTCTGGTTTCCAGCAATATATCTCCGAAACGCTGAAGTATCATCTAACTGCGGCACGCGAAGGAATTTTACAAGAGATCTGAGATCATGCAAGGAATTCTGTATTGGTGTTCCTGTCATGCACCATCGGATATTTGCTGAAAGATTTGTAGCCGCCTCGAACGATTTCGTGGACGAGTTTCTGATGGTATGCGCTGTAAACACCTAGTTAGCTTTGCTCGAGAGAATTTTTATGATAGAAATTGGTCATTTCTACCTTCGTCGAGAATGAGCCGATACCAGTGGAAGCAATCGAGAACACTGCCTCCCCTGCCCAGATCCGCTGCGACGGTGCCGTAAGTGGAAAAGACAATGTGATACGGCAGAGTTGAAGACGAACTCAGGCGCCTGTCCGGTCCATGATATACGTAGTATTGCAGCGTACCATAGGTGATGTGCCTAGAATGAATGAGGAATGAAACTTTGGTGAGGCAGTGGACTTACGTTGTGATTTGGTCAATCCAACCATTCAATAGCACTAAAGTCATCAGTGACAGGAGAACAACGCTGGTACTAAGCAAACTGACAGACAGAGGGCACAATCACTAGTGTTGACATTACTAGGATCCTGGCATCTTTGATCCCTTCCTTATCAGTAAATCGTGTTGTTGCAAAATGTTCGGCGCGAGAAATCGTTGTGACAATGGTTGCAATCATGGTCAGCGTTTTTCCGAGGCCCATATCATCAGCAAGAATGCCTCCGAGTATGTCGTCCGGGGTCTGGCTTCTTGCGTCAGTGATCTTATGTCGGAATCTTAGCCCAAAGTTAGTTGTATGTTCGTCGCACCTGCTGATGATGAGTGACGAGTGTTACATGCCTTGGGACTCCCGAAGTGAAATCCTCAACACGCCATAGCATTCTTGGGCTTTCATCCTGATTTGATTCTCGGCCCACTACGAAGTCGACAGCTATTTTTTGGTGGCTTCAGGATCGATTAGTATTGCCTTAAAATCGCCCTCGAATCTATATACTTGCCTTAACAGGTTTGTTTTGATTCGCTTATCGACATCTGCCTCCCGGAGATAGTCATGCCCTGGAAGGTTATTTATGAAAACTTTCAAATCGTCCGGATCGTGATCAGGTTCCTCGATATTAGGCTTCGATTCGATGTCATTTTGAGACGCCTCAGCAGAAATTGGGGGCAATACAGCCCCATTCGTGAACGAGGATCCAACAGCACTAAGATATTGCGGATTCTCGTAGGCAACGTCCAAAGGCCGTCGAATTGGATGCTGCAAGAACATACGATACTTACATAACTCCTTTGCGATGGTGTCGGCAAGGTAGCGAGCACCAAATATTTGTACATCCATTGAACAGATAAGCTTGAGTCTATCTGGGTTCAGAGGCTGCGCAGCTGCCTCTAGTTTCTGTTTGAATTCTGCTCGAGGGAGGAGGGCTTCATATCGAACGCTCTCCTTTGAGACGAGAGACATGAGCTGATAAAGCGCACGCTGGGATTTTGAGTTCATGGTGGCAACATTGGTACCCTTGAACTGTAAGTCACAACGATCCTGCCCGAATATGAGGTCCAGGGATGCGAGGACATCTTTGTCCCTTCCAAGTTCTTCCAAGAGTTTTAAATCCTTGCTCTGAATGGAATTGATTCTGATTTGGACATATCTCAACTGGGCCAATATTATTGAGTTGCCCCACAAAATAGTCACGAACCGACGAGGGGACTTCACCTACGCACCATTCCAAAACATATTTGCTCCTTTTTCCGGGCATCTGGCTTCTGAGACCCAACACCGTCCATTAAGGTGGAGGGTGGTACTTGTGGTAAAAGATAGATAGAAGTACCTCGTAGTTGTAGCCCTGCCAATGGCAGCAGGTCTCCATATGTTAGACAGTAGTCATTGACAGGGAATGAGGATCTTCAGCGCTTACGGTTTCTCTGCGGCGCCTCTACGACTCCCTCTTCGGAATCAACAACCATGTGTTGTACTCTATCACTCAGAATCCTAACGCTCGAGGATCTTCCACAAGAACTTCGAGAGGATGACCGTGAGGCAGGAACGGATGGGGAGGCATCGTGCTGGAGCCTCTTCCAACGATAGCCTTCGCTTGGAGAGTCCTGCTCATCCACTTCGAGCGGCCGCTTTGGAGTTGAGGAACCAGACATGATGGGATCAGGTCTACATAATGACATGCCTCTTGCGGGAGCTTCAAAAGACGTTAAGGTAGAAAAAGTCGGAGACTGTCGATCACATGACCATGATCACGTGGAGTCTGATGGCTCATCTCATGTGGCGTGTCAATGTGGGGGATTAAAAAGAGAACACAGTGAATTAAAAAGAGCCTCCCAAAAAAAAAAAAGAGAAAACTGGTGGGGCTTACAAAAGGTTATTGGCCAATCGCAGGATATTACGTGGCAAGTGACCCGCAGGTTAAACGAGCAATTCTTAGCCAATGAATTGCACATTTGGGGGCCATGCTGCTGGTGTAATGTCAGATCCCGAACAAGTCTAGCGGCCACACAGCCCTCAAAATCGAGTTGCAATGGCTTCTGACCCATCAGCACGTGAGCAAGGATTCGCCACCTGCAGGGATCAATCTACCTAATTTTAGGTATTCAAGCTTGCTGCCGCCATCCTCTTACGCTAGTCACATGATATTTCTATGCTTGTAAGAAGAAAAGAGGCTTTGTGATCTTCTGATCTGTTTGTGGATTAAAACTTTAAAATCCGTTAAGGAGAGTATTGTAAACGCATAGCTTCGAGGTTTTTATTCGAAAATTTGAAAATATGTGTGTATCAGGTGATCAAGGCTGAAGTCATGTGTTGAGAGCAGGATGCGATACTGGTAGGAGGTAGATCGAACCCTAATATACCAGCTTAACTATAAACTATACTTAAAAGTCTTACATCTAGCTAAATAACCGTGAGAGAACCCACATGCTGTAATCAATCCAATTGAACTTGCAGAAAGTAATTTCTAAAGACTTGGAAGAGGACTCCGTCCATGAAGACAACTCGGATGTCAGTAGATTTTCAAGTGATCACAGATCTATCCAGCCCACAGAGCTCTAAAAACTCGCCAAAGGAAGGCAACAGCTTCCCAGCAGCTAATAGTGCATCTACATTCGAACCCAACTCCTCACTCAACATATTCGCTCCATCCGCTCCCTCGCCACCCTCCTTCAATTTCTGTAGCAAGAGCGGACGAATGCAGTTCAGTCCAGTCTTGGTCCGGAGATGATCCGCTAATTTATCTGCTCTGCCATAAAAAGACTTGCATCCCCACGTCGCCCCGTCCTTGAGGTCCCCAAAACAGACGTATTTCTTATCCCCATGGTCTTTCTCGTGACGGTCGCGGTCATTTTTGCGTGTGAAGCTCTCTCCGCACACACCACACGCGAACGGTTTTACGCCCTCGTGCGTCCGGAGATGGGAATTCAGGTTGAAGCGGCCGGTGTACTTCTTCTCACACAAGTGGCACTGAAAGGTCGCTGGTCTCTTCGCGGTGCTAGGCGTCTGTGGCTTCGCGGGTGGTGGGTACTCCTTGCCATCAAACTCGTCAATCCCGTGCCAGTGGAGGACATGTTTCTTCAGCTCGTCTTTCGTTGCACAGCCGAAAAGTTTCACCTGGCAGCCGTCGAAGACGCAGAGGAATGGACGATCATGCCTGTCAAGATGATCCTTCTTCTGACTTGCGCTTTCAAACCCCTCGTGATAGTAATAGCAACTGACGCGGGGGCATTTGAACCAATTGCTGCCGTAGAATTGCTCAAGTTTCCGCTTCTCAGTCTCCGGTAGCGAAGGGGACCGCATGCCCTCGAGGAGCGATCTAATCTTGTCTGTGGCCTGCCATAGGTCTAACGCTTCGTCCTGACTTGGGCTTTGACAGTGCGAGCCCAGCTGCTTCCTAGACCATTCGACAGCTTGGCAGATCTTCTCATAAAATGTCGACGCCGCCATAAGAGATAGCTTCTCTTGGACTTTCTTGGACATTGGGAGAGACTTTGGCGTTGCTGACCAATGCCATTGGATGAATTGCTCGACGGTCTCGAGTAAAAGATCCAGTTTATCTGCTGCATCAGGGTTCGGAATTCCGGTTTGCAGATGCATGGCCCAGCAAGCTGATGCATAGTCATAGAATGCGTAGATGCCGTTTAAAAGGTCCGCTGAAATGGCGTCGTCTCTTCGTTCCTTCGCTTCAGTAACCTCGGGGAAAGCAAGGTAGGCGAGGCTCAATATAGACAACGAGTAGTCTACCTCGTGTGGTATGACATATTTGGCCCGAACCAGATATCTATATTAATCCGTCAGCTCATTTTCTGGAGGAGAAATGCAGAAAGGCTTTTTCTTAAGACTTACTCGCGTGCAGTTTCATGGATCAGCTGAACAGTCCCATCATATTCCAGCTCGACGAGGGATGCAAACAGTTCTTTCGGTGACTCCACAAGCTTCCTCTCGTAATCGATCTGCTGTTGGTCCATGTCACACCCCACTTTAATGGATACAGCTCCTTGTATCTCACGCCATCGCAATGGTCTCTTGGCACAGACAATCCAACCAAGAACTCTGCTAACTGTCTTATTCTTATCACTTCTCGATTCAAGGACGCGGTCGAGAATACGTTCATACCTTTTTTCATAAAGTCAATGCACAGTGTAAAAAGGTTCTTCGTGGGTTACTCACACGTCATCCAACTGCACTGGGAGCTTTGCTGGGTTAAGCTCCTCGCGAAGGTCTTCCCGAGTTAATTGTCCCTCGAGATACTTTGCCAGCACCTCCGCGAAAATGAACATTCCTGGGAGCGTTAGAAGTATTTCGTATACAGTTGGCGATAAGCAACCTAAACGTACCTTGGGCCCTTGCCGAGATAATGTTCCCGATGTGGAATTCGTTGGAGCGTAATGGGCCAAATTTAGCTTCGAGTTTCTGGTGCCATACTGCAGCGTAATCTTTGAGGTCTTCTTTGTTCTCGGTTGTGATTTTGATGGTGGGTAGATGCCCCAGAGTCTTTCTAGCTGGTCCATCATCTTGACTAACGAACAAGCATCGTATTGAGTCCATGTTCGCCGGAGGTAGAGCTTCGATGATCCCTAGAAATCGATTTGAAATATTATTTCTTTCTGCTTCCTTGCATTCATCAAGCCCATCAATGATAAGATAGGCCATTTCACAACTATTGAGAGCCGTGTGCAACATCTCGTCTGCGATCTCAGGCGAAGACAGAACGGCTCCGATGCAAGCCTTTTCATGGAAATAAGGTAAAAGCTGAGGGTTTTGAGAGAGAATCTGTGCCAAGATTGATCTTGCAACCGCCATAAATGAACTCCGCCTTTCATCGTCGTGTTTGCAGTAGAAGAATGCGAAAGTGGAATTCGGAACACGTCGTACTTCATCCACAATTACTGATGCGAGTATGGTCTTGCCTAGTTTTAGTAAGTACATGTAGTACATGTAGTTCATGTGTAAAAGTGGTATTGATAAGTGACATACCTGCTCCTGGGATCCCGCTCAACCAAAGCAAAGGCTCGGAACAATCTTCACGGTCATACCACTCCTGGAACCGAGCGTGATCGAGGAGCCAACGACCAGGGTTTTTGCAAACTGATCTAGTGTTCCGATAGTGTTCTTGTTGAGCTTCACAACCGAAATGGCTGAGCCATGCGTGAACCCTATCTTGACGAAGGATGTCTTGGTCTCTCATCCGTATTTCAAACTCATGGACAGCTGCTTGGCGAACGTTTTGGACTTCCTCAAACGTAGTATATGACTCACCACTCTCAATCAATCGTTTGTGACATCCAATATTTGACTCGATATGTTTGATGCCAGGTGCAAAGACTCTCCACGAGGCTTCGAACAGCTGCTTCCAGTCTAGATTTCATTTAGAATTGATATTGATTCCGACTAATAAGATTTCTGGCTACTTACGTCGTTGTTTGAAGATCCGAATAGTATCTTTATGGAAGCTGAGGATGTCTTTGTACAGCATAACCAAGACTTCTCTCATATAGAGCTTTGATTTGAAGATTTGTTGAAAACTCGTAAAATCAGGTAACTGCTCTCCGATCCGTTGATATGCATCCAGGACAGAGTTAAATGCCTCAGGAAATGACTTGGCAAGCTAGCAAGTCAATCGCTGTTGTTACAATCAGGTCTTAAGAATCGAATTGCCTTCACTTACAGTGAGAATATATTTCATCGGACCCTGCAAACACCATGAGCTTGTTTTCTTGGAGTAAGTTGCCACGGAAGTGTTCGCGATTACTGACCCATAAATACGAATTAACATCCGAAACATCAACGAAAACTTCAGCGACTTCAGCGACTTCAATAAATGCCTTCATTGAAACCAAGAACGGTTCGAGCCTCTTCATGTACATCATACTTTCGTTCCTTTCCTGCTCTTCTTGAAGAACTCGGAGGGAATTTTGGAGGGAAGTAAAAGTTGTAGCTTTGAAATCAGCATCTTCTGCCTCACTGAGGCTGATTGTCCGTTTGAAAATGTCCAATTCAGCTATAACTTATATTTAGTCATTTTCAGCTTCGCAGTAGGCGTTTATTCTACTCACTTTTGATGTTGCTTTTACTTGACATTCCATTGGTGTTGAGCCTCGACTGATCTACGAGTATGCTTGGTGCGTCATGACGGTTGCTGTATCCACTGGTAACTGATAATGACAAGATATCGCGTAGCCTAGAACATCGGGTGGTCAGCTTTTCCTAATTTACAATGTCTCAAGAGCAAGTGGAACAATCTAAGCTCTTCCGGGATGTGCTGGGAGTGCATGAGATGAAGCAGGAGTGTCATGGGATTTGGGAACAATGAATCAAGGAACCCGATTATCCTTACTTATATACCACATCATGGTAGTCCGGAGAATCTCTGGTAAACTTCACCATATCGGAATGGGTCTCATTTATTGGAAATGTTATAGAAGGGTTTTTTTCATTGAATTTGCATGTTGCCGATTCTCGGCTTACTAGAATCGCAGGTGTCCCATTCCGATCTATTGTGCCATCTGCGTTCTTCTGTTTCGTATTAGAAATAAACTTTCACTTTGAGGGTCGACTGACCAGAATCGTGGGAGACTGCGAGGTCTCATATGCCCAAAAACACTTGAATCGACTTTGGAACGAGCTGTTTGAGGACGAGTCATTGAGTCGGCGGAGATAGTTTGAACCTCGAGCAATGTCATCGACCAGTGCCTCGTTTGGATTATCATCAACAATTGTTTGAAAATGTGACTGTTCCATGCCCAGGTTTGGGACACCAAAAAATACAGCTCCCGCGAAGAGGCTGAGTAGAGCTGTGTACCCTTCGTCCGGACTTCTGTTAAGCTTTACCATGGCCTCTCTCAGTACAAGTCCGCCGAGGCTGTGAGCAAGAAAGACAACAGGCTTTGCAGATGTTGAGTTCCAGCCATATGTCTGAAGTTGATTGATGAGAGCCTGGGCGAGGTCTGGGATGAGTTGAAATGATTGGCTGCCACCAAGCTTCGTGTCATAGCCGTATATAATTGACCTTACGCCCGGCAGGTGCTTTGGGAGCGTGTCATGAATCCACATAAACGTCTTGTCGCCTCGTTTTGGCTGCCAGGAGCCGAAAGGATGACTGGCAAGACCTGAGATAGTAATGCAACTGCTAACAGTCAGCCTGGTATAATACTTCGAGAATGAGCATGTATACTCGAACGAATGTCTGGATTCCACGTCGTTCATTGGTGTCATGCCCATGAAATGAGTATCCAGCATCAAACCATCAACATGAGGCTGACCTTGATTAGCTGGGACAAACCACTCCATTTCCCCATGGCTCTCTTGGATAAGTGAAGGAAGAGTTTGAAACATCACAGTCGCCATCTTAGAGCGCGGTGACTCCCAGGAATTCAGGGTAGTAGCTAACGAGTATACTCGAATACGGTCGTCTGAGATATCACCCAGTCTCGAGCTGAGAAGACTCGCAACATCCTCAGCAATTTTGACATCGTTTGGTAGTCCGCGCACGCGGAAAACCGTTCGAGACCATTTATCGCTGTCTTGCTTCATTTCAAATGTGGAAACTTGGACACTTCCAGCTTTGGATCCGTTCAGTGTCTCTCTGTCTCCGCCCGGGAAAGGTCTTTTCACTGCCGTACATCTTCCATGATGTTACACACACTCTAGTCGGGCCATGGCTGGCGGAGGATTCCGTGCAGATGAGAGTCCAGAGAAAACAAGCATATAAAAGATCCGATATTTCTATGCAAACTGAAGAAGGCACCGTTGGCAGGGGGTTGTGAAGCCCAGAAAGTGAGGTGTGAGGTGAAGAGGTGGTTTTGCCTTCGCATTCATTGGTGGGCTTCCCGGATTATATCAGCAGTGATCCACTCAGCAGCGCGCGCCTCTCCGAATCGGGCTAAAAGGAGGAGTATACCGCCTTGAGACCGCCTTCATTCTGCCGCAATTTTCACCATGCAACTCTCAAATCACAGCTTCCCCGAACAGCAAAATCGAATGCATGAATGCTGAGGTATGCGATCAACCCTCGAAATTCTGTGACTATGGCAGCCAAGCCCCCAAAGGACCCGTTACTCGTGGTCCTTGGCGCTACAGGCACAGGGAAGTCGCAGGTACGAAGCTCCCTTCCCCCTGCAGTTCAAGCTGACAGCTTCTCAGCTTGCTGTCGACCTAGTAAATAGATTCGACGGCGAGATCATCAATGGCGATGCGATGCAGATGTATGACGGTCTGCCAATAATCACGAACAAGATCACGGTAGAGGAGCAGGAGGGAATACCACCATCTGCTGGGCTGCATTGCGCTAGATGAAGAACCGTGGAGGGTTGGGCTATTCAAGAAGAAAGCGGGTCAAATAATAAAGGAGATTTGGTCAAGAGGAAGACTGCCCATTGTGGTTGGAGGCACACACTACTGCACGCAATCGTTGCTGTTCGACGACTTTCTTTTGAAAGATCAGGTTGAAGGGGAGGAGCAAGACCACATCGAATTTTTCAACGAGGAGATTGTGGAGAAGTTCCCTATACTCTCAGGGCCTACCGAGGATATGATCGAACGCTTGAGGGAGGTGGATCCTGTGATGGCGGATCGATGGCACCCAAAAGACAGGAAAGATCCGACGGTCTCTGGAGATATTCCTGACAACCGGGAAGAAAGCTTCTGTGTTCTACGCCGAGCAGAAGGAACGAAAGCCGCACGGAAAAGCTGAGACTAGCATGACTACAAACGAGGTGGGCGATGGCTTGACCCTCCTCTTCTAGATACACGCCGAATCGGAATCTCTAAAACAACGGTTGGGTAGTCGAGTCGACAAGATGTTGGATGCTGGCCTTTTGAGCGAGGTCAAATCGATGGAAATTTTTCGGAAGCGGCAATTGAAAGCGCGGATTCCAGTTGATCAAACACGCGGCATCTGGGTCTCGATCGGGAGGAAAGAGTTCACAATCTCGTAGCCTTCGAACAAGGCACTACTTCTCAAGAGGATCTGCAGAAACTCTATGAGCTCTCCATTGAACGAACCAAGGCTGCTACTCGCCAATACGCAAAACGACAAGTCCGATGGATTCGTCTGAGCTTGATGCCAGCTTTAGCAGAGGATTTGGACAAGCTTTACCTCCTTGATGGCACAGACATCAGTCAATGGACAGACGCCGTCTCCCAGCCTGCCATCGACATTGCGGCCAAATTCCTTGAAGGCAGCGAGCGTCCTTCGCCCTATGAACTGTCAGAAATAGCTCGAAATATTTTGGCTCCAGCGTCTAGTCGTGACGAGAAGCCAAACTTATGGTTCCGAAAGGAATGTCAGACATGTCATATGGTAGCCGTCAATGACGTCCAATGGAAAACACACCTCAACGGCCGTCGTCACAGAGCACTAACCAAGAAGAAGCGGAAGAGTGAAGCAAGCGATAGGTCTTCCCATCCGAACCGCTCTGGACAATCGGCGGGAAAGAAGCGGAGAGGTTGGTGCGCTGTCCCCTCTGTATGTATCCGAAAAGCGCCGCCAATGCTTCGCACGTACTAGAGAAGACTTCGCCAGAGAGCTCGGAGGGGGGTTCAAAGGACGGTTCGCAGATGAAAGCCCTATCCTAAAACTCCATTTATCTGTACATCTATAACTGAATCCTGGAGTGGGTCCCGTCCTGCCACCTCCCTCTCCCCAAGATACTGGGCAGAAATCGACAGAGATGATATTCCAGCCGATGCTCGAGCTACCTTTCTAGGACGTTGACTCTGCACTCCACCTCCACCTTCCTTCGCGGAAGGAGAAGTACAGACGACCTAGACGTATACTATATAACGGAGCTGCGGACAGCGCGCCTTAACGAGATCTGTGGCTAGCGGGCCTTCCTAACTATACGAGGCCTTTGTATCGACAGTAGCTATTAAGCCACGAAATTATTATTACCAAAGACTTAAACGAATATCTTATTTAATACAAGATACGAATATTTATTAAACTACTTTTAATATTCTTAATTATAATATTATAATAAGTATAACTTTATATTTATTTAATTTATTAAATAGTAATATATCTAACTTAAGTATTTCTTTAAACTTAAGTCTTTTTCTTATTTATATTTAATATAATTAATCTTTAATCTCTGTAACTAGTTGAGAAATTAAGTAATTTAGGTTATATTAGAATATAATATATAATATATAATAAAATAAGCTTTAAGTTATCTTTAATCTCTTAAACTATTTAGGACATTGAGGTCAAAATGCGATATACAACAAAAAGTCTAGGCGTCACTACATAAAATTAGAAAGTCTTCAGAGCACAGATGAGTGTACTTGCTATTCGATTTGGATTTGTTGTAGAGCGGAAAAGGATCCCAAGGCAACAATCGTTAATATAGGGATCGGTTCGGCTAATAATTATCCCCGACCTAGCGTATATACCTACCTTACCTACCTTAAGGTACCTTACCTTACCTTAGGTACGGAGGCTTGTTTCGGTAAGAGCGAGGTCATATTAACCCCCAACTGGTTCCGTACCTACCTACCTGTACCTAGGTAGTATAGTTTCTGGGAGGAATATAATGTTTCGGACGGGGTGAGAGGTGGAGTGGGGAGAATGGAGGCAGGCGTTCTTGCATGCGCACACCTGGCAGGCTGCCCTTCTCGCTACCCATCCATACCTTGCTGGCCGCTGAGCGTTAGACGCCAGGAACCGAGTCAACTCGACTGCCATTCCTCTGCTTATTCTGAGGTCTTTCACCGCGGCGGCATTACGAAGTAGAAACTCGAGGTACCCCAACTCCCATACCCCGCCATCCCACGGCATAGCTTTCAACCCCCGAACCCATTGTTGATTTGCAATAATGGCCAGCTTGATCCACTACAAGTCTTCGAAGAGACTTCCGAATCAGGATCCTGCCGGGCTACCTTTCTCGAACTCCTCTCTTCAGACGATACCGAGCTCCTCGCTTGAAGCGATACCACAAGAAAATCGGTATACGTTTAGCACTATTAGCGATCTCGAAAATCGTATCGAAAAGCGCGCCGAAATCTTAGCATAAGATTATATTCAACATGAATATCTTGCATTCTCATTGTTCCGGATAGGAAACGGTAACGATTGGCCTCCTAACGTTTCGAATTGCCGGTTTACCATATTTGAGAGCGACCAACTGTTGATTACTAAAATCATACCGGCTAGTGGGGATTGATCTTTTAGAGCTATTGATTTACCATCCCCCCCAGAATTTGTACGCAACAGAGGGTGACGGAGGACTTAGAGAAGAAGTTGGGACGGAGACGGAGTACAAGTGGCTATGTAGCATTAAGGAATACCAGGTGGGCCAATTTGCGAAAATTCGGGAGGATCGTGTACATGTGTTGCCTCCTTGCTATTAAACTGTACTTTGCAAATAATCAAAGCTGGGTCGTACCTTACAAGATTCTCAAGCCATGTAATACGATTTAAAAAGTGACATGTTTCAGCTTAGAGTCCGATAGCCATATACCTGTCAAGGCTAGTAGGCTGTATTCTATGGGCAATGTATTTGTCTACTATTACTGCACTAGTTCTAAGTTTTTGAAATTCGTTTAGATTACTTTCAAGTGCAAAAGCTAAGGGACGATCAGATTTTCAAGATATACGCAAAGCTAGTAAATTAATATAGAAAGAGTGTACCGCACGCATAGGCAGAGGAATTTAAGCTAGCGGAGGTGACTGGAAAAGGTTATCGCTCCGCGACAAGGGGGCGAGTTGCGTTGGGGTCATGAGGGAAACGGATCGGGGTTTGGCAGAATGGTTGTACCATTGTAGCATCGTCTTGCCCTTATTATACCGCGCCTACAAGACTTCTCTGTAGATCTTGGGGGCGATATCATTTGGTAGCACCGCAGTAAGCTACAGTTTCCGCCCCTGTACAAGGGCAACCTGTATGTGGTGCCGCTTACTGCGCATGCAGACATCGCTCGTCTACGGGATTTCCGCACGCGAGGAGCGTTTCTCGGGCTCGGGGACCCCCTGACATTGCCAGCTGTCGGCGAGAAGGGAAATACTATCTGATACGCCCAACTCTTTACAAAGGAAATCTCCAAAACCCAAATTTGCGCAACGGGAATTTAGACAAGGATGCCTTTTGAATCCTTCTGTTGGTGGCGCTCTGTTCAGGTCAGATATGCAATGCAGCTGAAAAGTTGCATTTGCAAGTGAGATGCCACTGATATTGCGTCGGCAGTATCCTGCTTAGGCGAGCAGTATTGTTATCACTCTCTATTGACTTGTTCCTCCCTTCGTAGGGAGAAATTCGTATTTAACTATATATTTACCACCTGCCCAACTTTTAGGCTGCTCGCAAGTGTCCCTACTCCACCCTCAAGTCCTCAAAAGCGCCTCCTATCATCACCGGCTCGGAATATATATATGCACAACATGTCTCTCAAAAACAACAAGGAGGCATTGTTCGTTCCCTCTTTGGCCTCATCTCGAGGCATGCCATCCACTAATACTGTTGGTAGGGGTTCAATGACACCCATCACGAAAGCACCAGCCAAAGAAGGACTCCCAAGTACTGAGAAAGGCAATAGTAAAGAGTAAGTCTATCCTTTATGTGGTTCTGACACTTAGGAATGATACTAACATCCAATTTTTGTAAGCAGATTGCCCACGGAGTCTTCCAGTGCACCTTCCCCTGCAAACCGTGCTCAACAATCCGAAACAAGGCAGCGGCAACTGGGGGCACCACAACTGGAGCGCTGGGCTTATGAGGTCTCGAACAGCGAACTGACGCTTACCGAGAGGCTCGAGAGATCGAGATGGGAATGTGCCAGTGATTAAGAGTCAATGATTATAATCTCAATGAGTAACGTGTATTCGGTACTCCCCATGTCTACCACCTAAGAATTCAATACACTTGTATCGTCTCATTAAATAACGATTTGAGTGTGGGCTGCAATGATCAATTGCATTCGGCGCACTAGATATGTACCAATCATCCAGGCCAGCCTGCAAAATAAAGGATCTACCTTGCGCAGTCATAAATGCAACTACGTGGAAAGGGATTGCGAGAAGGCATTCCTCCATCCGCGCGTCTCAATTCCCAGAGCCGCAGGCAGAAGAAATTGCATAAACAAATGAGAGCAATAGGGACGAGCGGGGTAGGACGATATGCACGCCATGAAAATGACGCCCTGCCACGTCAGTCACGTTGACGAGTGGCCATAAGCGCAACGAAACCAAATAAACGCGACAATGCGTCTATGCATACACGAAGTAACGTAAGCGCGCATTTAAGCGCAATATTCTCACTGGTTACAAATGACAAGCGCCTGAGACACTGACTGTGCTACCATCTTCGCCTTGTGTAAAATCAAGGAAATCCGGAGGGGCATACAGCAGGACGCCCGATTTGGTAGACGCGAGACGGCTCTCTCCGAGACGGACACAGTTGGTTTTCAATAGAGCCATGCATCAACATGGGATCTCCCAAGACTTCTTGTAAGGCATGATTCATTCCCTACATCCATGTAGTCTTTCCGAGATCCAGCATCTTATTTGAGTCTCGAGGGAATTTTGTTGGCAAGGGCCGCCAAGACAGCCGAACAGGGCGCCATGACCGAACCTAATACCACTAGGGCGACCATCTAAAAGTAATGGCTGAAGGATACCGGTTCCAACATCATCTGCCGTCATACCTCCAGTTGAGGGCGGCCATTTTCGTGCATTTCAGATTCCTCGCTTAGCTCAGGGGGCGTCGTGAGCCAATTTCAGGTACAAGCGCATCGGAATCCACGATCACTCCTCTTCTCATACGCGGCTGAAGGGCTACTTGTTCCTCCCATCATTACATCCACATGCATCGCAATACGAAACCAGCTCCACAGAACCCTTTGGTGCTTACCAGGTCGAACTTGTGGTACGAATAGTCAGTTGCGCTTTTCATCATCCCGAATAAGAATTGCATGCGAGCAGTAAGTTTCACGCCAGCACAACAAGAGACAGCACGGCTAGCTTTTGCCTATCAGGCATTACACTCCTTGGTGTAGCCTTTGCAGAGACTTTGCTTTCACTATAAATAGTTCGAATCATATCGAGATACGAATATCGACGGCGTCCAGTAGATGCGGCACAATTGGGGCGATTGAAGTTGAGGTCTTACAAAAGATCTCGCACTTGCTGAGGTGATTTAGAGCCAGAATAGGCAGCATAGTTTTAGAAAGTAGATACTCGGGTAGATCCGCATTGGAAGAGCAGTGAAATCCGTGTTTACACTGGCAAACCGGCGGGCATTTGACCTAATCCACGCATACCCTTGCTATGATGGAAACATATGCCCACTAATTCCTATTGGACCTTTCAAAACACTTAATTATAGTAAACCTTCGGATGCATGGCATATAGGGCGTGTGAATTTGGCTTCGCCGTAAGAGGTAGATAGTGGCGGGGGATATAGAGAGTGTGTTCAGATGTTGGGATTTGCCAACTGACGTGAGAGAGACCGTTGGAGTTGGAAGACTATTCTCAAATACGTCACACAATTGGTAGTAGGAGAAGTAGAAAGAACGAAGAGATGTCTTTCGTTAGTGCCAGCATGAGAAATACAGGCTAGTGTCGAGATCGAGGTTAGCAAAGCGCTGGATTCTTACGAGGGCTCACACATACCTTTATAACCCCCCTCGAGTGTTCAGCGATAAAAGCAATGGAAGGCATCTCCAAATATAACTAGGACTTCGACAAAGGCCCCAAATGGTAAAGGTAATCTTGAATGATCTCGCCATCAATTGTAGGAGCCCATTAAAAAGGTGGATATCCGATCGGCCTAGCATAAAAGCTTGCGATATGCACTGCAAAACACATTAATGGGACTCGTACCTTTTGGATATATTTATAGGCCTACCTCGGAATTATTTTCTGATCAAGAGAGCCGGTAGTAAGACCTTCAAAATTGAAATTGCGATAGGGATATTTAGGCCTGAAGCTGCCACGGCTGTGGATCAGTAAAACATGAATTACCGCAGTTACAATCAGTTTGTATATCGAAGGTTTGGAAGCGCTCGGCTGGATCCTGTCTCTTACATACCGTATTCCAAGATATAAACTGATTGTGGAGTTTAGTGATATGTCTTGGCATTGCCGGTACTCGAAGCCCACTTCTAGGTGGGCAATCTCAGCCAACAGCAGTAGTAGCAAAATAAAAGTTGTGTTAAGATTGCTTGATCTTTCTTTGTTGCGAGTATCAAGCCCTAGACATAAGGATTAGCATTAAAATCAACTCGTAGTAAGCAAAGACTGAGAGCAAAGTATGACGGCGGTGCAATTGAACCTGATTTGCACTCTCTTGTCAAACCCGGCACCGATTCGAGAAGGTCGGGGAATTTCCCTCGAAGGGTTGATGAGAGACCAGGGCAGTCGACTATGAACTAAAGGTGATTTGGCCGACTTGTCGTGACCTACCAAGAATGAATATATGCTTAGGGCAAGCTGACAGGGCTACGGGCCTAGAGGTGTGCTGAGTGTGCGGTTATCGATACTATGATGGTTGATGTGCATCTGGGGGACGGGCATATACCGTCTAGCGGTTGTTGGTGTCATGAACCTGTTCTTGGTTTAAGAGTTGAGATGAGCCTGGTAGCCCGGGCCGGCCCTCTGGCGCAAGCTTGGCGGCAATGAGGCAGCAGCGACGCAAATCCACCCCTTCGACGGGAGCTGTGTCTGGTTGTCCTCAGTTGTGACAGTCGCTTACACCCAGATTTAGGTATAGCTCTCTTCTGTCTCTTGCACGTTTGTTATTACGCGTGTTTCAATCATCATTGTCCAGCAGAATTGACACTTGTGGACGATGATCGTGCAATCGGGTCAATTTATATAGCGTCATGCATGATGCAAGTCAGGGAACATAGAGAAACGTGGGGGTTTGGCTTTGGAGACCGCTCTTTCAGCGCGAGCTCGTCTCGCTTTATCTGCCCGTGCATGCATTTTCTACACCACCACTCCACTCCTACATTTCTGTTCACCTCCACTCCTACATTTCTGTTCACCTCCACTCCTACATTTTTGTTCACCTCCACTCCTACATTTTTGTACACCACCACTCCTACATTTTTGTCACCATCCATCTCCCGCCACCCGCCACCCGTCAGCTCTTTTTCTTTCTACGTTATAATATCAGCCTTGTATTATTTCGACCAAGGCTCAAGCATAAGAATTGATTTGCTGTGGACGATGATTATATTCCAAAACACCGGTATGAAACTGCTCGATAATTCGCGAAGTTGCGGACGTTAGAAGTGCATCAGACTCCGACCCATTTTTTACTTTGCCCGAGTTTGCTATTATTGTTATAGTTCGCCATTATGCGACCAGTTGAGGAGTTTGCCCTGCGACACACTGCCTTGTCAGTTGGGCTATCAAGGCAATTATTGCCGCTGTGTGATTGGTTCATCTTCGCCCACTGGCATAAACACCCAGACCCAATCACCTGCAACCAGGTCGCCGAGATATAAGGCAAATAAGGATAATGCGCACCACAAGCCGTTCCATTGTAGAATTATAGTTCGCCATTTGTGATTTTGCTGCCGTTGCCAGTGCAAAGACAGGGATATCGCTATCACTACAAAATAGGGGGCGTGGGAATCTCATAAAAAGGCTATGGTCCTACTCCTCCCTTTCCAACTCTACTGATAACGGCAGGAAATAACTACTTTCAAGTGTTCTTCTATAGTGCTTTCAGCTGCTCCAATACTACTCCATACACCATCCGATTTCTCCATCAAGCCTCCCAGCTGTCACAGCTCGTGAACTATTGTCCACCTCGTACGGTCGTACCCATTGCCCATCCGGCAATTCCAAAACCCAACTTATTCCAAGATGTCTTCTCCCAGAGACGACACGCCACAGGATTCCATGCCCCTTGCAGAGCCTTCTGACGCTTTGGTATTACCAAGCTGCACGACTACAACCTCTCACCAGCATGTTTCGGCCTCCACCTTTGAAAACGATGAGACTTCGCACGGTAGCCGTGGCATGAATAACGGCCTCAGCAGAACATACTATGACTCGTCGTCCGTCGACTATCTTCATCCAAGATATTCGGCACCCATGTCAGAGTTCGACAAATCCCAACCAGCAACCAGCACGAACACTCCCGTCAGTGCTCAACTTTCTCAGTTGGGCACTACTACATATCCCTCGGCGTATCAAGACTCTACCACTGGGCCATACCGACATTCCATCGATGAGCTTGACCTAGTATCTGAGCCTGAGACTGGTCTATTACCTAGTACGCCTAATGGGCAAGGACAATCCTCGATCCAAGCCCAGAATGCCTCCAAGTATTACCCGGGCATCAATACCACCGAGCTATCCCCAGCAACTTCCCACTATCATCATACCCAGGATCAACATCAAGACGTCGATACCTCCTCTATGTCACCGTCTACCTGGTCAACATCTCCCTTCATGCCTGGGTACCCCCCACAAGCACTACTCACCACCACCACACCCACCCTACATACCTCTACCTCTGATGATAGTGCCTTGAATGGCCATGAAACCACGTTCGCCAAGTGGCTATCCTCCACAGAAAACAGCGAAATCCCCATCGCCGAAAGGTTCCAGAAATAAAAGTCTCACACCACTTGGCATAGTCCGAATTGAGGGATGGCGAAAGGGGGAAAATGATTTTCGATTTCACAAAACTAGGAATATTTACAAGCGGGTTAAGGATTGATGCCAACGTATCTTGTAGCATAAGGAATTTCTTTTAGGAATGCAACTTCTTTCCATTTATAGGTAGATAAAATTCAGCATACTGTCTTGGTTTAAAATTGAGTGGATGCCTTTTATAAGCTAGCTTGCTTAGCTATCTTATTACATAGCTATGCCAAAAACGACGGACTTTCCTATTACTTTCTTAAGACTGGACTTGAGGAGTCGGCAATTTATGAAAGTGGAGTACTCCCGATGTTTCTAAAGAAGCTAGTCTAGGAAAATGAATCATACATTGTATTGACCCGTGGAGCGTACGTTAAGAAATTCGTCGACATTCAAGGAAAAATACGATGATGACGGGAAGTGAAAGGGTAAGAGGAGAGGGGTGCTGTAGTAGAAATCATAAGAAACAAGCTAATACCTGTACTTTCTAAGAAACTAGGAATTAATCTGGACTCGTATACCTATTTCGTCACGCTAGTCTATATCACATCAACTGAGACCAGCTTGTGGTATACCTAAACCGAGCGGTTTCATTAGTTAGGTAGTGATGCAGCTAGATGAGAATGTGAAGTGCCAGTTCCTTACTCTTTGCTCCCTCTCCTATCCCACGAAGTGGACACACCTAGCCATCATTAGATACTCCTCAGTTTAAGTCTAAAATTCAATTCAAGAGTGGGCTCCATTCCTAGAGCCCTTGCAAGGCACTTCTATTCCCAAGTCCACCCCTCGCAAGCAAAATTCGAAGGAAATATCACCCAATTTGCAAATCCTCGAGTGTCTAGCTGAAGACTACCAGTCGACCTCATAGGTATCCGTCTCAACGTACGTATCGTTCTCCACGTACGTATCATTCTCCACGTAAGTATCATTCTCCACATACGTGGTGCTATCCACGATTATGTCGCTCTGCACATAGGTATCATTCTCCACGTACGTATTACTCTGCACATAAACGTTGTCCTGGACCACAACCGGCTGCTCGACAACTACAGTGGGTCCAGTCACATATCCAGCCACGCCACCATAACTGCTCGTCAATGCTCCTTTGCCAGAATGTTGGGTGTGCTTGTCCCATTCATGTGTTAGGACTGCACCGGCTAGTAGACCACTACCAGCGCCAAGTAGCGCCCCCATCCCTGCGCTCAGTCCGGATTTCGTATTGTTGGCTGAATTTGAAGGGGCTCTTGTTGCTGAGACTGGGGCTGGGGTTGGACGTGGATGGGATGCGCCGTACACAGGATTTGGCCCATATCCCTGCTGTGGGTGATAAGGGGCTGGCTGTCCATTTGCTGGTTGGGGAGTATATGGCGCTGGTACTGGTTGTCCATATGCTGGCGGAGGGGGACCATTCCGCTGTTGCTGGCCATATTGTGCTTGAGGCGAAACGGCCGGTTGCTGTCCATGTGGTGAAGGTGTTGGAGGGGGGTATCCGTACGTCGGACGGGTTTGCTGTGGCGGGCAAGTGTTATAGGCTGGTTGAGGCGGTCCATATTGTGGGTTTTTGGGAGGTAAATTGTTTGCACTATTGGCTGGAGGTGCGCCGAAGGTACCGGGCTGGGGAGTTGGGGGATGGCTAGTAGGAGATAAGGCACTTATGGGCGGTTGAGGGGTGGGCTGAAGAGTCAAAGGGGCCGGTTGAGGAACGGCGGCCGGTGGAGGGTTAGGACTATACGGTTGAGGCGTCGGTGGAGGTTGAGACCCATAAGAAGGCTGATAGTTAGGAGCTGTATTTAGGCTGTAGTGTTGAGGTGTGGATGGTGGTGGTTGTGAGCTGTAAGGGGGCTGCTGCTGGGTTGGTTGCTGAGTGCCGTTGAGAGATTGAGGTTGTGGCGGTTGAGACGCATCACTGGGGGTAGAGCTGTGACTGTACGGTTGATAAATAGCTGAAGGCCCAGGGGCAGCCTGATCCCGTGACGCTTGTTGAGTAGCGGGGTTTGGAGTCGGTGGCGGTTTGTATGCTTCAGGAGGAGATGGGGCATGAGAATTGTAGAGTGGGTTCTGCTGAGTAGGCTGTAGGGGGGCAGGAGTCGTAGTAGAAAATGGGGTATACTGCTGAATAAGGGGGTTATGCGGAGATGAGTGCTGCGCAGGTGGTGGAGAAGTAGGATTCGGAGGAGTTGGGTTACATGCTTGGATAGCTGGTTTCTGAGGGTCGTAAGGGGTGTATGGCTTGGAGGGTGGCGATGAAGCGGGATTTGGAGATGGAGCTGGATTGTAGGCTTGAATAGGGTATGGCTGAGAGCTGTATAGGGGTTGTGGTTGTGTAGGTGGTGGGGAAGTCGGATGTGTTAACGGGCTGGGATTGTAAGTTTGAATGGGGGGCGGTTGAGAGCTATATGAAGAGTACTGCTGGGATGGGGGCGGAGAAATTGGATGCGATGAGGGGGTGGGGTTGTAAGCTTGAATAGGGGGTGGTTGAGAGTCGTAGGAAGATTGTGGTTGTGTAGGCGGCGGAGAAGTTGGACTCGATAATGGCATGGAATTGTATGCTTGAATAGGAGGTGGCTGAGAGCCATAGGAAGATTGTTGTTGTGCAGGTGGCGGACAAGTTTGATGTGATGAAGGACTGGGATCGTATGCCTGGATAGCTGGTTGAGAAGAACCATACCCAGATTGCCGATGCGTAGGCGGAGCAGAGCTCATATTTGGAGATGAGGTTGGGTTATATGCCTGGGTAGGTGGTCCGGAGGAGCCATATGAAGACTGATGCGGAGGAGAAGCGGGAGTTGAGGATGGAGCTGGATTATACGTCTGAATAGCTGGTTGCTGGGGGGCACTGTAAGGCTGTTGCTGGACGGCAGGCGGGGAATTCGGGTTTGGGGACGGGTTTGCATTGTATGTATAGTTATTAAACTGTTGCGGCGCCGGTGAATAGGTAGCTTGCTGCTGGGGAGGTTGGTTGTATGGGTCCGAACCCCCTAGAGAAATACCCGCCATCGCAACTTGCAAAGATGAGGCATCGGCAGGTCTTGCTTCAGTTGGTGAGCTTTGATATCCCGGCGGCGGAACTGGAGGGGGTTTTCGTGCTTCGGGCCGTGCTGCGGGCCCTGTTGGCTTCTCCCAAACAGAGACTTCCGTATAGATATTTTCGTAGAAACTATAGTGATATAAATCAGTATCCTCTCAACTGTAACCGGTACCAACCAACTTGCCATGCGTTGTAGTCTGTGTTCCAATGTGCCTTCCAACCTTCCGGCAGGCCAGAAGGCGGGCCCGGAGGTGGTAGAACCATCTTCAGAGATTCGCTCGGAGGTGCGGAGAGATGGAATTATTGATCTCTTTCGCACTCTAGATAGAGTCTGTAAAATAAAGATTCAAAAGAGGTCTGGGCATGTTCAGCATTCAAATATTGACAGTTGAAAAGATGGAAGTCAAGCTAGGTTCTAAAACGTGACTTAGGTACGAGTGCTTAGAGGGGCAGTCCGCCGATATGTAGGAGAACGGGCGGTGCATAATTGGAAATTGCTACCACCGTAACACCGCACCATCACCCAAGCATAAACCAAAGGAGATAGAGTAATAGAGACAGTTGTCAGTTGAATCTAGTGGTGGAGTCTCACGCTCAGCCTCTCAGCTGAGGATTGAGAGTCTAGGCGAGGCGTATCACCACTTGTTGTGAAAGCCATGGCACAGCCGCAAACTGCAGGCACAAGTCGCCAGGACTGCTAGAATATTGAATCGATAATAGCAACTAGCACGATTCTGAATAGACCGGGCTGGAACGCCGCGAGTCTGCCATGAGCCCCCGAGACGCCAAAGGCACACAAGTAGCTTGCTGCACAAAGTACCTCTGTATAAAACAGCCACACATGCCCAAACCAAGAAAAGGCTCCGGAGGTGCAGGCGGATGGAGGGCCAACTTGATCTAATTCTCTTGGGTAGAAGGTGGGAAGGATGTCCCACTTGGTAGGGGGATGACGGTGGGATTGCGCTAGGTCTAGACCTGTGGGCAACCATGAAGAAATCGTGCAAATACTTGTTCCCATAAGGAGGTACGAAGTACCTCACACATAACATCCACTTGCAACAGGCAATGGTAGGTGGTGTCTCATAGGGTTGAACGTTGCGCCATACTCCTGCTCAGCGTCACGTCCGGCGGCAGCCAGCACAATCGTAGACCATCCCGTAGGAACTATCGCAGCATCGTACCATGGATGGGATACAGCGTGGCTCTCGTTTCGCCTTCATGCGTTCCATTATCGTAGTAGAATATATTGCGTTGCTAGAAGTTGTAGGCGGATGAATGTTGGGTTGAAAAAGATGCTAGGTACCTAGGTAGTGGGTCGTAGGGTTAGCTGGGACAGCGTTAGTGGTTACTTCTCGTCAGCCCTGCACTCTTCCACTGCGTCTTCTACCACAGGATAAACAAGCTTTTTGGGGGGCAAGCCAAGCTCGTGAGTCTGCAGTAGAGGTACCCTACAAGCAATTGTATAGCTAGGTACTCGTACACTTGGGTACAACGCGCCTAAGTGTGCGTGATGGGACAGCTCGTCCATTAATGTACCGTACGGATCGTTGAGGTTCTCAACATCATGAAATCTCTTGTAGCCTGGCCGGAAATTGAATAATTAATGGATGACTTCCAATGCCCGATATTTTACTCCTTACAAGCATAGATGCGAGGGAACAGAGATAAAATCAATCATAAATTTTGTTGGTATTGCACATTCATAAATACGGTATTTTATCCCTTCATCATGAACCATAGCCCTTTAAGAAGCGAATCCCCACACCAAACTCCACGACGACGCCGCGCCCTCCCAATGCACAACTTAGATTTCAGAACGCTCATGCTAGGGCAACAATAGTATCGGACCCATCTATGGGCACGCCAGCCAAGGCCTGAGCAGGATCGACGGCATGGAACCCGTCTAAGGTTACGTTGACCGCACCGGCTTGGACCAGCTATATTTCAATTAGTCACTGTCATTGTAGTGTAGAGGATAAACTCCTTACCGCTCGACTGAGGTCATCAATCAAATCATCGACATGCTCAATACCAACACAAAGTCTAATAATATCCTCTGGCATCTGTCTCTCCTTTCTTGTCTTCGCATCAATGCTTGCGTGACTCATCTGGCATGGCATACTGATCAGGCTGTTGACGCAGCCAAAACTGACACTGATTCCCCATAATCGGGCAGCTTCCACGATGCGCTCGGAAACAGCTGCATCTCCAGTTTCGAACGACAGTACGGCTCCAGCGCCCCGTGCCATAGACCAATGTAGGTCGTATTGAGGGTGAGATTTCAGACCTGGATATCGTACTCGGAATCCGTGAGACTCAAGGAACTCGGCAATAGTCTGTGCATTGGACTGTTGCTTCTCCATCCGGATTGCGAGGGTTTTAATGCCTCTCATAAGAAGGAAAGCATCATTGGGGGATATTCCACATCCGGTGGAATTGATCGTAAAGTACATCTTGTCTCCAACGGCTGGATCATTGAACGCTATAACACCAGCCATGATATCGTGGTGCCCGGAAAGATATTTCGTTCCCGACTCGTAGACAATGTCGGCTCCGAGGTCGAGGGGGTTTGAGAGCATTGGTGAAAGCATGGTATTGTCAACTACCACCAATGCTTTCGGGTTCTTCTCGTGCACCATCTTCGCGATTGTTGGGATGTCGACGATTTTTATTAATGGGTTCGTTGGTGTTTCTAGTAGGACCATGGCTGTCTTTTCTGATACGACCGCCTCAAGCTTGTGGGGAGTTGTGGTATCAACATGATGGACAATGATGCCCTGGTGGGTTGCCATATAGGTTAACAGACGATTAGTTCCTCCGTATAAATCATCGCCTGTAATTACTTCATCCCCAGGTCGTAAGCTCCGTGTTATCACATCCAAAGCTCCCATGCCAGACCCAACAACCAACGCCCTCGCTGCATTCATGATCTTTGCAAGATGCCTTTCCAAGTGTGTTCGTGTAGGGTTGCCGGACCGTGTATAATCATATTCGGAGCCACCGCCTCTCGCTGATGTCTGCTTGAATGTGGCAGATTGGTAGATGGGCATGCTCGATGCCCCATATTGATCCTTGCTTTCGGTGTAGACCAGCTCTGTGGCAAGAGCATATTTACGGCCATTGCGGGGACTGGAAGGTGCTGGCGAGGGAGGCAGGTCATGGCCGTCCAAGTCGATACGAGGGAAAACCTTTCCTGCTACACCAGAAGGCTTGCTCCCAGAGCCTTGAGAAGGACCTGGCGGTGTAGACATTTTGTGACTGAACAATTGGCGTTGGCGGAGGGGAGGAAAGGGTCTTGTGGGGTCGTAGAACTCGATAGTGGGAGACGATGATTGAGGTTGAGCTCAATCAGTGGAGTTTGATGTATGCTTCTGAAGGCAAATATGAGCGGTCTGTCTGATCGCGTGTCCTAGTAGTAGTGATCAGAAGGTTCCGTGGCGTTTGTTTTGTTCTTGCATTTGTGCCTGGTTGAGAGTCCAATCCTGGGGTACAACAGCTCCCGGTAACCGGAACAAAGTATGCTCGGTGCAGCAAAATCTACCGGCCCCAACTCGCTTCGGAAATGACGTGCTCCAACGCCCGCCTCGCGCCCACGAAGTTGCCTCAGGAAGGGAACAGAGAAAAGGAGAAATATAACTATAAGATAATAAGGATTCAGGGGTATATTACGTGCTAAAGGAACAAGCTGGAAGTTGCAAATATAGAAAGTAAAGCGATCTGGAAATGTATATATACCCCTATCTTCTATTACTTGTTCTCAAAAATCCGAGTCGCTATCTAGATACTTCGTAGGAGATTCGTCCCTTGCAGCCCAGCCTATATAAAACCCCGTATATGCCAGCGTCCGTAATCCTACATCGTACCCAATGCTGTAATATTTGAACATATTATTTAATCCATCGATTCCGCTATGATCTCGTGATCTTCAGCATCCTCATATCCGTCGCTAGATTCTTCTGACTTCACTTTTGAGCGTTTGCTGGGTGATTTTGCGTGCTTCTCTAAGAAGAGTTGGCCGCCCTTCGTTCCGAAGAAATCCTCTGTTCGAAGTCCTCTAACTTCTTCTGCCCGTACACCAGCCATAGCAACCCCACGCTGTCTCTGCTCTCGGATAAACTCACGTACCGGAACCATCGCGGCATCTCTACATGCCTCTTTGATGTCACTTCCAGACATGCCGGCCATCGCCCGGGTCAAAAAGCCCATATCCAAGTTTTCTGGATCGGTCTTAGTTCCCTTCAATAAAAGTTCTAGAATTCGCAGTCTCTGCGACTTCGACGGTAAGGAGACTGGGAACTTTTTAGGCATTCTTCGAAGGATTGCTTCATCGATGTCCTGGATTCGATTGGTAGCGCCAAGAACCATGATTCTCGCGGGCACGCCCTTCTCATTTGCAGATGTGAGGCCATCCCACAAAGTCATGAATCTGCCAATCATTAGGTCACTGCAGCAGCTAGGTAATAGAGATACTCACTCTGCCTTCACCATTCCACTCGCTTCATGCTCTCCGCTCCGTCTCTGGCCGAGGACAGCATCAATTTCGTCGATGAACACTATGGTAGGCTCAAGCTTTCGGGCCAACGAGAAGACGGCCCGGACGAGTTTGTTTGAATCGCCATACCACTTATCCGTTAAAGTCGAGATGTGTAAATTGATGAAGCAAGCTCCGCTTTCATGTGCCAGCGCCTTTGCGAGCATTGTCTTACCGCAACCAGGAGGGCCATACAGTAGAACCCCAGAAGGCGCAGCCAGGAGCGCCGAAGAATGTGAATATAGATGGGGCATTGTTAAGGGATATATAACGGCTTCCTTCAGCTCTTCGATAATATCGTCAAGGCCGCCAATATCTGTGAAATATTAACATCGAATTCGAGACAATGGCAAAAGGGGAAACCCACCATCAAATCCAACTGGTATGTCTTCTGGAGCCACAACCTCCATAGCTATCTGACTCTCATATTGGTTCAACTCGATATCTTCTTTGCGTATCCGCGATTTCCGGCCTCTCGAATCATCGTCCGAACCAGACTCGCCGGAGTCGTCCCTTGACCTTTGTAGCTTCCGTAGATGCGCAGCAGCTTTGAGGCGAGCTTGGTCCTGTTGGTCCTTCTCGTGATCTTGTGACATAGGCAGGCTTGATATTACACCTCTGGCAACATAGTACATGGCAAATGTCTGTAGAAAAGCCAGCCCATTAGCATACAAGTTCGCATGTGCTCAAGCCCGACATAAGATTGAGAGGCGACTTACAGAGACGCCCATCAGCAGGAGATCTTGTAACAAGCCATATTTCCTAGAGTTCTCCCCCATAATGAGAGAGCCCCAACGAGCTAAGATACTGATTTTTGGATGCGCAACCCCAGATGTGTCGCGTTCGATAGCCTCGGAACAAGAAAAGTAGCGAGCATGGCAAAGGAGAGAGAAGTCGCGGCAGGCTGGCGTGGTCGCTTTACGCCACACGAGGTTCCTCGGTAATGTGGCGGTGCAGGGTACGACCGGGGATTGTTGCCGCCTCCCGATGCATGAAGCGGGTCGGGTGGGCTGTTGCCGAATACGGAAGTACAACAACAAATCCGTATATACACAGTTCCTGATCCCAAGTTACTCAAGTCCAGCATAGCAGCCCGGCGAATCGCATCTATGAATTCTCGCAAAACCCGAACCTACTACCGATAGTTTGCCCCCCCTCAATCAGTTGTTTAAACTCGCACTGCGCATTTGTTTCGATTCTTCGACTCTCGACGCGTCGGACGCGGCAGCTCATATCTCGAGGATCCCACCGTTTCCCGCAATGGCTAAGCCAAAGGGCCCTCGCGCCACATTATCTGGTCTTATAGCCTCGGACTCTGAGGACTCGCATTTTGCCGAACCTAAAGCAGTGCCCATCTTAGATTCCACCGCAGAAAACAAGGCGCCCGCAAAGAAACCCCGTGGAAGACCAAGGACCGCGGCTGCGAAGGTTACCAAAACGAAAGCTGCGCCTCGGGCAGGTGGGCGCCTGAATACGAAAGAAAGTGAATCTGCACCACCAGTAGAAAATAAGAGCAGGAGGCAAGCATTGGCAGATAAGACGAATCAGCAGCATGACAGCGATATGGAAGAAGTCGACGATTTGGGGGCCTGTGAGGATGTTGTTATGAATGATAGGGAACCGGATGATGACATTATCGCTGCCAAACAGACGGAATCGAAAGCTACGAAGGATAAACCTCGCGCCAAACGAGAAAAGGCTACGAAAGGGGTGGATTCTGGCACAGAGGCCGCTCCTACTGCGCCGAGGCCGCGATCACGCGGGGGACGGAAAAAGGTTGCGACTACACAAGAGATACCGGATGAGCCTTCACTAGAAAATATCACATATGAAGCCGAGGTTCCAACGATAGATGCGGATGCGGACGCAGATGAAGAAGTTGAGGATGTTGTGTCAAAAACTGCTCATAATAGTATGCGATCGAGGGCGGATTCTCAAGCTCGACAACCTTCTCTTAAACGGCGGCGGGCTGGCAGTACATCAGATACAGAAAGAGGAGACCCAAGCTTACGACGAAAGCTTGGGGACATGACGAAGAAATACGATAGTCTCTATATCAAATACCAAGATCTGCGCGAAATTGGAATCAAGGAAGCTGACCGAAATTTTGAACGGCTAAGAAAGGACACTGATGAGGAACGGAAGAGTAAGCCGGTCAGACGATTGATTAATGGGTTTTACTAAATATCGGTAGGGTCTAATACTATGGTCGCGTCCTTAAAGGCCGATGTTGCTGCGCAAGCTGCTCTGGCAAAAGAGTCTAAAGCGCTCAAGAAGACGCTCGAATCGAAGGCTACGGAGGTTGCTACTCTGCAGGCCCATATCGCACAGTTAAACTCATCTTTATCTGAAGTACGAGCTGAGAACAAAACGCTCGTTGCTGAGAATAAAACGTTATCAGCCGAAAACAAGACCTTGATAGCAGAGAGGAAGACACTATCGGCTGAAAATAAAACCCTATCCAACAAACTAGCTGCTACCCGTAGTGCCGCGTCCGCTATGGAGAGTCTCAATATTCCTGCTAGTGCTGTCAAGGCCAATGGGGGCGTCCGACTGATGGGAACTGCAGAGGCTGCTCAGACAGCACAAGCAGCACAGCTGAAGGAGGACTTGTACTGCGATCTTACAGGCTTGATAATGAGGGGTGTGAAACGCGAAGCTGAGGAGGATATATTTGACTGCATTCAGACCGGCCGCAATGGCAGTAAGTCGCTCGCCCTCCCTTTCCAGCCACCACTAACAAACAATATAGCTCTTCACTTTAAACTAGCAGTGGCCAATGAGAACGTGCGCGACAGCTATGATGATGCGCAATGCAGTTATGTTCCTCAACTTGACCCCCGCAGAGACAACGACTTGATGGAGCAGCTTCCGGACTATTTGGTAGATGAGATTTCATTTCCGAGACCACAAGCTGCAAAATTTTATGCGCGGGTGGTAAAAGCACTGACAACTTGAGGCAAATGGGAATCTGATTTCAGCATAGGAGTTAGGTTCTTGGGCTAGGAGTCCATGGAGTGGCGGGGTAGGAGTTTACCAATGGTTTATAGATACCTTAGTGTTGAGTTGTTTGCTCATGTTTCTGATTGTCATTTTCCGTAAAGCATTAGCAGACTTAAAATTCGATTAATCAGAGCTCTAAACCGTCTTTTGTTTCGCTTCAAAATATTTACGTGGCCTCAGCCCCCAAGAACCTTGATGGTGAAATCACCCCTGAGCCCGGCAAAATGACACCGCCCAGCAACTCTTCAACATGCCAATTTGTGAACCGCGGATTCTTCTAGCAGCACCACTATCTAAAGTCTCAGAAGACGAGTCCGTCGGGCATCTTTATGTATGAACCTGTCCGATAATCATCGGACGCGCCACTCCTTTTGCCCATTATACGATCCCTTAAACCAAATTTCTGGAAGTTCATAGCTGCGTCCTCCCCCTAAAGTCGACGCGCCTCTACCTTATTCTGAAGTTCTCATCAGATTCCCACCATGGCGAGAGTCAGTCGCCTTGGCTTTTTAGCCATTGCGATGGCATTCCATGTTGTCTATATATATTCAATTTTTGACATATACTTTGTCAGTCCTATCGTTTCCGGCATGCGCGCGTTTGAGACGGAGAGACCTGCGGGTGTGGAAGCTCCTGCAAAGCGACTGGTTCTATTTGTTGGTACATAACACACATCTACGTTCCCTATTTGTAGACATATATTAATACGATGATACGTAGGGGATGGCCTTCGAGCGGATAAAGCTTTCCAGTCTTTTCCAGAACCATACCCAAAGTCTGACTCAGATCTCGAGCCACGACCTCTCGCCCCCTTCCTGCGCTCGCGCGTCCTCGAGCATGGCACCTTTGGTGTATCACACACACGAGTGCCTACAGAATCTCGGCCTGGGCATGTAGCTCTGATTGCGGGGCTTTATGAGGATGTGTCTGCGGTGACAACGGGGTGGAAACTCAACCCAGTCAACTTCGATAGTGTCTTTAACAGGAGTCAACATACATGGAGTTGGGGAAGCCCGGATATTCTGCCAATGTTCCAATTAGGCGCAGTCCCAGGCAGAGTGGATGCCGATGCATACGGCTCGGAATTTGAGGATTTCTCTCAAGATGCGGTACATCTAGATCTCTGGGTATTTGATAGAGTCAAGGCTCTCTTTAAAGAAGCGGCGACGAATTCGACTCTGGATGCCGCATTACGACAGGATAAAGTGGTGTTTTTCCTCCATCTCCTGGGTATCGATACCAATGGCCATGCTTTCCGGCCATATTCGAAGGAATATTTGAATAATATCAAGGTTGTGGACCAGGGCATCGAGGAAGTTACAAAAATCATCGAAGACTTTTACAATGATGACAAGACCGCATATGTATTTACTGCCGACCATGGTATGAGTGATTGGGGTAGCCACGGTGATGGTCATCCTGACAACACTCGTACACCCCTCATAGCCTGGGGTTCTGGGGTAGCAAAGCCTGCAACGACTCCTGGAAAAATTGCGCCCGGCCATGATGAACTCTCCTCCGATTGGGGTCTAGATCATATTCAGAGGCATGACGTCTCCCAGGCCGATGTGGCGGCTCTTATGGCATATCTCGCGGGACTCGCATTTCCCGTAAACTCGGTTGGGGAGTTGCCGCTCCCATATTTGTCCGGAGATCTTGCTGCCAAATCTGAAGCTTTCTTGGCCAATGCTAGGGGCATCTTAGATATGTATAGGGTTAAAGAGGAACAGAAAATGGCGACCGAGATGCGTTATCGTCCCTATAAAGCTCTAGGCGGAGAAGAACATTCAGCTGAGCATCGATTCTCGCACATCAGAACCCTCATTGACCAAGGGCGGCATGAAGAAGCAATCCAGGAAACGGCAACACTCGTACAACTTGGTCTAGCCGGTTTACGATACCTCCAGACATACGACTGGTTGTTCTTGAGAGGTCTCATAACGATCGGATACTTGGGCTGGATAGCATTTGCCCTTACCACAGTCATCGACCTACATGTGCTTCATGGCACAACCGAAACCTCCAGAACCGTTGTTGGTGTAATATTCTTCTCCTCTGTTCTTGTGACACTATTCGCTTCGTTCATTGTATCAAAATCACCATTGACTTATTATGCCTACGCCATATTTCCAGTGGGCTTCTGGGAGGAGGTTTACGCTCGACGAAAATCGTTGGTTGAAGGACGAAAGGTTTTACTGAGCCATGTTTCCGGGGTTAGCGGTACCATCACACTCATATTAAAGGGTCTTTTTGGGTTGGTCTTTATAGAATCTTTGGTACGCGTGGAACCCTCCTTCAGTGCTTCTGAAACTAACTCACCGATTAGGCACTGGGGTACACACATAGGGAGATATTCTCTCTTCTATTCATTGTTGCTGCATTTTGGCCGGCATTTTACGGAATGGCGTTTCTCCGACTGAATAAAGTCCTGGTGACAACATGGGGATTAATATGTGTGGCGATGAGCACTTTCACGTTGCTCCCGGCGTTGAAGGTCGAGAGTTTATCTCTTGTGTAAGCAACACTCTCCTACCTCTGCTGTGTGGCGCCTAACACTGAATTTATAGCATGACCGGCGGCTTTTTCATGGCGGCAGTCGGTGTTCTATATCTTATTTTCGAGAAGCAGCTGCACGTTAAGTCGGCTTTGACAAGCGACTCGACTACACCAGCCGACAATATCATATCACGATCCCTCATTGGCGTACAGGTAAGATGTTTTGACCTCACTCTGCGTTTCTATTCTAATACTGTCTAGATCGGCCTCGTACTATTATCGACGCTTGTGACAAGGTCCAGTATATTATCAATACAGGCAAAGGAAGGGCTTCCTCGGGGGAACCAGATCGTTGGTTGGTTGGTGCTAGGTTTGAAACCCACAAATGTAGAAGGGATCTTGGACTAATAAGATTGCAGTATTTTCGCTAATCATGCCGTTCCTTCACCGCTTACAGCCCAATGGCCACTATCTCCATCGATTGATGGTGATATTCCTCACTTTCGCACCCATCTTCGTCATCCTCACCATATCATACGAAGGTCTCTTTTATCTCGGCTTCTCACTTACCTTGATTACCTGGGTTCGCCTCGAGCATAGTATATACGTATTTACAAAGCCGAAATCGCCATTGGCTCAGGCGAATGGCAAAGGGGCAATGCCCGCATCGCTTTCTTCACCTACTTTCCGGTCACTCACCCTATCAGATGTCCGAATATCCCTATTCTTTTTCACACTCCTCCAATTGGCCTTCTTCAGTACTGGAAATGTGGCCTCGATATCATCCTTCAGCATGGATAGCGTGGCCCGGCTGATTCCAATCTTCGATCCTTTCTCTCAGGCGGCCCTACTTATCCTGAAGCTCATGATCCCATTTGCTCTGATCTCGGCGAATCTAGGCATCCTGAACAAGAGGTTAGGGGTAGCACCCTCCGCGCTGTTCATGGTGGTTATGGCGATCAGCGACTTCCTGACGCTGCACTTCTTCTGGGTGGTGAGAGACGAGGGCTCCTGGCTGGAAATCGGATCGACGATTAGCCACTTCTGCATTGCAAGTTTGTTCTGTGTGTTCGTGGCCAGTCTCGAGGGTGTTAGTGAGCTGTTTATATCAGGGGTGGAGGTCGAGGACGATTCAGCTCAGATGGTGAAAGAAAAGGAGCTTGGTGGAGTGGCCAGCGATAAGAAACATGCCAACGGGGTTGTATCTAGGAAAGCGGTGGCAAATGGGACGAAGAGTATATAGGACAACACATTATGTATTAATGGCATTGACGTACAAGCACGACCTACGAACTTATTAACCATCTATTAACCATCACGTCCCGCCCGCCCCTTTATTATCCAATGTTCCACGCCACTAAACAGGCTTAATCCAGGTCGAGCTCCCAATCCTAAAACAACGAGGCGTCGGGAAAAGCTCTAGGCGGCGCACCAGGCCTAACGCTTGGGCTGGTGTAACTCTGCTGCATCGATCGGCGCACATGCCCGACTTCGCACCAGATTGCAGTGTAGTCTCAGGGGAAGGCGGCTCTGGAACAGGAGTAGGGAATACGAGGATTAATTACCTGGTACGAAGTACAGTACAATAATTGCGAGACTCCCAGTGCGCGTGCCAGAACAGAACAGAACAGAACACAGAACTGGTCGTTTTCGGTTAATCGAATCAGTGGCGGTACAAGGCCCAGCTAGGTATTGGTAAGGTGAGGTACGTACCCACGCGGGCAGGCCACCTGCTTCTGTTCTGTTCTGCACCTTGCAGGCTGGCAGCCTCAACTAAAAGCATCACCAACGTCCGAAAGCCCAGCGTCCCGAGTCTGCCATCAGACTACGAACTATCGCCCTCCTCGACAGACAGTCCCGAAAGTGGGCGGATGAGTGCAGCATATAACAACCATGGACATGGACACGGCTATGGCCTCCACCGAGCAGCAGCAGCAGCCGCCTGCCCAGCAGCAGCCTCCTGCGAATGGTTATGTGGGCGGCGGAGCGACGAATACCCCAGCCCAAGGAGTGAATTCTCTGCCCAACAACCAAACACCAGGCCATCCAAGCTTTAGAAGGTATGTAAATGGGCCGGCGCAAGGCACGCAAGTGAATGAAGTAGAAGTAAGCGACTGACCCGCATGGTGGGATAGGCAGCGTGCATCGAGAGCGTGCGAGGTATGAAGCAATCCATTCCCTTTGGTTCAGCCTGTCGTGCCTCGGCACCGAGGGCCAAAATGCAACGAACGCAACAATAGCTAATCAAGCCATCGTATCATCCACAGACCTGCCACGCAAGAAAGGTAATCCGATCTCCTACTCGGCATCACATTCGATCCAGAGACCATGGCGTGACGATGCGGCCGGAATCAGCGGAGTGTGAGGTTAACGGAGCGAACAGGTGCGATGTGACGCCGCCAGTTTGGGAGTGCCATGCACCAACTGCGTCGCCTTCTCGATAGAATGCAAAATCCCGACGCCGAAACGCAAGAAGACGCAAGTCGGGAAGGCAAAAGATTCTGACAGGTACGTGTTTTGGGGATTAGTGATATCCATAATGGACCAAGTGCTTACGTGCTGGTGTAGTGATCGTGGGGAGACGTTGGACGACCGCTCTGCACGAACCGATTCGCCGACCACAAATGGACGGAGTGTGAGCATCGTCAACACGCAGGAGGGCACGCCTTCGTCCGCAATGACGGATGCACAGATCCGACAGCGGACTGATGATGAATCGACGTACGCGCAATTTATGAAGCCGAAGTTTACAAGAGCTCCGATTAAAGATGCGGGGAGGGTGGCATATCTGGGGGAGTCCTCGAACTTGACACTACTTGTCCATGATCGCCATGGGACGGCAGATGTGGTACACTACCCGTTACCAGAGAATATCAGAGGGACCCGTGCCAGACTGACCGAGTTGGACAATGTGGAGATCGACATCCTTCATCAGCGAGGGGCATTCCTATTACCGCCCAGAAATCTCTGTGACGAACTGGTCGACGCATACTTCAAGTGGGTGGCTCCTATCGTCCCGGTCATCAATCGAAATCGGTTTATGAAGCAGTACCGCGATCCCAAGAATCCACCTTCGCTGCTCCTGCTGCAGGCAATCCTGCTAGCGGGGTCGAGAGTCTGTACCAACCCACAGCTCATGGATGCGAATGGCTCGACAACACCAGCTGCTTTGACGTTCTATAAACGAGCGAAAGCGCTGTACGATGCTAATTATGAAGATGATCGAGTGACGATTGTCCAGGCCCTTGTGCTTATGGGCTGGTATTGGGAGGGTCCAGAAGATGTGACGAAGAACGTCTTTTACTGGAGCCGAGTCGCCACGATCGTAGCGCAAGGATCGGGTATGCATCGGAGTGTCGAGCAGTCCCAGCTCAATAAGCCCGACAAGAGGTTGTGGAAACGTATTTGGTGGACTCTGTTCACTCGTGATCGCTCCGTCGCTGTTGCATTGGGCCGTCCGGTTCACATCAACACGGACGATTCGGATGTTGAAATGGTTTCTGCGGAAGATTTTCTCGAAGAGGAGGATGGTCAACAGAGCGAATTCCCCCCAGATCCCCTGCACGTGCAATTCTTCTTGCAATATGTGAAGCTGTGCGAAATCATGGGACTCGTCCTCTCGCAGCAGTATTCTGTGGCCTCGAAAGCTCGCCGCCAGAATGCTATCGACCTCACCCATAGTGATATGGCCCTGGCAGATTGGCTTCAAAATTGTCCTAAAGAGATCTACTGGGAATCGTCAAGGCATCACTTCTGGGCCGCGTTGCTCCACTCCAACTATTATACCACGCTATGTTTACTACATCGCGCACATATGCCACCGGCGTCTAACAGGCCTGGGATGGATAGTACTTCCTACCCCTCACGAAATATTGCGTTCCAAGCTGCTGCAATGATAACCTCGATTATCGAGAACCTCAGCGCACACGACGAGCTTCGCTACTGCCCGGCCTTCGTTGTGTATAGCCTGTTCTCTGCGCTTATCATGCACGTTTACCAGATGCGGTCGTCGAACCCATCGGTGGTCCAGGCAACCCAAGAACGGTTGCAGATATGCATGAGTGCTCTGAAGGATGTTTCAAGGGTATGGCTTGTTGCGAAGATGGTATATACTCTTTTTGAATCGATATTGGGGAATAAAGTACTGGAGGAGAGGCTACAAAAGGCTGCGGGCAAGCGTCACAAGAAGATGGCTCAAAGCATCTCCCATGGGATGGCGCAGACACAGGTCAAGAAAGAAGAGCCGGCAAGCAAACGGAAGTATGATGATATGGCGCTTGACTTCGGGGTGAACAGCGCACCAGCGCCTCAAGAATCCTATGAACGATCTCGACCCCAAACACCGAGCCATACACCTTCACGGGAACTGGGTCAAGGTGGTGGCCCAATGGCACCTCCCGTAACATCCCCAAATTCAAGGCAAAATACAGATACCTTCATGGGCGGAACGAACTCTCGTCCCCAAACCAGGCCCCCAACACCATTCAACCCATCCTTCTCCGTACCAGCCACGCCTCCAGATCTCTACCTTGTTACCCGAAACTCGCCGAATCTATCGCAGTCTGTTTGGGAAAACTTCCAGCCTGACCTATTGTTCCCTGAAGGCTCAACTAGTATGCATGGAAATCAGTTCTCGCCACAACAACCTCACCACAACTTGGATCCCAATCTCATGTCCTCTCACATGAACATGCAGCAGCAGCAGTTGCCAACTCATCCTCAAGGTGCACAGATGCCTCAAAGGATGCGAGGGTCACCGCAAGTTGGCATGGCCACAAGTCCACCGCAAACCAATATGCTTCAGCCTGGAACCCCAGGTTATCAGCAAGTTCAGCCAGGCATGTGGCAAGGCTTTGATCAGCCCATGCACGATGCTCAGGGGCAGAGCCCGAGTGACACGTTGAGTCAATCATCGGCGCCGGCAGTTCCTATGACTATGAATGTAGAAGATTGGTAAGTTGCTCGTCAAAACCTACCTCGTCAACGACTATGCTAATCCCAAGAACTATAGGTTTCAATTCTTCGGCATCAATGGTGATCTTAGCGGCTTGAATGGTGATGCCCCCCTTGCCTAAGTCTATGTGGTGTTGTCAGTCAGCGTTCCTTAGTTTTGGGTGTTGGGAATTGGACCTCGGAGGCGTCAAATGATTGGAAAGATCAACGGGGATAGGCGACTGGGTGTTGAGAATGGGGCGAGAAAAACATGGTTCTGGGATGCTGTCTATGTCTATGTCTATGTCTATGTCTATATCTACAAAAAGCATCGATTTCCTGATGGTAGCTATAGCTACCAGGCTTTCGTGTAAATCTATACTCTTGTTCATGAGGATGGGAGTGGAGCTAGTCGGGTTATTCAATAATTTATCTTATACAATAATAACAACAGTGGTTCTACGCGAGGATGCATGGACGGTCTTGATATGAGGATCTACAGTCAAATATCTCATTGTAACAGCGTGGGCCAAAATGAAAGGGGCTAGAGAAAAAGCGGCGCCGGATGTTGACCGTTTTTGGAGTAGCTGAATGACAGCTTTACTTGTGTTACAATGACAGCCCAAACTAAAGTTTAACTTGGAGGACAAGACTGAATATCCAAACATACCAAAATCTTGAGCACGTAGTAAACCGCTTTAGCAAATTGCCCAAATATACAGTTGACTAAATTTTGCACTGTTTGGCGGCTAATATGCACCCCGCAAAGCTGGTAGGCGCGCATAGATAAGATTGTGTCTAGGTTGAAGATGACGAATGGCCACCGTAGCCGTCTGTGTGGCTCAAATACCGCGTGTCCACGCCTCGCATTTCGTATTTATCGTCGTCAAGACCACAACCTCTTCCACTTCCACCAATTCATAGACCATCAAACAGGGGGTGCCGAACCTTCACTTGAATACCAGTCGCCCAGCAATGCCCTCGCAATAAACCGATTCCCTCGTGGCAAACTCGCTCTAATGCCAGCAGATCCCCCGGGCCGTCTACGACGACGGGCAATTCGCGCGCAGCCACCTCCACCACTGCCTCCAAAACAGCGCCAGTAATTATGATACCGTCTTCGACCTCCTTCCGATCGAGAACCCCGGACCCTCGCTCCGACTCTACGGGCCCCAGTGCCAGTATACGACCCAGGAATCGGAGGTTGAATACTGTGGATCAAGAGCTAGGCAGCACAAGTGGCACGTCTACGCCGGCCATCGGGAGTAGAGCAGTTAGTCCAATTCCTGCAAAACATCCAAGTAGGACTGGTGGTTCTGGTAGTTTGGGAAATGGAAGGCCAATTAGGGGATCCCTAGCTCCCAGTTCAATGAGCAGGAATGCAGGACAAAATAAGAGTGGGAGCTCGAGTCCAATTGGGGGAATGTGGAATACGGGGTGGATGAGTAGTACACTGCAACAGGTGGCGAGCTCTGTGCTAGGCAGTATGTCGGGCGACGATGAGGCATCACGGAATGAGTATGGAAGTGACATTGCGAAGGGGAAGACTCGAAGGACAGCAGACAGTAGGGCGAGATCAAAGAGAACCTTGCCAGATGAATGGGGCCCTTCAATATCACCGGCCAATGCGAGATCAGATGGTGGAATTGGAATGGGCAGTACGAGTAAACGAGAAGCAGCAGTTAAGGCCATGAAGATGAAGGATGTTCTAGAGGGCGGAAACAACGAGGAGAGTGCTATAGATGTGACCGGGCATTATAAAAGAAGGACGTCAAGCGATATTCAGAGGCCGGCTAGTGCGCAGGATGAGGGGGATGCGCTGGCTTATATTCATCATGTCCAACCGCACGACACATTTGCAGGAGTGGTGCTGAAATACAATTGCCAAAAGGATATTTTCAGAAAGGCAAATGGATTATGGTCGAATGATTCGATCCAGTTCCGCAAGACTGTGGTCCTACCAGTGGATGCTTGTGCAGTCAAGGGGCGGCCTTGTGAACTCCCATCAGCAGATTCTCCATATCAAGGTGTTGATCTTCTTGCGCCTACACCTGCAGACGAAGAACCACCTCCTATCCCCAGACCTGAAGCATGGCCGTCAATCACACAATCGCCATACGGGGCATCTGCAGAACCTCCCGCCGAAGAAGAAGAAAAGCCTTGGACTCACGTCCGCTGGGTCCTGATAGACTCATCACCATCCGCTAAACCCGTCGAGATAGCCAGAATGTCACGGAAAACACTGGGGTATTTCCCTCCCCGACGGAGAAAGAGCTTAGTTGCAAGTTCTAGCGTCTCATCTCCTCGTGGTTCTACAGATTTGACATCATTATCAAGATCTTTATCCCAGTTATCGAGTGATCCTTCTGGTAGCCCAGCAAGCACGCGTTCGCGCCGAACCAGCAACCTGGGTCCCCAGCCTTCTTTAGGGAGTTATTTTCCCACCATGACATCCGCCAGTCGTTCTCGTTCTCGTCGTCGAAGCGTAAGCGAATCTGCGGATCGATATGGCTGGATGCGAGGGCCAGGCGGTGTCGGCACCATGGGGAAGAACGTACGAAAACCAGGTCCAGGGCAGGATGGTCTAAATGCCTGGACCAGGAAACATATTCCCGGTCTAACTCTAGATTCTCTCCCCTCAACTTCCATCATGGGCGCTGAATCGGCACATTTTGGATTTGGGGAGGAGTTGTCGGCGATTGCGGAGGGGCCTTATAGTGGTGGCTCCTCAGTAAACGGGGCTGCTACCCCCGGCGGCTCCCAGGGGCTTGGGCTGGAAAATGCCGCGGCAGCGGTTGAAGGCTTCTTTAGAAAACTTGTTATTAAGGGCCCCGGGACACCAAGAGTAGGCGGAAGGGAAAGTGATCTTATTGAGCTACTAGATGGGACGGGCAGTGATGACGGGAGGGGCTTTGAATTGAGTCCTGGACGGAGCAGGAATGGTACTCCTGTCGGAACAGGCAGAGAAGATCTAGATGGGGTGATCAGGGGACGCAGCACTGCTGGAGCTAAGGGTGGCAAGAGCGATTGAATTTTATTATACTCACACATACCTTACAGTATGCGTTCGCCGGTGTTTGAAAGAACTTGCATTGGCATGGGCCGCGGCGTTCTGGAGGCTTTCGCCAACTTCTGTTGGCCTGATGATATGAGCGAATTGAGCTAATCAGCCGATCGGCTAGTGGGGATCGAAGTTGTTGCACTACTGAATGCTTGGATATTACATTACATACATAGGGATTAGACATGATTCACCTGGTGTTTGCTTAGCTCTATATACCTTTTTGCACACCTTTGTATATAACATAACAAGTCCCTTTTCCGGCACGTGGCGTCGTATTGCATTTCCACTTATATGGTATGGTGCTCCCAAACTGCATAGGATAAACTATATCTCGAGCTAATCACTTCGGTATTCACGAGTCACGTTAAAAACAGCTTAACACAGTTCACAAGCTGCAGTTTGATCTAAAGTAGGAAAGGTGATAATAATTTTTTCGAAACGGGAGGCAGGGTTTTGTGGAGTCTTGTAATGGTGGCCTAGGGAAACAAATTTGGAATTCGAGAGACTTGCTTACCTAGTTTCAGGGAGGATAGGTTATTATAACCAATGGAGGAAAGCAAAAGATGTTGATATTACTTGATTTTCACTAAACAGAGCAAGCAGTGTTGAGAGTCTGGTTCCTCTAGATATCACATTTCTAGTAGGTTCTCTCTCGCTGCTATAATTAATAAACGGCACCATCCCAACAGTCATCTCCATCCCATGAAAAGTGTGTCATCCGGAATATTCAGGCCCAAAATCTTCAGGCGTTTTGTCAGATGTTGAAGTCCAAGAACAGTAGCTGATCCAGGCAGCCTTGGCATTTGTGGTCTGATGAAGTTCAACGTCCAGACATAGAGCCAACAGCGGAGATGGCAGTGTCCCCCTCAAGCATTTTCTTCTCAGCCACTAATAAAGCATAGAATTTGCTATCATAATCTACGAATTGTAGGTATTCGTAGAACATATACATAGTAGGCAGCGGGTCAGAATCATGCTGGGTAGAGTCAGCACTTCCCATTATAGATTTATTTAGATTTCCTAACTCACTCTCCCAAAAGTGCCTGCAATTGCTTTGGCAGTGAGGTTAATTGCGGCGCCTGCTGTAATATTTCGTTTGTCTTCATTGTCGGAAATATCGGTTTTGTAACCGTCTCTGGTGGCTGTAGTAGGAACAAAGAATAGCTCTTCGAGAGCATTCATGTATTTATACTCTTCACGAGACCTTGTACCAAGTTTGTGAGCCCAGTTCCACTTCAAGTCTTGCGGCAGACGAAGCATCTCGTCCGTACCAAGTAGATCCTGGCAAGGTTCGTCGTAATTTCCAAAGTACCTATACCCGCCTCCCTGTTTGCGAATAAACAGCGCAAAGGGATAGTAATCCTTTGCTAAGGCTGGCTCATCCCGTGGAATGCAACTGATCTGTGCCCCGTGTTCACCTGGGTAGCGAGGAAGTAGAGGATCATAACTCGTATCCAGCGCCTTGTATGCTCGCAACCCCGCAAAGCTCCGGGATGTACAGGCCTCTGAAATAGTGTAAAAGCCCTCGGATGCGGCTTCCCCGCCAAGTAGTGTCTGGAGCGTTGTCAAATCAAATTGCTCATTGGGCTGGCTGGGAAGATCGAATTTCTGTCCTCGTGCAAGATCTTGAACGAAAATTGGCATTCGCATTCCACGATACAACATAACAGTCGATAGTACCATAGTGGAGGCCGTTGGGTCTTGTTGGAAGGTTCCTTTCTGATGAGAGGTTGCCGGCTGTTGAGAGGAATTGGTTTGTGGCTTATCTCTTGGTGGAGGGGTCCTGATATTAGACTAATAGTTAGAACGCTTGTATGAGATATTCAAAGCACTAATAGTTAGAACGCTTGTATGAGATATTCGAAGCAGTACTTACGCGCCATATAGGTCTGATTCGGTATTATATTGCAGCTCCGGTTCTCGACCAGGTGCATCTGTCTCATCAGAAGCAACAGTGACGATCAAAGATGCAGCGTCCGGAAGCCGGTTTCGGGAAGTTAGGGCTTGCTGAAATTGAGCTTGCTGATCGCGCAACTCGGCAACCTCTGCTTCCAGGTCCGCAATAAGGGTGGCATAGTCTAGTTTAGTTCTTTTAGCATTGGCGGAAGCGTTTGGACTAGAGGCGGGTCTTTTCAATGTAGATTCCGGGCTAAGAAGTCAGTGATACTCTCATTCCAACAGTAGGAGGGTGTGACTTACACATATCCGGATGTCTGGGGAACATGGGCCACTGAGGGTGCATCATTGGGACTTGTGAGTTGCGGCATAATGGTTGATAGAAAACAACCAAGCTGGGAGATCAACGAGTTTGATTGAAGAGTATACAAAGCTCTTAAAGGCGACACAAACTCAGGAACAAAAATGCAGCGAATGGGTGAATGTCAAAGCGACTAGCCGGAGGATCAAGGATCGTGAGCTTAAGGCGCCTGTTGGGCATACTACGAGGATGGTGTTACAAAAATTGAACCCAAAGGTTAGGTATTGTAGAAAGGACGCTGTTAATGAAGAGGTGAGAAGGTGGGCTTTTGTTATTTATCGACGACGACGACGTGTAGTTACCCTCTCGAATATTGCGTGCAGCCGTAAAGGTGTGTGTTAGACAGTCTGGAGTATCAAACTAGTTAGTGGTACAAGGCAAAGCTACAGAGGTATCTCCTGTTAAAAGGAGCCCCCGAGTGGCGTGGATTATGTGATATCCGTGAACATGTTCAAGTTGGAAGCTAGTTCGAGAAGACTAGTCGGAACATCCATCGAGGTGGCTAGACGGGTAGGGCTCAGTACAGCTAGTTCGTGAGAGCTAGGAACACCAGGAGAAAAAATTGCGATTAAATCTGAATCGCTCACAAGCAAGATAAATCGGACGATCATTTTGGAGTGAAAATGCCAAGGAGAAGTGTTTGCAGGAAGATTGCAGGCGTCAAGGAGGTCACGATAAGTGCAGTGCGTTGGGTGTGGTTCAGCCGGACCGGAATAACCTTTCTCCTGGACCCCAATGTCCAAGTACCTAGGTACCTATCCAACGACACCTCATAAACGACGCCTTTCTCTCCAGCTATATCTTCATCAATAATGCTTCAAAATCGAGCCACTTCCCTCATATAACGCATAGCTCCACAGGCGGTAGAATAGAGCAACCCGCCCCTAAAAGAGCCAACATTTGCTCCTATTGTTTTCTTAAGTCGATGGAATTACTCACCGCGCGTGGAACGCCCCAGGCTTGCTCAGATGTTACTGCGCAAGATTCCCAGACGCAAACTTAGAGGACAAACCTGGCGGTCAACCATGGTAAACACAGGCTCTTGATATTTCCAGCCAATTGAGTTTGGTAGGTACCTAGAGCTACTTCCAGTACCTTGCCCAGGGGAGCGCTGATTGCATTTCACATCCCACAACCTCTCGGCCACCTCACGCTAGAAAGAAACACTGATACGGCCCTCTTCTCGGTGCCCCCAGCGACTGCTTTGTCACGTATCGTATATCAATCTAAGACCCTCAGTGGCTCTCTTGTTCCTGTGTCTGCATACGTGCTTCGGCCGTTGAGTCCTCGTGCCGGCTCCGATGGATATCAAATCGTCGCCTGGGCACATGGCACGAGCGGCTCCGCGCCGAATTGTGCCCCATCTCATATAAAGAACCTTTGGCAACATTTTCTGGCACCTTACCAACTTGCTCTTCAGGGATATGTTGTAGTCGCAACGGACTATGCTGGCCTAGGGGTTTCCAAAGATGCTTCAGATATCGCTATTCTCCACGAATATCTCGTGGGTCCGAGCCACGCAAATGGCCTTTTTTACTCAGTCGAGGCGGCTCAGGCCGCTTTCCCAGAGCTCTCAGCTTCTTTTGTTATCGCTGGGCACTCCCAAGGTGGTGGGGCTGCATGGGCTGCCGCTCAACGGCAGGCCGTAGACCCTGTCTCTGGATATTTGGGAGCTGTTGCCCTAGCCCCCATCACGACCGTCATTGACCAATCTGAGCCAACTCTCTCCATAATTGGGCTGGCAATGACACCTGTGATCGAGGCGACGTTCCCCGAACTCAAGCGCACAGATATACTCACGCCCGATGCTGTTGAGAGACTCGCTTTGGCTCGGCAGATTGGGGGATGCTCTACAACCTCTTTGACGGTGTTAATGGGCGTGCAGCTTATGCAACCGGACTGGCTGGAGAACCCTTTTGTCCGAAAGTTTCAGGCTTTGATTGCTAATGGGGGGATTGCTATTGCGGAGCCCCTTTTAGTGATCCACGGCGAGGGGGATCCCCAGTTGAACGTCAATATGACCACTGCTGCGATTGAACGGACAGCGGCGGAGTTTCCTAGAGCGAAGATAGAATATATTCGGGTCCCAGGCATGTCACATAATGGTTGTATGCCGGGTTCCCAATGGCTATGGATGGATTGGATTGCAAATCGTTTTGCCGGAATTGAGCAGAAGCCGGGGTTGAAAAGCTGGACATTGAGTGTTGCTATGCCGAATTCCTCCTACCAACGAGAGTTAAACTGGTCGGTTGCGCCGGCCACTAAATTCTATGAGACACCCTGAAGAACTAGAATTTGGTAGCTACTCGCTCGGTATCATAAAGACAATATACCTACACACCTTCTTATATATCTTTAAAGCGCAGCCGGATTGCTCATAGCTTATATTAACACACACGCGTTGCGGGGAGCATGGTAGTCATAATTGCTTTGGTCTTTAATTCCATGCGTCGTGCCAGATCTGCATGACCATGGCAAATTGAGAGTGCCACCTGGATCCTTATTTACTTCAGATTCCTGTTATCTACCGATAGCGCGGATTAAACTTGGGACGCCTAGTTTACCTACACTGGATCAATGCGCCTGTATTATATTGTCCATTAAGAGATAAATAGGCCGTCCAACTATTCTAGTCCTGGCGCTAGCCTCTCAAGTATATTTTTTATAGCATATGTTGCGAAAAGTTTCGAGGTGTTGGGTTTGACATGTTATGATGTTGCTCTAGACGGAGGAAGAGTCTCGGGCAACAATGGTAGTTCCAATAACTGGCCACTTGCGGCTGGGAGACCTACCCGTCGCGACCCTTTTTCTCATTTTACTTTTGCATTGCCATTCTTCAAAAGACAGAAACGATTCCTTCCACAAGTCAAGTCAAGTGAATATTTCCACAGAAGTAGGCCCTTAAAAACCATTACCGAGAACGCCCCTCTCCTCGCCTACCTTTTTTCCAAAAGAAAAATAAAGAATAAAATTGCAAAAATCCAGGAAGCGCCTTTCGGCGCCCGCCACTGGCTAAAACCAGACGAACTGAGTTTTATGCTTTTGTTGGCTCAGCCTTTTTCGAGGTCTCTCTAAGATAAAGACAGTAACTCTCTCCGACATCGCACACACAATTTGATCCGTACCACTTCGCCAAGTGGCCAGCCCTTGTGCCGATTAACATATTTTTGCCTATTTGTATTTGTATTTATATAGTAGAAGGTGGGGTCGGAATCCGGGCGGTGTGAGAGGTAACCGAAGGCGGTGGCTATTGCTGCCATATGACTGTATAGCCTCTTACCTTTCACGCTTTATGCCTATTGCACCCGAGACACTTTCGTTCTAAAAGGCGAGATATTTTGAGCTATTGCGTAAAGGTGTAGTGCATTTTCTAGTTTAATTCTATAGTCTTCCTTTGCGGCGCTGCTAGTGTGGCAGACTACTATTAATAATAATATGATATCTACAACAAGCGTGTATACCTTCGTTATGCGGCTCTATTAAATCCATCCCAACAATTTGCTGGTAGATACCCTCGGAGAACATTCCAAATAATGAGCGCAGGCGAATATGAAGCATTGATTTCAATCGCCACAACCAAGATATCCAAGGCGTTGAAAGCAATAATATTACTTCTAAATGTTTAAAGGCCAGCTGCTTTGTATGTCCATGTTACGGTACTTATGAATTCTGCTCCCGGTGCATTACTAAATAGCAGCATTGCTCTGATAATTGCAGTCCGCTCGTTTAATACATATTTGAATCGTATCCAACATGGCGTAGTGACTACCAGGTCTCCTTTTCCGTCTTCATCTCGGTTCCCTTCTCGCTTTCCATTGTTCTGGCATAGGCTCTCTCCCTCCACAAATCCCCCAACATAGCAGTATACATTCCCACCAAGTCTTCGACATGATTTCCTACCGCCTTGATATACCATCGTTCCTTCATACCTTCTGATGCATGGACTGGAGTCTTCCCACACAATAATGCGAATTCAGGCCTCAAGCCTATGTGAAATGCTAAATTAACATATCCCTCTTTGGGTTCAATAGATATTAGCCACGAGTTCCATTTATACACGCTGAGTGGATATGTTACGTACCAGGGCTTTCTTCGTCGTCCTCTTCGTCAAACTGAGTAAATACTCGTTTAAGGTTACGAGGCAAGGTTTCTTCTGGTATAACTGATGGGCGTAGAATACCTTCGGGATCATTGTCCTTAATGCAGTCTTCGTACTCTTTCAATACCTTCTCGGAAACTATCTCATTAAACCCAAGCCATGCTAGAATCCCTTCCTTATCGTTGGGCTCGGGAAGCTGCATTGACGCATCATAAATTGCTAGGGAATCAACCATTTGTGTGGTGGATCCCATGGAGGGATGCAGTGAAGCATCTAACTCTCGCTTGAGGAACTCTTTCTTAACGTCGTCCTTTTCGAAGACGAGCTTTTCGAAGTTGTTCTAGGTTTCAATCATGGTGAAATTACGAATTTGTGGGTAAACTTGTGGGTTGAGCTTAGCAGAAAATTGAAACTTGAACTTGTTAGATGATAGCGCAATACTCCCTGAAAGTTGAGATATAATATAAACTGAAGTGGGCCGATGACTAATGTTGGCTGAACACATTGTCCTAGCTAGATATCAGGATGTTGGCAGATTTCCTGTAGTCCTATAATAGCTATTGCAACCTGTTTCTATCCCTTAGCAACTATATTCAGACTATCTCGGACTAGGGCTAATTTGCCGGCTGGCGTCAGTGTCGCACTGGATATTATCTTCTCTCTAACTCTTTCCAAAGGACCCTCTAGTGGGACAAAACCATCTTACACGTCCTGATGCTTTGACGTGCAGGAAACTTGTCACCTTGTTAAGAGAGTTGATTAAGCCACCAATTGACCGAAAGATGGCAGAATACGAGCCAGAAATTATTGGACTACTAATTCGAGCCGGTGCTGTACGGAGTGGCAAAGCTTAGAATCTCAGGACTGCTAGACTGCTACTTGAGATTATGAGGTGTTGGCGTGCCAATACCGTAATGTTCACGCTGAGACAGCCAAATGCCCCTTGATTTGCACCAACTTGATGATTTCAGGTTCGCACTTAGTTTGTGAATTAACCAAACCGCATCTCCTATAAATAAATAAATCACTCTGAGACCGTGCATGCGCAATGTTGCCGAATTACAAAGCTCTGCAGAAAATGTTTCCGTTCGGAGACTTATCGGACCATTTATACTTTCCACCCAGTCACTGGCAGCCAACGGTGTACCGCAATGATCATTGTTCTTAAATATGGCACATGACTGATATAAACTCCTAGGAAGAAATATCTCATTCCACATCTTTTAAACACAAATTCATGAACTTCAAGCCAGCTTTCTACCTCGGATTATTAAACCCGCTGCACAAAATGGCTTCCAACCTCACAACCAAGTCAACTTACAGCTCAAACTATGAGCGTATGTCTGGGAATTGCACTCGTCTCATAGCCGCAGAGATGGTTTCAACCATCTCCCCGCCTCTAAGCTCTACCTCGTACATCCTCGACAACGCTTGTGGGACAGGAATTGTGAGCGAGCAGATCAAAAAACTCCAACCGGACGCGAGGATCATGGCTACAGATATTTCAGTTTCGATGATCGATCAAATAAAGAGCCGAATCAAGTCTGAAGGATGGGTAAACGTGGAGACAGATATTCAAGACGTTCGTTCCTTGTCAAACCTGCCAGACAATACCTTCACACACGTGATTACAAATATGGGCTTGCCGGTACCGGGCGAGTCAGGTTCGGGGGTAATAGGGGCAAAGGAAATGTATCGCATACTGCAGAAGGATGGTGTTGCGGTCTTGTCCACTTGGGCAGGCAAGTCTCGTAACCTCTGGTGGCTATTGATCGCACACTAACAGAACTAGATCGTGTTTGGCTCTCTGCATTCTATAACACGGCACGCGCTATCCGGCCTGATGCGGAGCCACAGACGGCCATGAAATTAAACCCTGAGATTCTGCGAGGATCATGGCTCTTGACTGCACTGGAGGAGGGTGGCTTTGGAAACAATGTTGAGCTTCGCCCTTATGTGACGTATACCAGTGCACCAAGTCTAGATGACTTGATTGGGAACTTAATGCTGGCAAAGGGGATGTTCTTTGGAGGATATAGTGATGAAGAAATTTTAAGAGTAGGACTTATTTTTAGGGAGGAGGTAAAAAGGTTGAGAACTTTTGAGGTGCTGGAGAGCGGCGTGGCAAGAATTGGAATGAAAGCCTGGATTGCAACGGGCTGGAAGAAGGGATATGAGAAGGAAATTCCGTTGTAACGGTTTTTTGTCATGTCGATGGTGCTGGTGTCAAAATTGGATTTGTATACGGAGCAAATTAAGTAAATGATCAGACGGCAAGCTCCTATCGGGAAACCGCGACCCCCGCATCGGGCAAGGCGCGCGCACGAGGTATTCGCCGCTTTCGCGGGGTATATAAAGATAGTAGCTAGCTAGTCTCTAGTATTAATCGTAGGACTTAAAGAGTTAGGCGGGTATCTTATACTAATAGTATATACTCTTAACTAAGGATAGACAGTAGTTCTATCAACTTCTATTGACTGTATATCAGCTATACTATTTATTAGAGAAAATTATTACAGGTATGTGTGTACTGATTCTTTTATTTGCTATAGCGTGCCTATATATATAGAGCTTCGTAGAACGGGAGGAAGGTATTTGGACTATTGTTGCTGTTTATAATTTTAACTTACTATCCGATTAGTTGGACGGAAAGCTTCATAGCGAAAAGGATTGCATGTAAGAACTTATCTCCCTTGCCAAATTGTGTTTAGTCTTACTTACGCCTATACCAGAAACCGTGGTGGTAAAGTAACGGCAAAGTAGACAGAGATAGATGAGATCATTTTTCAAATGCTGCACCGCCCCTAATCAGAGATGTTCGAGATGTGGCACCAGGGGAAGTAAGATGGCATTGGGGAAAAAGTCAAGCTAGCGAGCCAGTGTGCAGTAGCATGCACAGTTGGCAATCTCACGGTCACCTCGGTTCCGAAAGATAGGCCATTGAATAACCATTGTTGGTAAATCTCATTTATGCTTATAAATTTATTTAAAGAACCTTCTAACAACTCCCTCCAGTTTGTATAAAAGCAGATCCATTCAAACCCCCGCAAATTCCCTACCGATATCTTTGGCATAGTGCGCAAAAATCTCATAGATGCTATGTGCTGCACAAGTAACCGCCGCTCAAATGTATGCAAAAGTTTTGAATAAAGTACAGGACTCGGATACATATGATACTTCACCTCCGTTATAAAGGTCTGTGGAATTAGAAGAAAATGAGGACAGCGACATCGTTCCCGAGATCGACCAGTCTTCAAGCTCCTCTGATCCGTCTTTTACACTCTCACAACAGCACCTAAGTTGCCTCAAATTGTGCCAGAGAGCTAGGAAAATCGTGACTAATTGTTTAAGAAGCAGAATCGGGTATTTATATGTTCGATTTTCTTATATTCTTTGAAGTAATTGGTACTTCTTCTAGGCTGTTCGCACAATACACGATAACGTGGGGAGGTATACGAAGAGTGATGGTAGTAGTTATATTTAGGACCGTTCATAGTAAAAATACATCTTTACCCTGATACTCCACTATCCCTCGTCGATGAGTTTTAAGCCAACCCTCTATCAACTCCTCAACACTTTTGTAATTGTCCCCACTGGGGCCCGCTTCAAAACGAGTAACATACTCCCAAGTAAATTCCTTGGGCTTTTTGTTTTCCGGGGTGAACCTCATGTACACAGCATATATACGAGTCTGGTGATCATCCTCGGCAATTTTCCAACCACAAACAACCTCAAATCCATTCTCTGGTAACATGTCTATGTCTTTTGCGATATCTTCAGGCTGCTCCATGTTCATAAGTGCACCATTAAAATATAACGATGTATAAATCTGATCTTTTCCAAAACCCGGTCCAGTAAGGCCACCCACTAGGCTTGAAAGTATTTTGAAGTCCTCCGGGATAGTAATTGGTCGGCGATCCTCGGCCACGGACTCATTGAGCGCAGTCTCCAGTTCCAATAATTGTTCGGCCTGCTTCTCAGAGCTCTGGACAAAGTCTATCGTGCCATCCGGAATATGGTCAAACAAGTCTGCATGCCTTTCAACTGTATTAAGGATCTCATATTTGTCCAGCCCCGTCCATAATTCCTCGACAATATCGTCCAAGATCTCCTGCTCGTCGTCGCTGTCCCAATCCTCCCAGGGCTTCCGAATGTTCCCTGCAACGTCCTGGAGAAATTGGGTTTTCATTTCGCATTCCAAGATCTCTTTATTCCACCTCAGCATCTTTGCTCGATAGTCTGCGAGCAAGGCAGTCATTCTCTGACGTAGATCATCTAAGAAATCTAAGTTAGCCTTAAGAGTACAATTCGGAGACAGCTGGAAAGCAACTTGCCGTTGTGCACATTTTCCGCAGACATGACGCGGAACGTTTTGTTCTATTTGAGTGAGATCGAAGGAACAGCTTGGAAAGATTGAGCGTGGTTAGATAGTAACCTCAGGTCGGTGGACCATATTAGAGAAAAGCACGTAGGTAGCTGCTTTCCAACACACCGAGTTGCAGGGTTCTAATCAGAGAAAACTCAATTCCAGGTTCTCGGCGGGTATAAGGGCCGGAATGATAGGGAATCACGATTCGTAACAAGCACTCGTATTATTACTAGACAAATCTCTGCCCCCTAAATCTAATGGGGGTACCAAAATGCTAAGATGCCGAAAAAATATCACATGCTAATGTACGTAAAGTATGGACCCCGCGATAGGCATGTAGTTCTTAAAGTACTTTATAGTATTGTTATAAATATACTTATTAGGAATATAAGTCAATGAATATGCTGAAGTAGTAACTACAAGTAGGGTGCAGTATAGGACCCATTTACCATGCCCTAAGTGGTTTGGGGCGCCCCTACAGGGGGGGGCGACGAGTTTACCACCCTATGGGGTATGGAAATAGGTAGTAAAAATAATCTGCCCTATTTATAGGGCCCTATAGGTAGAATTATGCATCGGTTATAATTAGGTATATAATTAAGTAATAGATATATCGGGATGTATGTGTATAATACATATATAAATCACGTGTATGATCACATAATAACGCCAGATGCTCTATAGGTACTTAAACAGGTGTGCTTTGATCAGAAAGTGATAATTGTTTATATGCTTGTTTACTCTAGGATTTTGGTATTCTTGCGCCAAGGTGTTACGAGTAATACCTAAGGTAGGCATTTGGTGTGCGTCTGGCACCTTAAGGGATAGTAAAGAGAATTATTCATAAAGATAGCACTCCCATTAATCAAGGGACAAGCTCATAATAAAACAGAATAATAACACGAGAATCAGATGTTTACAACTAAATGGTTACCTATCTAATTATCAACTATTGTTACAGCTACTATACCACCACAATTACTATTACTTTTGTCCTGAAATGCCCCACAGTGATCACTCAAGTGCATTTCCCAAAATCTTTCTGGCAGCCAGTTCCGCAATAACCTACTCCAGTGCCACTTAAAAGGGAATTAGCAAGAACATTTCACAGGGGATCATTGTCTTCTCCTCCAGAGTCCAGATAACGTACCAGTATCCGCTTGAAGAACAGCACTGTCCATCCTTAGGTCCTCCACTGCAAGTGTAGTTTCCATTTGCAACACCACACTCTCCAGTGTTGGAAGGAACCGTCCCTGTAGTGCAGGTTCCTGCTTTAGGCTGGCAGCCTTGAGCACAATGGCCGACTGTGTCTCCACAGAATCCACTTGATGAACAGCAGGACCCGAAGCGTCCATTCTCAGCGCAGGTATATCCAGTAGTACCACCACAGGTGCCATTGGGGGTTGTTGTCGTAGGCGCACACACCCCGAATGCCTCCTGACAACCAAAGCTCGTTCCGCAATGAGTCGTTGTGTCACCGCAGTACCCATATGCTGAACAGCAGATTCCAAAGGTCGAGCCGGTGCAAGTGAAACCAGCAGTGCCTCCGCCTACCAGCGAATTAGTATGGGTTTTTTTGTCGATGAGAAAGAAGACAAGAGAGAGAAGCGGCAAGCACATATCCGGAGGATGACAGGTCTCGCCAACCACTTGAGATGATGATCTAGGAGGAGAAAGAAAGAAGCGAGTTGATTACATGATCCATCAGGCGTGATAGTATCTTGGGACAGCAGAGAGTTCCCTGATACACCAGTTGAGGGGAAAGCGGCAGTGTATGCGGACAAAAGTCCAAGTAAGACGGTAACGTGTAGTAACATGACGAGTTCGATATGTTTGTGGTGCTACGTGGAGATTGTTGAATGATGAAGATTGTAAGTAGTGGTTCAAATTATATGTGTGAAAAGAAGGTAGAGTAGGAGTCAATAAAAAGAAAGGTTTATAAAATTTCAAGTAGGAGATTCCATGAATAGCATCACATGGAATTGAAATGTTCACGGAATAGTCGCTGCGGCAAGAAAAAAGACAACCCGAGGCAGCAAGGTCCTAAGAGAATCGACTTTGCTTATCCTTGTGAGAGTAGAAACTTCTGCCTGTTGAGAAGGGAAATATATGGACCGTAATTAAGTAGCCACTGGCTCGTATCACTCCCCCAACAAGTTTGGCAAATATCAAATCTCCAACAGCAAGGCTAATATGCGGAGAAATATAAGAATATCGAATACGGGTTGGATATGAAATTTTCAGGCATATTTCAGCTAGCGTATGTGGGTGGTAAGGGTTGTAACCAAGGTATCGATCGGGATCACAAGGAAGGAATTCTTCAGAAGCGGGGCCTGTTTAGTCAGTTCAGGGGTTTCCAATCAGCCAGGGGCTCGAATCATACTCCGTATTCGGTGTTGCTGGAAGAATGAAGGATAGCGAAGGATGTCTCCAGGTTAGTTTACAATACTTTCATTTCATCTAGAGCCTATAGAGTCATGTATGATGATTTTCCTTCCATTTTAAAAACCAGCAACTTTCTTCCCATAGCAACTCATTACGTTTTTCAGGGGTGCCGCCGCTCTGTTGGCAACCTCTTTGCTTGGGCTTACTACCGGAATCTCTGCGGCTCCAACCCTTCACCATCTTCTGTGACGCCTCATCGACGAGATGCCGTGTCCCTAGAGCCCAGCTCAGGCGTTTAACAGAACTTTGGCCTAGGCCGTGCTGTTCTTCTCCCTATTCTTGAAATTGGAAGCATGTATATCAAGGGACAAGTGGGCTATGCAACTAAAAATGGCACCTCAAGCAACAGTTTAGGCTCCGATGCAATCACTCGACACATGCCTCTGAACAAATGTGTCGATGGCCCGATCCAATGCTCGGCCACACAACCGTGTCTAGATAAGAGCTGCTGTAACTTGGTTTGTGCACCTCCCTTCCTTACAAAAAAACGAATCTATGTCTAATCTCTAATGTTTCCTAGACTAGGATAGTAATGTAGCTACAAAGCTGCGCACTGCACACCTCCAGCTCCTATAACTTGCCTCTCCAATTGCGATGCGAAAGCAATGTGTGGCATAAACTCGCCTGTCGGAAAAGAGGAGTGTGACCTGAACCTCATCTGCTCTTTTTACGGGGTGGTGTGGAGTAAGTTCACAAAACTCTTCTTGGAGCACTACACTATGCTGATAATGTTTGTTTCAGACTGAAGATGTACATTGTATAAATGGAGATCCACAAGGTGCAACTTCGCCTTGCCAACCTGGCTATGGAGGATGTGAAATGGTTCCGCCACCATCATGCGGTACCGGTAGTGGGACTGCCAGTAATGGCAGAAAGGTCGCATACTATCAATTATGGTAGCATCAAACTTGAAATTCCCGGAAAATTTGACACTTGACATGGCTGACTCTAATTCCCGCAGGAACACACGCAACCGAAAATGCAACAGAGAGGAATTCGACCACTAGCGGAGTCACTGTTTACTTTGACGGCTCGGTATGGGAACAGCCAAACCCCATATTTCAGTGCACACCTTCCTGCGTGATGATCATCCCACCCATGCCCCTTCCCCAGCTCAGCACGATTTCCATGCCTACCTTCACCACCACTCTCTAGTCTGCCGCCCAAGGATCGGTCGTTAATAAGACGACCGTTATTAGCGTGGCACCCATCACCACGTCGTACAGTATCAACTTCTAGCCCATTACTATTGGGCTCCAAGACACCACTCAGGCGGCATTGAGGCCTATACAAAGTGTGATGCCGCCCTCCTTGACCATCCCCCCGGGTGTCAAGACCAGTGTGGCCTCGAGCACAGACGGAACCACCCCCTTTCCGGCCAACAGCGGTATTTTCGCCCCCACGCCTCGTCCCTCCGTAAACAGGCCTCTACCTTGTGGTACTGTAGAATTCGATATCAGCTTCAGTTCGGAACACTCTACTCTATATATGCAAAATCCGCAACAATACAACTATAAGCGAAATCTGTTTCCTCTCCCTTTAAACTCTTAATAATTTGAGCGCACGAACCATCAATTTTATCCCGCACATCGTAACGTCATTGAATCCAAGCTTCAGGGCGCGCGTTATCTTCCCAACAGAAGCCAAACCTCTCCAGCCGGAGATTTAATTCATCGGCCTCCATCGCGGATCAGCAGCGGCTCGCTCACCACTGATAGTGATCAAGTCCCACGTGTCACCATGTCCTACCATCACGATAGCATTAGGAGGGATGGCTTCGCCTCTGCATATGGCAGATTTTATACCCAGCCCGGTCGCGTGGAACGAGTTGAAGGTTCCTCTCTCGGGAGCATGTTCTTACCAAAGCTCACTCACGAAGACGCAGACAATTAGACGTAGCCTGTTCCGACAATTTTGTTCGTGGCCAACTGAAACACTACGGCGTGCAGTTCGACGAAAGCGAGATCTCTGGGAACGGAACTCTTCTGATGAAGAAAGTGCTCCAGGCTGGGAAATGTGACAAAGTTCCCGACCACATCTCTGGGCTGCGCGAGCAGATGTATACAGAATGGCTTTGCAAACTTACCCCCGAGGAACTCTCCAGCCAACCTGAGTTGGTCATAGACAGGTACTTCTTGTCTTCCGGCCGACCAGATCACACGAAAACGACCACAGTTGTCGCTATACCCCTTCCTCAAAACAGTTTGTATCGCAGCAGTCAGATGCGCGAGGCTGCTAACAAGGTCACGGGTCTGCAGCAAGCGACGGGTTTGGGCCCCAAGACGCAGGCCATCTTCATGGGCTGGGACTCAGTCGCTGTGGGCAATGCAGCGAAGAGCCACGCCGCCAAGGAGGCGAAGGAACTCCACGCCGCGGAAAATGAGTGCGAGGATGAGCGTGCTGAAATACACACGGACTACCTCAATACTCTTAAGCGGAAGAAAGGCCCTAGGACGTATTCACCCGTTGGCAGCTATATTATCGACTGCGAGGAAATCGAAGGGGAGTGGCCAGATCTGGCAGATGTCTTAAGTCTCGATATACGTCAGACTGAAAAATATAACGTTTTTGAAGCCAGCTTCGATTTCGGGGTTCTCGAGGGAGTCATGATCATCAGCGCGGAAAAGCACGCCCTGGAGCAGTACTGCTCTCAGCTAGATCGCGAGGCTGAGTCTGGAGGGGACGAGGACGAGGACGATTGGAGTGAGGAAGAAGATGAAGACAGAAAGAAAGACGAGGTTGAGGACAAGCTTGAGAACAGCAGAAAACCCACTACAGGCTCTAAGAGGAGAGCTGAGGCTCTCCGAGGCCACGCCCCCCCACCAAAGAAGTCCAGGGCTAGAGCTGCCCAGCCACGCACATATCTACTGAAGTTGAAGTGTCGTGAGACTGGTGAGGGCGTGATTCAATACACCGAAGAGGAGGGGACTATCATATTCAAGGACGAGAACTTGGCTAGTTTCTTAGGAAATGCTAACCTTCCTTGCGTGGGCCAAGGAGTACCTTTCACTGCACGGAAGATTTCAGATGCGCCTGCTCGTCCGAGAAATTCGTGGGCTGACTACTCGGAGAGCGCGTACGAGTATGCACGAGTTGCACGATGGCACTAGGTCTATCCAGCGACACATACATATTTGGAGTCAGTACTATAGCATTTGTTGACAACTGAAAGCAGCAATGTAGTATACTCGGGCATTAATTAACCACTTATCAAAATCAATACCCGTAGTTAAGTGTACTATTAAGGGGGCTACGCATCACGCATCACTTCGGTTGTATTGTTGTGCCGCACACACGTTTGTCTTAGCTTTAAAATTGTAAAATAGTAGAATACAACGTCGATTTTACCCCAGTTCTCAGAGCACTACACGTTACTTTCTTTCCAGTAGCTAGCTAGCTTATTCTATTGAAAATGTACATACAGCGACAAATTAATACTTAGTTACTTAGTACTGGTAGCCGTATGGAGGTTTTGACGTATGGGTATCTTACACAGAAGCAGAAAATGTAATCGTCTTCCTAATTATTATACTCGAGGCAATTAAAGAAATTGAGAAACCCCGCAATAGTAGCCCAATAGCCCTGTCTCAACTCCTGGCCTCGACATTAGGCTACTCTCACCATCAGGAAAGACATCCTGTTGGATCCTACCACCTAAAACCCCTCATGAATCACAAAAGCACCGCCTCCAGGCAGCTCATCCTTGCGACCTAGCCAGCCAGGGATCGTTTAACAATTCCCTTGCCGTCTTTCGCTTCTCCGGTTCCCACTGCAACATCGACTTAATAAAGCTGAGAAATAGTTCTTTATCCTTCCCGTTGAGATTCTCCTCCGTGGCCTCGAGACTACCAGACGGCAAAAGCGGTAAGCGTCCTGGCTCATTCTCGTCTGGTTCAAGCCATTTGCCATTCCCATCGAACCATTCCGCAGATCTCTCGCCCCGCTTGATGAGCTCCAGTGGCGGTGGTCCGAGAACAGAAATCATTTCTGTAAGATGAGCACGAGTTGTGTAGCGGCCTCGTTTCGGATCTTGCCCACTAAAGAGATGTTTACCCTCAAAGACATCCCAGATCTACTGCCAAGTTAGTAAAAAAGAGTTTCACGAACTTATTTTTGCGTGAAAAAGGGCCACTCACCATGGCGCCAACATTCCAGATATCAGCGCTATAACTCCATGGCAGATTAAGCATCACTTCTGGACACCTGTAAACATCGGGGTAGGCGTCATCGTCGTTGACTTTTGTCCCATATACCGCATTTCCAAAGTCGCAAAGTACTGGCTCCCCAATAGACTCTGGCATATTTAGGGTCCGGGAAATATATATTTCTCGATGCACCGCTTTCTTGCGCGGTGAGGGTTGAGCAATCTCGGCCTCCTCAAAAGCAGCAAAAATAGAGGGATCTTCGATAAGATGAAGAATGTTATCGGATTTGATGTCTAAGTCAAATAAAATCAACAGAGATTCTAGCATGAAAGCCAAGAGTAAATTAACCTGTGTGGATCAACTTCCGATCCGTGTGAAGATAGTCTAGAGCTAGTAAAAGGCGTTGCAGGTTTACTCGCAGCAGGTCTTCCGTAAGTCTATCTCGACCACTCCGTTCGAGGAGTGTCCTTCTACTGTCCCAGAATGGTTTATGTACTAGGCATAGATGTTTGACACCACGATTCATCAACTCAAATGAATCAAGGGCATTGCGCACGTAGCGGTAGCCAACTCTTGATTTGTTTCCTTGGCTAATGTGCTTATAAATGGCAATCTCATCGGCATCCTGGCCATCATTTGTAAATATTTTGACGGCAAAGTGACGGTGGGCTCTGTTTTGACATTAGCTTCGACTTATGTTGGGAGATAGAATCGCTGACTGTAAATCCCGTGCAAGCCACACCGTTGAGGAATTTCCAAACCCTAGCTTTCCAACGACTTGATACCGCTAGGAAAGAACATCCCCAATCCGCGCTGGGTAATATCGCTCAATTCCGTAAATTTCTTCTTCAATTTTTTCTGATGGGCTGATAAGAGGGAATTTCGCATTCGGATATTGCCGTGGTGGAGAGGGTGTCCGTTTGACGGCACTTTTGGCCCACTTCAGGAGTCCAGCCACGAGTGAGATGTGCTTGATGATCTGGCGGATATTTCGATGTAGATTTGATATCTCATCTTTAATAAGCCTTGGTTTCTTTAGAAAGTGTCATTGGAACTCTATAATAAAGATACTGTATTTATAGCGTTTTATATAGCAGCTTCTAAATGTTTCGGTTGAAGTTATAAAGATACGGAGTGAAGGAAAATAATATCTTGGAGTTGATGACATGAGTGAAGCTAAAGTCACAACGCGCCGGCAGAATCTCGGCAGCCAGAAACGCGTCTCCCTAGACATCATCGAAGCACCGAATATCTCTTGAATCTTGAATCCGGACGCAAGCCTGTGCATACAATGCCTATCTGCATAGAATGCCGTTATCCCGTCAAGACCCTCTACACCGAATATTCGGGCGCAGATGACCGCTCCACCGGCCATGGAGTGCGCCTCACTGTCTGCAAGAATTGTGGCCGGTTCTGCGATAAATACGTAGAGCATGACTTTGTAGTTTTGTTTATTGACTTGGTGCTCATCAAGCCGCAAGTAAGTTTGCAGATGACTTGCTCGAAGGTTTATTGCTAATAAACGTAGGTATACCGACATCTCCTACATAATACTTTAATGAGAGAGCATGACCAATTCGATGTAAACTCCCTAATATGAGCTGGATAACTTGCGTATTGACAAACGATAGCTTTCCATAATACGACTCGGCGTCCTCCTTCTCCTCTTTGACGTATACCTCACTTGGGCGCGTATCGAAAAGCAAACTTCCTCGAATCCCGAAGCCAACGGCGCGAATAACAACAACTTCATCCTTTTTGCACAACAGCCGATAGTATCGCAGTATATTTTCTTCCGTAGGCCTATTCAAACCCGGGCTTGGATTTCTCTGACAAATTTTAGTGGTTCTTTGCGCCCTTTCAACTTTATCTTTCCACCTCTCTATACGGTTCCTCACCTCCTCTCCGCTCTCTCCACTCGTCCTCTTTGGTCTCAACCCACGATACTCCCGTCCGAACTCAGTCAGCACAGCACTGCTTGTCTCATCCTGTACGAAACTCTTCCCGATATTAATGGTAATATGGGAATACGACGTCCCTGCAGCCGCAAGATCGCTAGGCTGGGCGGTAGTGGCGAATAATGTCGAAGCCCTGAAGATCCTCTTGGATTGTGGGTATGGTACTGCAGTTATTTTAGCTACGGTAGGGGCGATATCTAGATGGTTGGTAGGCAGAGGGATTTTGTGGGTGGCTGGATTAGATGGGGTGGATACGGTTGGAGATTCGGGGGTTGCGGCTGATGGAAAGGCGTTATGGGCGGTGGTAGAATTGGCAAGGGAATGGGGCGGTAGGTTAGGTCTTGGATAAAGAGAAGATAAAGATATTAACCAGATATTGCCACGTCTTCCCAGTTGCTGTTAACAGATATTTGTGACATAGATAATGGCTCCGGCGGCTTGTATAGTGGCCGCTACTACATCGGCTTTTTCCAAGTCTATTCGACAGCCATATTATATCTGCTAACAAGCCCTAGGGTTCATCAGATATGGTCCAGCAACGCTTCGATTCCATATCAATATACACGCTTCTAGAAGCCCAACCAATAACCAGCTCCTCAACGCCAAAGTATACATCCATACATTGTAGTGTGCCCAGCCCTCAAGCTACTCGCTCAGTCTTCATCACTCATGTATCGCGTGCTGCGACAAATCGGCACGCCGAGGTACAATAAGTGGGTGCCATTGTGCGAGGAATGTTATCGCTATATATCCGCAATTAGTATTCTATTTTATTGTGGCCGTTTATGGTTTCGAGATGGGAATGCGTACCCCACATGATATAGCAGCTTGCAAACGAAAGTATCAACGAGCTTCGCCAGATGCTGCAAAGTTGTTAGCTAATTTTCTTCGGAGAAAGATAACATGAATGAATAGCAGGAAGGGGCGCAGAGCATACGTTTGAGTCTCGCCCTTGGGCGCAAAGAACCATCCTGCCAGGCAGGCAAGGACGACAATCACGAGGCCGATTATCACGCTCCAGCTAGGTCATGATGCTATGTTAGCTCCAGATCATCTTCTGGGTCTGTTTCCTGTTGCGCAGAAAGGATGAACTTACCCGTTCGCCATGTTGGTGGTAGGTGTTTGAAGCTTGAGGTTGTCTCTGTGGAAGCTGCTGTCTGTCGCTCGGAGCTCATACGAAACTATGCTTACGTAATCGGGCGACGACGGCACCGTTGGCATGGGCACAAGGAGGTCTGTCTCAATTACAAAAATTGTCTTTCTTGTCCTCTTATTATTTAATTCTCGAATTTAAGCCCTGCTTCCTGTCTCACTGCACCATATATCGCCGCAATATCGCCTGCTTCGCCCCGGTGTTTCTTCACCTGTTCCAGATGAGCATCCCCAACCTCGACATTCTTCATTCGGGTACCAGAAGCCTCAGCTAAAGCCATAGCATGCCTTGCATCCTTCCTTGCGAGATCAACAGCAAACAGTGGCTCTTCTCGCTTGTAGTAATCCCCCGAGATCATTCTGGTTGAGTATGCAGTATATGGACCCGGGAACATTGTCTCTATGAATTGATGCAGGTTGTCGGTTCCCAGTCCAGACGTCTCAGCCAGGACGTGGCCCTCAGACAGCGCCTCAACCATGTTGAGAATGAATGTATTCCCAATAACTTTTAGGAGGGTAGCCTTTCCAGAAGATTGTCCACTAAAGTCAACTATGGCTCTTCCCATGACACCTTTAGTGTACGGCTTAACCTTTTCAACACTCGCTACCGGTCCAGCAAGCACGCATATCAACTGACCGCTGGTTGCCATGGCGGGAGCCCCGAACACTGGACATGCGACGAATTCAGCGCCGGCCCCCTCGCACTTCCTAGCTAGTCCATCTGTAGTATCTGGGTGCACCGTTGAGCAATCAACAAATAGCTTCCCTTCTACATTACCCTTAAGGGCTGTATCAATTGTCTCGTTGACGGCTGCATCATCGCCAACACAGGTAAAAATGATATCTGCTTTTGACACAGCTGCCTCGACAGAAGAAGCAACGGTCGATTTACCAGGTGGAAGCGACTCGCTCAAGTCAATGGCTCGCTGTTGCGTACGGTTGTAAATGATAAGAGGCTTGTCCAGCTGGCCCTTCTCAACCAGATTCTTACATATGCCCTTGCGACGAATCTTTTAGCCCGGAAGTTCTAATGCAAAGCTGAGGAAGCAGCCATGAGACTTACGCGGCCCATATTCCCCAAGCCTATCCATGCCAATTGAGGTGCCATGTTGGTTGAAAAGGCGACGCTTAGATTCCGTATTGAAACCAAGGAGTGGAGCCAAGATTGGTTTATTGAGGCGTCCTTATATATATGCGTTTCTAAATATTGAACGAAATCGATAGTCAAAACAATGGAGTGACAATTGGCAATTCAAACAATTGCCGCTTCGGTACTGTGATTCATACTGTGTTGAATCAAGGATGCTTTTCACAACGTAATGGGATTGCCACCCAAGTACTTGCTAACTACCCGGAATAAAGCGCCTACGTACCGGTAATACCTCGGCTTATCGATAACGACTGCTATGGAGCCGGGGTCGGAGCTTTGCAGGGACGCGAAAACAGAAGGTCCCCACGTCACTAAGGATCACCGCTACTTGTACTGGCACAGGAGCAGCATAATTTTGCCCGTGATCGTTCCGTCCATACAAACCTTCAATGTCGCTACCAAGGTGACACATATTCAATATGCGCAATGATATTGCAAAATATAGCCTTGAAAGAGGGTAAAACGGTGGCTGGTGGACATGTGAGTCGCCTTGACTTAACTCGAGTTTGAGTTGGGGAATCGAACTCTGACTCTTCGCAGATACGATCATGGGCAACATATAAGCAAGCAAAACAATGCTGCCACAAAGATGCCACACGTTATTATAGCACGAATAGGGACCCAGACAGCCATTCGAGGGAAGAATTGGCCAAGGCACATGCAAGGCACTTAGCAAACAATCAGAAAGCAAGGAAAGATGCAAGGGCAATTGATAAGGTATGCGAGCTCCAAACGATGTCTAGTCTAGCTCTGACTCTTATGATTAGGACTTTTTTATGTCGGTGTTGAGCTCTTCAGCTACGAAACGGGAAGCAAAGTCTTACCTCCAACGGTTCACTCCGTCCAAAACTCCGATCGCCGCGCAGAATGCCCAGTCGCCAAAGAACGGTGTCAATCTGGGCTCGTTCTATGCTCCTACCGCAGTGTTGGGAAGCCCAAAGTTCATCCGAAATCCCCAGGACAATATCAGGCAAGGAACAGGTTCACAACTTCATACCGCCTTGGTAAAAATCAGAGCACCCCAGACATTGGACGATTCAACTCTCCATGGCATCGGAAAAACACTGTCACAGCTTGGCCGATTAGGTCTGATAAGCGTGGTGGTAGTCGACTGTAATAGTGATGAGCCTCTTGATTTGGCTCCCAGTTGGAGAGCCCTAGCGACAAAGCAGGCCAACCGAATTGTTGCAGCAATTGAGTCAAGCGGAGGGATAGAAGCAAGGATGCTTGATAATATTATTGGCGTTGGTGAGGGGTCCGACAAACCTCAATATGGAAACCTCACCCGGCCAAGGACGCATGTTACTCTTCGTAAGCTGCTGATGACTCCGTTGAGACGGGGTGTGATTCCGGTGGTCCCTTCACTGGCATATAACGATGTCACGCAAACTGCAATTCCTGTTACAGCTGCCGAGACTGTTCTTGCTCTTGTGAGGGAATTAACAGGGCTTCCAGTAGAAACCCCACCCGATGAGGACCCAGCAGAGACCAAAGAACGACTGCGTCTGATGCGTGAAGAAGTTTCGTTGGACAGACTCATCATCTTGGATCCCCTAGGAGGAATTCCTACGTCTGTGCGTCCGGACGGGTATCATGTCTTTCTCAATATGGAACAAGAATATGGGCCTGCAAAGCGGCATCTACTTGAGGACATGCAAGCCGGCGAGAGTCGAGGTGCGCTACAAATCCAATCGGACAAGGAACATGTGTCTGATCTTGGCATGAGCAACCCGTTTTCCAAGTTCGTTGAAGTGGAATTTGGAAGCCCCGGAGCGATTGCTAAACGGAATTCTCCGGAACCAGATACCGCTCGGGATAGTACCCCGAGGAACTGGTACCATCTTCAAAATCTTGAATTGGCTCGCTCGGTGCTCACAATGCTTCCTCCAAGCTCATCAGCGCTGCTGACTACACCCGAGGAAGCCGCAAATTCAGGCAAAGAAACACCTTTCCAGGCCGTGGGAGTTGGCACACGACGAGTTCGAAATCCATTAATTCACAACCTCCTAACTGACAAGCCCGTCTTTTCATCTTCCCTGCCCATAGGTCGCCTGGGACAGACCAAACCATCGATGGCCAGCCAGCCTGTCTATCCAGCTCTAAGCATCACTCCAACAACATTTGCTAAGCATGGAATGCCCATAACCATCTTCCCAAATCCGGAAATTGCTGACTGGGAGGCCCCAGAGCTAGGAAAGCCACCAATGACCTTGACAGACTCTCAGATCGACCTTCCGCGTCTCATACATTTAATCGAGGATTCATTTGGACGAAAACTGGATGTCCAAGACTACATCAATCGTGTCAATGGCCGTATTGCGGGGGTTATTATTGCTGGGGAATATGAAGGCGGGGCATTGTTAACATGGGAACTACCCCCTGGAGTCGTGGATGATGGCAGCCCGGAAAGTAGGGCAAGGATGGTTCCATATCTGGATAAATTCGCAGTTTTGAAGAAGTCACAGGGGTCCGGGGGTGTGGCAGATGCTGTTTTCACTGCAATGGTTCGGGATTGCTTCCCCAGAGGCGTTGTATGGAGATCGAGGACAACAAATGTGGTCAATAACTGGTATTTTGAGAGATCTCGAGGGACTTGGAAATTGCCTGGGGCAGGTTGGACGATGTTCTGGACGACACCAGATATGGATCGGCGAACATTTATGGATTATGAAGGTGTCTGCCGGGGAATAGAGCCCTCGTGGGCTGATAACAAAGCGGTGCTGGATTAAACATACGGTAAAGCATCCAAAGGGAGCATTCGGTTGATACCATGTCTATATATTTGCAACTTACTCAAATAATGAAATATTCATTAGAGTCATAACATTGGCACAGCCGCATACTACCTAAGTGGCTTATTCCGACTTATAGTTAAAATTAGGACAGGAATGGCCATATCCTGGTTGTCCTAAGATACCAACCTAGGTCCCTACGGGGTAGGTTATCGTCCCCGTTGACCACAAAGATACATAGTCATGCCAAACTTCCTCTTGACGGTAGAAGAATCGTATCTAGTGTCGCCATATAAGAAGCATATATAGCCTTCAATTTGTATTTGTGCATTTTACATCTACTCACTCTTACATTATTTATGAGATAAATCCTATACAAAATCTCCCCCCTGAAGGCGGACAGCTATCACGTGAAAGCGCACTAGCGAGCTCCAGACGTATTCCGTCCTCGAGGCCGCGCGATTGAGTACCAGACAACGCTCCTTTTAACATAAACAAAACAGAACACCATCAACCCTGATCATCGAATCCCCGTCACCTCATTCCACTATGGACAAAGTCTCTGCATTTGGCAAAAATTTCACGTACGTTTCATTTGCCCTGGGATGCCGACATTCAACAATATACCTCGCATCTGCCTGGTGGAAGCTATGCGATAGATGCTGACTGTCATCATTAAGGGCCTCCTTCACTCCATTTGCCGCACGCACGCAGCAATATGTGAAGGAACAGCTTGGGCAAGCTGAGGATAAGGTGAGCGGACTTTTCTCTTGCCTAGGACCCGGACGCTGACATGCACTCCTCCGTATCACAGACCCAGCTACCCCCCGATTATATCGAACTCGAGAAGAGGGTCGATGCTCTAAAGCAAGTTCATCAGCAGATGCTGCAGGTTACGTGAGTACCCTCTTTCGAATGATAACAGTAACACCACTGAAGAGCCTATGCTTACTGCTTATCTTATCTAGCTCCCAATACTCCAACGAAGCATACGATTACCCAGCGAACATCAAGGAGAGCTTCAGCGATCTTGGGCGCACAGTCAGCGAAAAAGTCCACCTTCTATCCACGGCAACCTCCCCCGCCGAAGCCCAAGCAGCTCTCACAGCTCCCCCATCCGCTAAGCCGCAACCCAAGACGTTCAACCATGCCATTGCTCGTGCCAGTTTGTCCAGCAGCCAGATCCTCCAACAACAACACGCGGGTGCTGGCGAGGACCCTCTCGCAATTGCACTAGAGAAATATGCCCTTGCCAGCGAGCGCGTGGGCGAAGCCAGACTTGCGCAAGACTCTCAGATCCAAAGCCGCTTTCTAGCTGGCTGGAGTACAACCCTCAACACAAACCTGATGTTCGCGACCCGCGCCCGGAAAAATGTCGAGAATTCGAGGCTGCTCCTCGATGCTGCAAAGGCCAATGCCAAGAGCCCTGGATGGCACTTGCCTGGCCAGGCATCAGGACGCGCTGAGGGACACGATGAAGGAGAGCCCTCCGAGGATGCTCGTGTTGAGATTGAGCAGGCAGAGGATGAATTTGTTGGCCAGACTGAGGAGGCTGTTGGCGTCATGAAAAATGTGCTTATATCTACTTCCCACCTCAGAGAACAAAAGACTAACCGTTTAATAGGTGCTTGATACCCCAGAGCCTCTCCGAAACCTCGCCGATTTGATCGCTGCCCAGCTTGAATTCCACAAGAGAGCGTATGAAATTCTTAGCGAGCTCGCACCTGTTGTTGACGGTCTGCAAGTGGAGCAGGAAGTGAGTCGATCTAAAGACTTCTCCGCATAAGTGGTCGCTGATGAAGCATCTGCAGGCCAGCTACCGAAACAGTCGTGATGGATCAGCGTAGAGAGCATATTCTGACTGAAATAGGAGACTAAAGATACATTTTCATCGACGAGGGCTGGCGCTGATTTGTTCTAGGTGAAGAATTGCAGTCAGGTGCTGGTTGTACTTTTTCCTTCGGCTTCGGTCATGTTTTCTGGGCGTTTATATTGATGTGATATTCGAGTCAACCGATGAGATTCCCGCTAAATGCAATTGCTTACAGACACTGGAATTGTTTCGTGGCTACTGCAGCTCCATTATAGACTAGGCAATTGCAATTTGTAATTGTCCTTCTGAAGCCCATTTAGACGAACTTTCGCTTTGTAGGTCGGGGTAATCTCTCGCTATTAACATATCCACTTTCTTCAATCACTTGTGGTTATTCCACCCCAGACCAAGTGATAGTAACCAACTAAATTACCCTGACGCCCCGCATATCGACTTATGGCGTCAAATGAACCAAATGGCGGTATGCATAGTGACCCTGGCGACCCACAAAACCAGGGATCATCGGGATATAGCTTCCTTTCGGAGGGTCGAACGTCAAAACCTGGCTGAGGACCTTTTTCGTTGCGGAACAACACACTCTCCACGTTATTCAATTTATTAAATTATCCCCTCCAAAAGCCAATGTGGTAAAGAGCAACAGGATCATAACCATGGCATCCGCAGCGCCTGCTCTGGACCTCGCAACGGCTCCAGCCGAAGACCCAACTAAACCCTCAGTGTCAACTCTCCTCGACGAGTCCCCTCCCCCAATTGCACCCGATCAATTCGATCCAAAATGGGAGACCGACAAGCTAGAAATATGGAGTTATTACGCTTATTATATTGGCAATAACGGATTATCGCTCTTTAATTTTGCGCCGACGGCATTTCAGAATCTGTTGTATCAGGCAGTTGGGGATGGCACTACCTTGAGATTTGCTGGGAGGTTAGTTAACGCTGTATTATCCCTCCTACGCGGACAGAATAGAGTGATATATGGAGTTGTGGAAATAAGCTAACAAAATGATATCACAGAGACAGGACTATTAACAGCATAGTTCTCTTGGCAAACGGGATAAGCTTTTCTATCCAAGTGGTAGTGTTCTTACTTCTTGGAAGTTTTGCTGGTGCACTCATTCAGGCGCTTTGAGAAAATGTTTCAATTTGTTAATGAAAGCAGATTTCGGGACCTGGCGTCCAAACATCTTGATCGTTCTATCACTGGTTGCCTGGGGCGTCGGGTTTGGATGGTTAGGCGTGCATGATCCTTCTAAGTGGGAGATCGCAACCGGCTTGTACATCGTTGGACGTAATCAACCGCCTGATACAAAAAAACAAGGAGGTTCAGACTGACAGATTTTAGTCATTGCCTACCAAACAACATTGACTTTCTGGACTGCTGCGTAAGAATCCCATCATTTGTTAAGCCTGAAGTCGTGCTGATCTGGTGCAGCTTTCCGGGCTTGGCTCGAAATACGCCCCAGCTTCGTGAAAAAGCAGAAGCATACCAAGCAGGAGAGATTTCTAGAGCAGACTATGACTATGCGGATACGCTCAAGCGCTCTGAACTTTCTAATATGGCATTCTATATCCAGTCACTCGGAGAGATCGTCATCCTAGCTGTCATCGTCGGAATCATGTTCGGGATTAATGTCAATGCCTCAACTGAGAACAATAACTGGGGCCTATCAGTGCTTGTGGCATTTGTTACAGGTGTCTGGTTACTCCTTGCGATTCCTTGGTTTCTTAAGGAAAAGAGGAGGGCTGGGCAAGAGGTATGATGTATATTCCCTTCTAACCCTTCAAGTTGTTTTCTATTACATAGCGCACACTGAGAATATTCAGGTTCCGCCAGGAATGAACATCATAACCGTCGGATTATGGCAACTCTACCGCGCACTCGGCCAAATTTGGCAGCTAAAGCAATCCCTAATCTACCTAATTGGTTACTTCCTCCTGGGCGACAGTCTCAACACCACCGTGACGGTCATAGCCACCCTCCAAAACAGCATTGTCGCCTACAACACCCTCCAACTAACCTACCTCCTAATCGTGGGCATAGCCGCCCAAGCAATCGGCATCTACACATTCTGGTGGGCCCAGCGCCGGTACGGCCTCTCCACAAAAACAATGTTCAACATCGTCGCGTGTGCAATCATAGTCCTCGACATATGGGGCATGATAGGCATCTGGACGGAGAAATTCGGTTTCCACAATGTGTGGGAAGTCTGGTTATACCAAGTGTTCTACGGCCTCTTCGTCTGTCCATGGTACTCGTACTCGCAAATCATGATCAGCGAGGTCACGCCGCGAGGCCGGGAGTTTCTCTTCTTCAGTTTGTTTAGTATTATTGGGAAGACATCCAGTTTTATCGGACCTTTGGTTAGCTCGGCCATTATCGATGCGACGCCGAGCGGGAATAATTCTACGCCTTTTTATTTTTTGACGGCGTTAAGTGTGCTGAGCTTCTTTGTTTGTGTTTTTGGTGTCGACTTGGAGAGGAGTCGGAGGGAGCAGGATGAGTTTTTGGAGAGCGAGGATGAGCACAAGAAAGGAATGGGTTTACATCATATTGATGGTACTGAAACGGCCATCCGGGTGAGCCAGGGTGCGGGTAGTATGAAAGTTTAAGGGGGGATGTTTAGTCTCTTTGACTGAGTGTTTTAGGAGAGAGGTTGGAATTATAATGGCCGGGACAGTATTAATTGAAACGTCAGGCCCTGCAATGACCCATCGTGGTCGGCGATTTAAAATAAGGGTTTGAGTAAAGCATGGGTGCAAAAGTACTAGATTACTAGGACTAATTGGTACATCCACGTCGTTATATAAAATTAATACAGTATCCAAGTTTCATTACAGGTATCAATACTAATTCTATATTCCCTCTAGATCCCAACTATGCATTTCCTTCACTGCCTCCAGGCCACCGTTTCAACTTTCCTATCCCAATATTCGAGCGCTTCACTCCTGCTCAGGGCACCCTTCTCCCCAGCTCCAGGCAACCTCCAGGCCGTAAAGCTAAAACCACTCTGTTTCAAGCTCGTAACCATAGGTCCCAAAACTAGCCTTGTAACCTCAATTCCCTGACTCTTCAACTCAGCAATCGCCAACTCGGCAAACGCAGCAAGTACTTCATCTGAGGTACTCCCAGAGCTGTTCACCAATAGAACGACTTCATTCGGCTCCGTTTTTGAGAATGGAATAAATGCTCTGTCAGCGTCAGAGGTATCAGTCACTAGATTAATCATCTCTTTCGTGAGATCCTCTGGCGCTGGAATCGGCGATATTTTCCGGAGACCAGGTTCGCCATGGCATCCCAACCCCAGCTCTATCGTCGCAGGAGGGATGCTCTCAAGTTTAGTGACGATATCGTTGGGTAGTGCTACTCTATAATTCTCTCAGCAAGGTTCCGAGGTACTTATTTGGGAGTAGTGAGAAGCTTACCGGTCGAAAGCTACAGCGATAGTCCCCACATTTGCAGCAACATACTCAATTACCTCCGTCACCCTCTCCAGGCTCTCCCCCTGATCGGCTAACGCACTCGCAATCTTTAAAGCAATCACATGGCCACTCAGTCCTCGCCTTCCCACTTTCCCGCCCTTCTTCCTGCCCACGGCGACATCGTCGCCAATTGGGACAAATTTGACTTTATAGCCCGCAGCCGTGGCGCGAGTGATGGCCAAGCCGGCGTTTAAAATATCACCAGTGTAGTTTCCACAGACGACTAACGTCCCTTTGGCATCTTCTGGGTTAAGGGGCTGGCAGAGCTTGATGGCTTCGAAGATCTGGGCCGCGGTGGGTGAGGCGAAGATATTTCCTGAGACGGAGCAGGAGAGGAAAGAAGGGCCTACGAAACCAGAGAACATGGGCTCACTGTAGTAATTTGTTAGTTTCAGGAGTGCAAATTAATTTCATGGAGCTGATAGATGGGGGTGGGAACTATAAACATACTGTCCGGCTCCTGCAAAGCCAATAGTCGTAACATGATCTTTTCGGTATGTCTCGAGATCACTTCGGTAGAGGATTTTGTGAGACGGGGCGTAGGAGAGATTCGCATTATGTTCTGTGATGCCGATTGAAGCTTCGTTGATGGAGTCTGCGGGATTGTTGATGAGGTGGAAGGTCTCTGTTTGGGTTTGAGTTTCCGCCATTGCGGTCCTAGGGAGACGGAATGCGGGATGTGGGGTAGCTTCCCGGAGAATGGAGCGAATTAAATAGAGCGTAAACAGAACTGAAATAAAGCTCGGGTGAGAGAGAGATATATGACAATGAGTTTGGGGTTCGTGAAGTTAAAAGGAACAGAAATAATTAAAAGGAAATAGAAATAGTGACATTGTAACCTTTACTACTATTAATAAATTACTTCCCTTGACTCTGTCCACCCCGCAATCGTAATCGGGCGGGTTTCCCGTTTTGGCCATCCGGGGGCGATTGTCAGTGCCGATCAAGGATGGGGAGGCTTGTGCTATCAGCACTTGTAAAGTACTTGTATGAAGAACTGCGCGATGAGTTCACCACGAAAAAATATTCTCCTCTTCTGTTTAACTCTTGATTTTGATTTCCCTCCCTTTTGACTTGAGCAATTATTACATAGATATTGAGACGTTCACCATGTCTATCGTTGTGGAGCAGACGCTCCCCTACACATCGTCGCAACTCCGCCTTGACGATACCGAGAGGTGGAATCGGCTGTTTCCGCTTATCCGACCTTCAACAAAAGCTATTTCCATTGGAAATGGACGAACCATCGTGGTAGACACTGCGCTTGCGAAGAGCAACAGCAAAAATGTTTTGGTTGCCGCAATTGTGTCCGCGGGCAACTTCTCAGACAAGGTCCTCCGCGAGTCTCATATAGCTGCTTTTGCAACCGAGAAATTTGGAGATGAGACTATTTCTGGTGAGGATATTGCAAGAGTTCTGAAGGAAAATGGGTTCCCAACTGAAAATGGGGTCGTCGTTATCAAGGCTGGCTCTAAGCAGGGCTTGGAAGCACAACCAAACTCCGGTGTTTTAGAGGTGTTTGTCAGAGGCGAGTTGAAGCTTGACCATATCATATCTTTATTGGAAGCAGCCACTCAAGAAACCAAGTAGGTTCAAGTTCTTCTAAAAGTTTGTGTTGAGAAAGACATCGCATCTAACATTGTATAGGTCATCTTTTGAAAACACCCAGAAATTTCTCGACCACTACCTGAGGGCTGTTGCAAAGACCACATCAGTATTCCACGAGAAGAAGACTGGCAAAGGGCCTAACGTCATCCACGCCGTTGAAACATCAGAATTCAGCTCGGCCAAAAAGTCGGTAGAAACGGATTTGAAATACCTCCTAAGCTCGAGACCTCCTTCTGGGGAAGATGTGGTATACGCAATACATGTCGCGGATATCAATGGCCTCTCACGGCTAGAAGATGGCATCCTAGTTCATGAAGTATCAGAATTCTGTGGTAAATATATATGCCCGGTTGACACTTGACTCAACTAACAGACATTTCGCAGCTCAAAATAATCTACCTACGTATATATCTCATTCCACAATTCTCGACAACCACTCTCAGGCGCGAGGCTGGGCTATATCGTTCTGCCCAGTGCCTGCAACATACCTAGCTCCTCAGCAAAAGCCAACAAACCCCCTTACCAATTCGATAGGGGCAGCAGCTCCTACCAAGCCTAGAACAGGCTCCTCTCAAATCCAGATAACCGACTCTCAAGTTCGGAAGATCATCACACAAGGCTGCGAAAGCGTTATTAAGGCCGAACCAATAATCACGGAGTACGACACCATCGTCGGAGATGGAGACTGCGGTTATACTCTAAGAGATGGCGCCAAGCAAGTCATGAGTTTTATCAGCAATGCCGACCTCTCAAAGCTCCCTTCTACGCTCGGCGAGCTTGTTGATGACCTAGAGGTGAACATGGGCGGCACATCTGGGGCCCTGTATTGCATCTTCCTCTCATCGCTCGCGCAATGTCTTTGGGACGCTCCGACTTTCGCTGATGCTTTGAAAGGAGCTTTAGAGCATCTACTAAAGTACACGAGGGCGAGATTGGGAGACAGGACTTGTCTGGATTGCTTGATTCCTTTTGTAGAGTCGCTGAAGAATACTGGAGACGCGAAGCTGGCGCTGGAAGATGCAAGAAGTGGCGTTGAGACGACGAAGAAGCTTGAGGCAAAGCTTGGACGGTCGAGCTACTTAGATGAGGCTGCTACAAGAGGCGTGCCAGATCCTGGAGCTTATGGGCTGTTGGTATTGTTGGAAGGTATGGTGGCTGCGGAGTAGGGATAAATAGTGTGTAGTAATAAGGCGATTCACTGTTCCAATAGTATCAATTTAGACGGGAATATTTCGGGTTCATTTCCTTTTCGACATGCATAAAATACTCAGGTAATCGACCTTCAATTGAACGCTCGAAAGCTAAGCATGAGACAACTGAGCATGATGAATGATGAATAGCTGAAGCAACTATCTTAAGCTGTAGCCTGTAGGTTGCGATGGATACATGGGATTTTGCGTTAAGGGCGGTGTAATAGTCTGAGTGGATTTGTTTGCTATCAGAATGCCTACTTGTATAGTTGATAGCGTTGTAGTTAGCTAAATAAACTGCTAACCTTACTTAATATCCAATGCCTCAAACACAATCCTCCTCACCTCTTCTAAAAAGTCACCTGCCTCCTCCTTCCCCCTAAACGCATCATTATACCCCGCACTAATCTCCATCTGACCTCTCCAAGTTCCGAGATAAACCCCTATTCCTGTGCCCAACTCATCACTCGCAACCCAAGGTCCGATCCCGTCTCCACAAACGGTAAACTGTTCATGTTGCGGCTGCATAATTTTATCAATCACTCCTAGACTTGAAATCGACACAGTGGGAGCAGTGTTTGGCAGTGGCACTTCCGGAACTTCTTCTGGGTATGGAGGACTGATCGAGGAATAGTAAAGTGGAACCATGGCGCAATGGTTTGGATCCGACTGCACGCTATGATAGAACACCTTAATATCCCTCGCCACGGCCGTAAACTCTTGCCTCAGCACGCCCTCATTCTTGGGATTGGAAACACTGGGGATATTGACATCTATAACGAGCGACTTGCCAGATGCGGAATGATACACCGCAGCTGCATGCTGGGCTGAGTCGTACGGCGGTGAACAGTAGGAGCGTAGATTGAGCAGACTGTAATTGATATACCGCCCCTTTCGGGCAAGGTCATTGCGAGGTTGCAGATTGCGCAATACGAGCACGATTCCAGCATGAAAGGCGTGTGTGGGTGTCAAGCCTAGGGCTTTGCATTTCTCCAAGACTGCAGAGGTTTCAGCCACGCTAAGCTTGAGGAGGCTGCGTTGGGAGGGCCCTGGAGGGTTTGAGGGAGATTTGCGGAAGGGGAGTGACAGGACGGTGGAATTGGAGTCAAGCGAGGTGGCATCTGAGTTGAAAGCTAGAATTTCTGTGAGACGATCTTGCTGTGCCTGCGTTGGGGGGTTGGCAAGATTGGCGGCGACATGGAAGGACGGGGAGAGGTTCGTCGTTTCGGTACCGTTGAGGGAGTCAAGATGGTAGGAATCTTGAAGTGTGTAGCCTGAGGCGGCGTGGATGAGGAGGTTGTTTAGTAGAATGAGGGTCCCAATGCCGTCTATTATAGAATGGTGGCAGCGGAACACGATGTCTCTCCTTAGACTTGTGTATTCTCCTTTGGGGGCTGGGGGAGTGATAAGGAATAGTGTTGCGTATTTCTCAACTGGTGGATCGGCATTGCTGATCTGGTCACCGGTTTGGCCATTGTTAATGACTTTAAAAGATGATGAGAGCCATTGTGATTCGTCGTCGACGGTGGCGAGGGTATGGTAAACTTTTACGCACTTCTTTTTCTCGTTATCAAACTCGACAGTTGATGCGAGAGTTGGGTGTTCGTATCGGAGTTGAGCCCAAGCCTGTCGAAACGCTGATTCGACGAGTTGTCCTTGCTCAGACTCTGTGTGAAATTTTGAGTCGATGGGGAGGGAGATGGAAACATAGCCAGTGATGGCGAAGAAGGTCCTCCCAGTGCCTTCGAATAGCCTGGCTAGAGTTGCGTAAAACCGTTCTGGCTCGTCGATGTCGCGTTCCCAGCGGCCGTGAGTGGTTTCGTGCCAGTGGAGAGGGTTAGTATGCATTTTAGCTCAGGATGAGTTTGAGTTTGCAGATAAAATTGAGTCCTAAGTGAGTTGATATTGGAATTTTCCAATACCTTCCACTTCCTCCCTATTATACCTATACTTAGGCAAGTCAAGTCCCCAGCTCATATGTTATATAGAGGGTATCAACCATTCTTCGGGAGAATGTCGGCACTTGATCTCCTTGTGAAGCAGACACGGCCCGGGATTCCGAGCAGGCGCATCTCAAGGCCATAGTTAGGCGTGCAAATAATACCTATACAGAGTTTTTGAGCAGCTGCCACTGGAGGAAACCTGAACTTGGACGTGAACGCGGGGGAGAAGCGTTGGGAGATGACGGGTGATCTTCGGACATTCCGCTGGAATTGATCCTGGCAGACCGCTCACCTCCGTATCCTCCCTTGCATAAGGTACATGTACCTACTTACCTATGATGCTGTATGGATGACCATTATTCTGTTGGATTTTAACTGGCAGGTGTGAATTCAGGTATTCGAAAACCCTATTGGTGGCATCTGAACAGGACCGCTGATTCGTACCACCGCTATTTGAGACGAGAATGTAAGTTGATGATTTGCAGGTTGAAGGGATTGCATAGTCTACCACTGTTTTCCCCGCCTAGCCCATCCTAAATCCTGTGCCATATCTCCATGAAATACAAACCCAAATCATATTTCGAATATTGCAATTGCAGAGGTTGAGACGTGATATGGTTAAAGCCGGTGTCACAATCAATAGCAGTTGAGCCGTCGCAAACCAAGGTCATTGGCGGGCTATCGAAATTCAAATCAATCTTTGAACTGTTGGGATGCAGTATCAATGCTTTGCAGATTGGCGTAAGAAATCGGGTTGGAAGTTCTTACGAAACATTAAACTGGAGATCAGTGGGAGGGCGACGGGGAGTGTGTCTGTCACTGGTGAGGTGAAGAGATACCGCCATGGCCAGATTACTGGGCCGATCATTAAAGAGGCGTAAATAGGATCTGTACAGCGTTCACCCACAGACGTTCCGGAGACTAGTCCCAAAGCGTTGGAGCAACTTCTCGAATGGCTCCTACCCCATTCCGCGGAGAAAATGTATGGATAAAGATTAATAAGGAAAGGATGAAAGGAGACGACAACAATACACACAATCTTAGCGTTAGGCCACTGAGAGCGCTTCATAAACAAGCCACAACTGCCAGTTACCAGTTACCAGTTACCAATTACCGGCATATACTCCGTACTGTGCTGTACGTAGTACCTACATGTATATGTCCCTAGGTATACGAATACGAAAACCATACGGCGTATCCCCCCGGAGTTCCCGCGGATTTGGACGGCGAAATGATCAATATTATTATGTATGGACGAGCAGAGTCTGTTTCTGTACCTGAACGGGGTCTTCCCTTCCCCTTCCCGGGCTCCCGAGTTCGCAGGGCGCAGGGTCGGCCAATAGATCCGCCACAATTCCGAGTCGAATTAATCATCACCTAGCCGAAATCATTTTCCAAAATTGCGGGCTTCTCAGACCCTCTGCCGCGCTCTTGATCGTCTTCGCCTGCTTTCCTTCTTCCCCTTTTTCCTCTTGTTCGAGTATCCCTTTCTTGTGTCTTTCACTAGGCACTCCTCCTATAAAGCCAATTCCTCCGCCCAGTGCATTTGCGAACAGCAACTGCCACTGCACTTGTCCGTTCAGATCGCGGAAGCCACCGCTGTGCTGATAGGACCCTTATCCAAGCAGGGCGCATCAACATCACCACTCAGGCCCCGATTTCATCAGCCAACATGGCCGACATAGCCAACATGGCAGCCGCATCCAACGTCAGCCTCCCCTCGCCCCTCGCCAATGCGAAGCACGCCGACATCTTGAGTAATCCCCAGGTCAGCGGCGTCCTGAACCAGCTCTCCGAGCTCAACGGATGGGTGGTGGCGGTCACGCTTCTCCTGGTCTTAGTCGCGTACGACCAATGTGAGCAGCCCAATCATCTCCAAAATCCACGGACTGCGCTCACATCTCTACAGTCAGTTACATATGGCAAAAAGGATCGATCGTGGGCCCCTCGTGGAAGGCGCCTTTCATCGGCCCCTTTCTCCAGTCCGTGAACCCCAAGTTCGAAGAATACAAGGGAAAATGGGACAGCGGTGAGCTCAGTTGTGTCTCGGTCTTCCACAAGTAAGCCCTTTGCACCTATATTATTTTGTTCCGGTTTTTAATATCGATACTTCTGCCAGGTTCGTCGTTATTGCATCTACTCGCGATATGTCGCGGAAAGTCTTCAACTCGCCCGCGTTCGTGAAGCCGTGCGTGGTGGATGCTGCACATAAGCTTCTGGGCGCAAATAACTGGGTCTTCTTGGACGGCAAGGCGCACGTCGATTTCCGCAAAGGTCTCAATGGCCTGTTCACCCGCAAAGCACTCGGAACGTATCTACCAGGCCAGGAGGAGGTCACCAAAGAGTACTTGGACCGGTTTCTGCAGGTTACCAAGGATGCGGGCGGCAAACCAGTGCCATTCATGCCGGAATTCCGAGAGCTAATGTGCGCTGTGTCTTGCCGAACGTTTGTTGGCCATTACACTTCCGACGAGGCTGTCAAGAAAATCGCCGATGACTACTACAATATTACCGCGGCTTTGGAGCTCGTCAACTTCCCCATCATTATCCCATTTACCAAGACGTGGTACGGCAAGAAAGCTGCTGAGTTGGTCTTGGAGGAGTTTGCAAGGTGTGCCGCGAAGAGCAAGGTCCGTATGGCAGCTGGAGGTGAAATCACTTGTATTATGGATGGCTGGGTGAAGCAAATGCTGGATTCTGCCAAATACCGCGAACATCAAGCCAAGGGTCTCCCTATGGAGGACATCGAGAAACCGTCACATCTGCTTCGCGACTTCACGGACTATGAAATCTCCCAAACCCTCTTCACCTTCCTATTCGCCTCTCAAGATGCTACCAGCAGTGCCTGCACCTGGTTGTTCCAAACGATGGCCCAGCGACCCGATGTTCTCGACAGGATTCGTGAGGAGAATTTGCGCGTGAGAGACGGTGACAGGACGAGGCCAATAAGCATGGACATGCTCGATCAAATGGTTTATACTCGCGCCGCGGTGAGAGAGCTACTTAGATATCGTCCTCCAGTCATCATGGTCCCCTACATGGCCAAGAAGCCCTTCCCAATCACCGACACCTACACCGTTCCTAAAGGTCAGTACTTTTGAAAATAATGCCATAACTCCACTAACCAGCCTTGCAGGCGCCATGGTCATTCCATCAGTATACCCCGCTCTTCGTGATCCTGATGTGTACGAAAATCCTGACCACTACGATCCTGAACGTTACTACACTGGTGATGCCGAGGTTAAGGGCGCCAAGAACTTCCTCGTCTTCGGAACCGGAGCGCATTATTGCCTTGGCCAGATTTACGCGCAAAACAATCTGGCTCTTTTGATCGGAAAAGCGTCGATGCACCTGGATTGGGTTCACCACGCCACACCCCTATCGGAGGAGATCAAGGTGTTCGCAACTATTTTCCCAATGGTTAGTTCTTTGATACCTTGGGGTGCAAAATGATAGATACTAATTCGGTGCAGGACGATTGCCCGTTGACTTTCTCAAAGCGAGACTAATTCGTAGCCTCTCAGTCGGCTACACTGGCATCCTCGTACGGCGTAAAATGGATTTCATTAACCTATTAATAACAGTCTGCGACAAAGGTGTTTGAGATAGAGTATTAATTCAATGCATTTGCATTGCACATAGGGAGGTTGCTTTTTGGTGTTGGGGAGATGAATATGGGATCTCATCATGGAGGGGATGGGAGAAACCAGACCACCAATAATAATACTTCTGTAATTAAAACGCACCAGAGATTATGAACGCTCTCCTCCGAAATCGCCTTGTGACTTTCTTCCGTGCTGACAATTCATCTATGGAACTTGGCTTGGAATCTGGACACATGCTTGCGGTGATGGCTCGTGATTATCAAGCATCCCAGATAGGCCAGCATGTGGACGCGGGGCTCGACTCTTCCAACCCGTATCCAACTTCCCCATAGCTACCCTTAGCACTCTACGAAGTATGAGGACATGACGAATAGCCAAGCCACTAATAATAGTTGAGTCATTGTATGGAAGAGCCTCCGACATCTAAAACGTGGTCACCTATTATCGACCCTGCGCCACGAAACTCATCACCATAAGAAGAATAGCACAACAGCCCTTCGGCTAAAATGAAGCCCATTGTATACTACCTTCAAAAAAGTTTCAAGCGAGGGAATAGAAAGAAGCACTGCAAGCCCTCGGAACACTATGCTCTATGGAGCATATTCCGTTCTAGCTCAAAATAGCGAGCCGGAGCAAAAGAAGCTCAACGGAACAGAATACTTAGCATGCCGGACATCAACAATTATATGGTATTCCGTACTTCGTACCTAGGTAGGTAGCCAACTCCTACGCAAAAATCAGCTCATAACCTTTACGATACAGCCTGCAAGAAGGAGGGACTCCGAGGGAAGCATCAAACGGTGAGATCACATCATGTCCCACACGGAGTTGGAGGCGTGAAGCAAGCCAGGAGGATCGATCAGATGGACGATCAGATGGACGATCAGATAAGATTAGCGGGATCGGAATCGGAATAGCAGAGCTCACCCCGAGCCTAACTCGGAGTTCGACGACTCCTTTATGAATCAAGCTTCAAAGTCCGTAGCCCCAACACCACTCTTGAAAAAGCTGATGCGTCATAAAAATAATAATTAAATCCCAGTTTCGAACCCCTTTTGCTCCGCTTTTAGAGGTCAAGGTACGTACTTGTACGCGTAGATTATCACAGGGCTTCAACGTGGGCTCTGGTGAGCCTACCTAGTAATTAGGCCTCCAAGTAATGGGCAAAGGGCTACGTAGTACACGCCTTTCAAACAATCCTAGATTCATTCAATGAGGCCTAATGAGAATATTACGCAAGCCGGCTGCGTGCGCCCTTCACGTCGTTTCTAGTCAAGAAAAAGCTCATAGCTTCTCTAGGCAGAGCGCTAGCCCTGGAGGCTTAAGCTTAACCTGACGTTGATAGCGTCGTACAGACGACGGCTGAGTCACCGGCGCGGGCAGACTTTCATAGAGCGCTTACTTCGCAGTCTGCGCTACTACTCCATCCGTACGCCGAGCGTTGTTCTGATTTTTAATCTTGCAGCAGCCGGAATTCGAGTGTGGGACCGTTGCTGGGGGGGGTTGGCCTTGAGCCACGAACCAGACCGTGTGTGTGGCTGGGGATGGGCTCTATGAGTGGACGCCCTGCTGGTGGGTTGGGGATAGGAGTGACTTGAGGCCTGGATTACATGGCTGATGACTCTTATGCTCTGATGGTCACGGAGGCTTAGGTTTTGGGGATGCCTTGCTGTGGTGTATATAACGGAGGGGTTTCTCCCTGAGATTCGAGGATTCTTTTTGTTATAACCATCATCATCATTTATATCATAGTCACAACAAGTCCCAATTCAAACCACACAATTATCTCCAGCTTGTGTCAATCGTACTTCATTGCCTATCGTCTCGCAGCATCATCAACATACACTCCAACCTTCTGCTACTTTGAGTCATTAGACAACCAACATCAACACGAATAGTCCATCACAAACAAACCCCTCATCCTCAATCAACATGGGTTACCAATCACATAAGCAAAGTAGTATGTCTCTGATGAACCCCTCGTCCAATGGTCAATTCCTAACACCCCATCCAGATTCCCAAACCATGTCTGCCAAGGAGCAAGACGGTGCCTCAATGATGAGCACATCAACATACGCCTCGACCATGTCCATCCTCAAGGAGGCGGCCAAGCAGAAGCTCCATCTCTCGTCCAAGGACAGCGACAAGAAGGCCCGCAAGGAGGCCAAGAAGTCCGCCGCTCGGTCAACCGTCCTTGTTGATGGCGTGCCCACCAAGAAGAGGCAGCCATTGAAGGATTCAATGACACGTAAGTTTCTCCCATCGATAGACTATAGCAGGCAACCCATCAATGCCATCATGAAATCCCAACGCTAACGCATTGAATATACAGCCAGGCAAAGGACCGCAGAGGCATATATGATCCAAGCCACATTGAAGTGATCGGCTCGAGCTCATGAATTTTATATTGTTGTTTGGATGGGTTGGCGTTGAACAGAGGTCTCGTACAGACCTCGAGGCGTTAGGAGTTCGGTCATTTAATAACGGGTTGGAATCCTCATGTTGGCAATAGATGGTCGGAAAGAGACGTAGAAGGATATTTTGGTGTACTGAAAATTCAGGGTTCTCCCAGCCTTCTCTTATCTAGGCAATTAATAGTATTTATTCGTTAAAAAGTATCGTCTATGTTATCTCTCATCGGTACCATGCTTGGGCTGTCTAGTTCGTCGGTGTCATCGGCACCCGCTCCAGCTGTGGTGAGCAAGTCTTCGACAATTCTCTTGCTAGCCTCTCGTGCTATAATGCGTTAGTCATGATCGAAAATCTAGAGCCGCCACAATTACCAGGAGTTTGTAATAGTCTCGATTGCGGCAACGAGAACTGGATAGTTTTCGGAGGGCTCATTCCAAGCCCGCGATAAACTCCTTCGGCGTCCTCATCACTGTCACTCTCCCAGCTAATCTCATCGTTCTTTGAGGGTTTTGAGGCGAAATCGTTTGCCCTTCCTTTGGCCGGTGTCTGGACACTGATACCAGGAGTCCTAGGCGCAGTTCTGTTATACTGTTTTCTAATCGGCGAACTGAAGATCTCGGCATGCAGCTCTGGTGCTGCTTCTGGAGGGGATGACATAGGAGACCCTTCATCCCTCCATGAGGGCTTATGTAACGGGGTTTTAACTTTTGCTGGAGTTTTATTCTCTTTGCGGGCAGCATGAGGCGTGGCTTGAATTCTATAGTTTTTGTCGAGAACTCGGTGTAAGAGAGGGTCGGCACCGGGTCGGTGCTGGGCAGTAGCTTGAAGATAAGTCGTTGGGTCAAATGGGGAGGAGTTTGGTGTCATTGACATATCCGGAATTCGAGACTGAGCTCCTGGTGTAGTTGGTTCAACTCGTGTCTCATCGTCACGGCTTTTCTTCTTCGAAGAGCCTTTGAGCTCCAGCTTCAAATCCTCGTATGGGGAAGGATAATCGGCAAATCTAGGCTCGCTATCCATCGAACTCTTTGGACGGGGAGCTCGGGGAGTGCTTCCGCTAATAGAGGCGTCATCCAAGAGAGAGTTGTCAGTCTCATCGTATGCATCATGGCCCTCTCTGTGTGCTGGCAATGTATCGTCGCCCCCCTGTGATGTCGAATCTCCATAGGTGCTTGTATTTTCATGTGACTGGGTATACGAAGGATCGCCATCCTCTTCTCGCTCTTCTACGCCTGACAGCGAGACGTTCGCGCTGGCCTCAAAGAATTGTTTCCAGAACTACCCCGCAGTCAGTACAAGTTGTCTTTCTTTAGCCTGGCTTCCAACCTTCGATCCCTCCCACACTGTCTTAGAATGTTCTGCATATTGCTCCACTACTGGCAGTATGCTTGAGGTCACAATTCGATGCGCTCGACTAAAGTTGTGGTCAATTTCTAGTTTACAATTAGATGATGTTCTCCTCAAGAGGGGTTCGGGCGGACAAGCCTTGAAGGGTAAGGGTAATAGATTGTTCGAGTTTCTCTAACTCTTCGGTCAGAGTCAAGGATCGTGCCGAGGCACCACCTACACGGGACATTGTGAAGTGGTATACGAAGGTCCAGATGATATGCCCAATATGTATTTCGATGTTTGTTTTTAGACGTACTTGTAACTCGCGACCACACGCGACGCATCAGCCGAGGTTTAGCCGACTATGTTTTACTTCTACGGAGTAAGTGTTCTGTACAAGTGAGATTCAAGTGAGCCTCTACTAATATAACCTACCAATATGCACTATAAAGAAATTAATAATCGTAGGAATATTGTTCTAAAGCTAGCACATTTTCCCATGTTAAAAGGTGATTAGAATTGTTTTTAGTTCACTAGCTATAGACTTACAAGTCCCGAACAAACTGCCCCGGAGCAAAGGTGAAATATATATACGTACGTAGAGGAGAGAAAGTATAGGGATATTTCAAGAAGGGTATTTTAACCAGCGTTCATCCTATTATAATTTTTAGATTGAGCTGCCTGATTTAAGTTTAAATCTGACCAAAATCGGATTCGCAGGTCGATTGCGTCGGGGCGCCGGAATTGACGACATTGCAAGCGCAGGGATCTCCAACAATGGGAGGGAGGGGACCTACGTACTATAGAGAGCTCCTCAAAAGATACCTCCTTTGAAGCCGCCACCCACAAAACTCCAATCTTACGATCAATAGCACATAACACATAATGGCTTCTCCACGGCTCGCAGCATCTCTATTCCTCCGAATATCGCGGCCGTCAATTACAAAGCCAACACAACACTTCAGAGCTTTACCACGAGCTGCAGCTCCTCGAATTACATCATCCCCGCGGCAGCTACTACAATGCCGATTCAAGTCTGACGATACAATTGACGGAGACTGGGCGACCAAAACTTATGAATTTGAAGATGTAACTGCCCCCTCTTCTCTTCATGTTAAATCCAAACCAATCCAAATCCTAACGTCTCCAACCAACAGGTCAACGCCCTAAGTGAGAAGCCCGATCCAAACCGCCTCCTGATCGATACGCGCGAACCCTCAGAGATAGAAGCTACCGGTATCATTCCCGGGTCTCTAAATATACCGGTTAAGTCACAGCCAGACGCTTTCTTTATATCTGAAGAGGAATTCGAGGATCGATATGGCTTCGAGAGGCCGGGCAAGGGTCGGGAGCTTATTTTCTACTGCAAATCTGGGGTGAGGAGTCGCGCCGCGGCCGAATTGGCGAGGCAGGCTGGCTGGAGGAAGATTGCGGAGTATCCGGGGAGTTGGTTGGATTGGGAGAAGAATGGCGGTGTCAGAGATGGTGGCAAGTGACGGTTTTACATGTTGGAAAAAACTGTACCAATATGATTGTCATAGTATTTTGAACTGCATTACAAATTGGTGGTTTGGAGCACAGTGCTTTCAAGGCTATAGGACTGATGTTGATATCTTGCTGCATGATATAATACAATATGACTCCTAGGGTTAATTATCCCATCCCAATACTGGCCATTGTACTTGCAATGTAGAAATATATCTAGCGCCAGTGCACAAATTCCCAACCCCCCCAGATCAGAACATCAGAAACTTTGGAGGTTCTTCGCCGTTGCCGTCGCCGTCCACCACCTTTTTGATCGGGCTATCAGGTGCGAAGAATAACCACTTGATCGTAATAGAGAGCGCAGCATGGAGAACGACGACCAGTATTAAGAGAACCTTGCTAGTCTGCTTATCCGTTGCGCTCAGGACCGGGTAGAGGTTTCTCAGGAGAAACGCTACGCTGAGACCAAAACCTACCCCCACAAACACCCAGTTCAAGATTGTTATCGATGACCAGGAGATAAGCGCTACGGGGATCCATATGAGATTCGAATAGCCATATAACGCCCAACATTCGAGAAGATTGGCAGATTCGCTGCCGAAATATTTTAAGGCGAGGAAGAGCGCAACAGGGACGAACAATGTGTAGCCATATATAAGACCAGCAGCACCTATTATATTTGTTAGCTGTGGCTTCCATCCATCTGTATTAAAGATACATACCACTAAGCAACTTGAAATCATACACAAAATGCCCTTCCCCAGATTCTGCCAGGTACTTGCTGATTGTTCCGCCTAGGAACAGAATAAACACAACTGTAGTCGCAATCCATATCGGGCCATAAAGATCAGGATTTCCCTCCAGCACATCGAGGAAGTTCGCTCGGGGATATAGCGCGGCCCAGCATCTTGATAAGACTGAGGTGGTATCGACGTCGAAGAACTGGGCGTAGAAGGATAGGGACCACAGGAATCGCTTGGAGGAACCGCTGCTGGCAGTTACAGGAGCAGGTAGGCCTGGGGAGCCGCCTGGAATCTTTCGGGAGCTCGAGGACGGGTCGGTACTGAAGTTTGAGGAGTGGAACTCGAGATCCTCTTGCAAGTCAGTGTGTCCTAGGTCGCCCTGTATCTACATTAGCTGAGGTCGGGAAGATGTGGGCCTACTAGGCTGCAGCCATAAGGATAGACTTGCCTCCTCGTCGACGTCCACTACCACATCATATCCGGCGCCGGACATCTTGTTCTGAATTGATCGCTTTGTTGGCTTTAATTTGGCTATTGCATGCTTGACAGGTGTCGAGAATCGAGCTTGTGACGCTTACGAGGCTTGCGAATCTGGCTTCGCGTGTGCCCCTGCACACATTTGCGCCACAATTTAAGCCCCATCACCCCTCCCAACTCGCCCCTCACTCACTATTATTACAGTACTTACGATAACATTGTGGTCTCGCTATTATATTCTTTGCAAGATGCAATTGGGATTGGCTGCGAATATGTCTTGATTAAATCATATAATAGATCGCTCTTTAATTTCCGTCTCATATAGTACGAATCAATCAAATACCATAGGGAGATAAATCGAGTCTATAGATACGGCATCTAGTACGTTATCACTAAAGAGATTACCCAATAGCTACGGGATAGAATAGGCCAGAATAGCAAGAGAGTGGTTGCATTAAAAATAAACTTGGAGGCATTTGAGTTTGATATAGCTATATACAAGTCGGAGTGACAAAGGAAAGCTAATGGAAAGGGACCTGAACAAACCAGAACCAATTGACCAAAGAGGACGTTCATTCCGCCTACCTAACTTGCAGTGGAAGAACTAAAAGTGGTGAGCGGTCGAAACTCAACGAATCTGGACGCTGCCTAGCATACCTTAATGAGGATGGCAGAATCAAAATGTGGTGAGCGGTCGTAACGCAACGAAATAGATGCCGCCTAGCAAAATGAAGATTGCAGTCACAGGTGGTGGCAGAATTAGAAAGCTGGTGAGCGATCGTAACGCAACGAAATCACGCCGCCTACCAGAATCGGTTATTTAGAGGGCAGAACTGGCTGGCAGATCCAGAAGTGGTGAGCGGTCGAAATGCAACGGAAGTATTACCGCCTGCCAGAAGCAGAGGTTAAAGCCTGGCGGAATAAAAGGTGGTGAACGGTCGTAACGCAACGAAATCAGTACCGCCTGGCAGAACGAAGTAGGAAAATCACAGGTGGTGGCAGAATCAAAAAGTGGTGAGCGATCGTAACGCAANGCCTGGCAGAACGAAGTAGGAAAATCACAGGTGGTGGCAGAATCAAAAAGTGGTGAGCGATCGTAACGCAACGAAATCAGTACCGCCTGGCAGAATCAAGTGGCAGAATAGACATGGCAGAGTTGAAAGTGGTGAGTGGTCGTAACGAAACGAATATATGCCGCCTAGCAGAACCTAGAGTAGCGGGCCCAAGAAATAATAGCCGCGGGTCAAGATATTGTTGAGAACTGCTTTATGGGTGTTACGTTTCAATTTGAAACCGATGGATAGTTGGCCAAAGGGAAAAGCCGATAGGAACCGCATTGACAAGTCCCTGCTCACACAACTCACCCTAAAGGACTAACTGCTCCATGAAGCCGTAACCATTTTCACATGTGCTGCTACTGAAACACCAGAATCATCACATAGATCGTTCAATTCCGGCGTTGATCGTTGTCCCATTGCTTGCCTCATGCTATTGTGAAAAATACAGCCAGCCATGCGAACCAGTCATCGAAGCCACTGCCATCGCCACTCTCGATCCCAGCCAAACGCCAAATGAGCGAACCGTTTACTTTAGCTTCTTCTTTGGTCGGAGCTGGTTGGTGTGTCCGCATTTCTTCTTTCTGCAGTTGGTGGCACGGGGTGGGAGACGGGCCTAGTTCCAAGGTATCAGTTTCTTATCCTCTGCAATATCATCCGAGGGATCGACGTACGTAGCACTTTCGGCAGATCATCTTGTCGCAGTTGAACTTCGACGCGAGAGCCTTGAGCGATGGCTCAATGATACCACCACGGAGACGGAGAACGAGATGGAGGGTTGATTCCTGAACGAGCGTTTTGTCAGCCACTGATGCTATCCAACCACATCTATATCTCATGATCCATCTCCCCTATTAAATAGGCCGTGATCTCCCGCTTCCGATTCCTGACTGGTGAATCCATACCTTCTGGATGTTGTAATCGGAGAGAGTTCGGCCATCCTCAAGTTGCTTGCCGGCGAAAATCAGGCGTTGCTGGTCGGGGGGAATCCCTTCTTTATCCTGAATCTTCGACTTCACGTTATCAATCGTATCTGAGGACTCGACCTCAAGAGTGATGGTCTTGCCCGTAAGGGTCTTGACGAAGCTATTGATCGAACATTAGTCTTGCGCTCGAGATTGCCCGGTTTCGGTGGCGAAGTGCTTGTGGGACCTACATTTGCACTGGAAAAAACTGTTAGCATTATATTTCAACAGGTAGCAGTTCAGCTGGGATTCAGAGGTAATTTCAGAGCATAGGAAATGGGAATACCTACTGTTTGCGGCTTCTACGTCGTTGTCGTGTTGTCGTCGATGCAATTTCGAAATCAAGTTCAATATTCTGTGGGAGATCAAGGGCAGAAGTTTAGCGAGCCAGTCACGTGGTTCAATTCCTCCGATGTTCACCCGAATCAGCTTCACCCCTCACTTCCGCCACCAAAGATGCAGACCTTAAGTTTTAAGTTCTCGAATCGGGAGCGATGGGCGTGGAGGCTGATGCTCTATTTTTGGAAATACAACATTGCTTATCCCCCAGACCATACCAATCCCTATACCATCCTGCTCATCTCAGATACTCCTATTCTCGGACTCCACCAGCTCTGTTCATCTCATACCGCAATTACTTCCTTAATACAGAGTACTACAACATCAATGAAAGCCATGGGGTCGAGTAGCTTTCGCCACTGGCCCTCCGAGCGATCAGAGGCTAGACCGTCGTGCCACTCGGTGCTTGGCTTAGATGTCAATGACTTCGATATTTTGCTTACCGAGCAAGATATTGTCAAAAGGTGGCAACTGGATTCTATGCTTCCGCCTTGGAACAAGCCGAGGCTAGATTTTCCATGTTACGAGGTCGACAGGCTTTGGGTTCTACGATGAGCGAACTGATGAGTCGATTATCTACCCGGGCATCATTGTCAATACCTTTATGTAGTAGTAGTGACCCAGATATGCATATCGATCGATATTGACAGTATGTCTGAAGGATGTTTGTTTATCGAGCTTTTAGATGATTTGACTAAGTATCTGCCGTATTGACTACAGACGATGAGCATCTAGCTTTGTAAAGGTGTGGGTAACATTGACATGTAAGAGGTAGACAATCTTGAAACCAAAATAGTTTGTAGACTACCTGGAGCCGGTGCGTCCATGTAGTTCAAGTTATAAATGGAGACAAAATACTACTACTTTATCTTATTGTACCCAGGACTTGTGCCGTATTAACCCACTGGCAGCTCCCCTTACCTATCCCATATTATGTTGGCATGTCATCGACAACCCTAAATCTCTAAAATCACAAGGATAAGAATAAGTAAGCATAGCATTAGGAGGACTATATATTAGTTATTTTCTTGATTTGTTTTATGGGCCCAATGTCTACCGTTTTTAAGACCAGTTATAACCTGGTTCTGCACTCCTGGCTCCATAATCAAATCCCATATGCCATACATGAAGCACAAATCGCAAGCTCATCTCCATATACCGATCGTAACATAATACAAATACATTCTCCGGTTAAGTCTCATCGGTTCATTCGTCTTCTGATGAAAGCTCTCGTTGCCCCTTAGCCGACAAATTTCTTTTTCGTTCTGCTAATTCCATCTTCTCTAGACGTAATTCGAGTTGGAACACCCCTCTCACAAGCGTTTTCAAGCGGATCCCGGTATTTTGAGCTAGATTCTTATTAGCACTGTCGATAATAGCACCAAAGGGAAAAGCTCTTACCTGCGAGCCCAAAAAATGCCTTGGCGTCGTCGGGTAGATCTTGTGTGCTTCGATATCGTCTATAGAGTTCTCCAGGCTGTTTAATATCGTCGTTCTGGTGCCGCTTGATAGGTTTTGGTTTCTGAACAATAAGGTTGCTCTGAACCTGCTTCACCAGATCGACTATCCTCTCGTAATTAGGTTCCTCATCTAGTTGTGGAGGAAGCTCTTTGAGGGGGAAGAATTCGAGAATCTGCTCCGCCACTGGATGTTGTTAGCATGGATATATATCTCGTCGCGGATTCCTACTTTTAGAGTTTCTATCATCCATCCATGTCCTTTGATACCAATCCATGTAATCATCCATCTGCTTGTCATTCATTCCCAAAACGTCTGTGTCAGTGACCATAATTTCTTCGCCCCTTTTCAGGCCGGCCGCAGGCTTCTCGATCATGGTATCACGCCATTTCTCCCAATCAATCTTCGACGTGGTTGGATCCAGATGGCTTTGAGGAGAGCGCTCAATGTCATCAAATGGATAACAAAGTTTAGTCGCAACCACGATCATGCATATGAGCTGTATTTCCGGGTATGACACGGTTGTATAAGCCCTCTGGTGCAAGATAGGATAGGAAAAGTCGAATTCGAGCAGAGTTGCCAGGCGACGAGTTGCAGCGTATATCTCAACTACCTCTTGTTAACTGGGAAGCTTCTAGTGACTTGGATTTTGGGAACCTACTTGGGAGTCCCAGATCTCTAACGTGTTTAAAGATGAGTAGAGGAGAGTTTAGAGAAGGGAATTCCATATCGAATTGCCTGTTGTAGAACTCGACTAACTCCAGCACGACACCATGGATACTCGAGCCTTTGAGCGGAGCTCGAATCTCGAGGGCAGAGTAGTGCTGAGCGGGCAACCTATTCCGCATCTCTTTTGGCACCTCTTTGATCTAGTTGGACATTAGCATGCGTGTCTTGACAAATGTTTGATGAACCGGATTGCTTACTGCCCGAGTGTACACCATCTCGTCCTTTACTACCCATTTGAATATCTCTCCTATGCCTATGGGCAGTCGCAAGAGCAACATACCCAAATAACACAGGCCGAGTGTCTCAATCAACTTCGGAGAGCTACCCTCTCCTACAATGGTTTTGCTTCTCCTAGACGATGCACTCCTTCCTCCAGATGCATCGGTATCTTCTGTATTATCTCCCTCGCCACCGGAGCTCCACAGAGTCCCCGATGCAGACCCATAGGCACTCTTTTCATCTCCCAGCTTCAGCAGAGCGCCAACCCTCAAACTCCAAAGATCCTTAACTATGATTTCTAACTCAGGAGGGAAGCCTTTAGCATTGACCAGCCAATGACACTGCTTCCACAAAATCAACTGATAGCACGACAGATACAACTCAAACGCGTCACGACCACTCAAGATCCGCTCTGCCCGCGGCTTGTCGACTTCCAGCTTGCGCGATTTCTTGCCTGTATCTTTCCAGTCATCGTCATCTCGCTGGGTTTGCGTGAAGCCCTATCAATGTCAGATGCTGATGGCGGGGGAAATGGCGGGGACGGACAGTTTGCTCGTGACCTCGTTGGCAAAACTTTTTACCATCCTCTATATAGTATCTCTTGGCCTTACAACCTCCTTCTGTGCAGCTCTCGCCCCGAGAAAACCGGGAGTATTCGATAGCTGAAGACATCGTGGATGCGCATCATGTCCTTGCTACTTCATGTGCCTCGGGCAAGTTTACGAGGTGGGGGCCGAAGTGGAAACTTTTTTTTGATATCCGGGGAGGGATCAAACAAAACGCCCAGGTTTGGACTAAGTCTTATATCACATGTCATATAAAAATGCTACTAAATTTCTAATGGCAGTTTTCTCGTAATAAATCATTAAATTTCATGCTGGGAGTCACATCACGGCTAGTCAGTGCAAACACGGGATTTGAGTATCAAAGCTTCGATTCTACAGGAGATGTTGTCGCTAATCCCCAATTTCCCACATTATGGCTACGCCGGCCAATCGTGATCATGTAGTATCGCGCCTGAAAAAGAGGAACATGGGTTGGCCAGGTCGAGGAGACATAACTAGTGTATCACGTTTCCAGAGTTTCTCCCATGCAACGACCATTAGAACGCAGGTCCCGAAAGTCCATCATCTACCACGGTAAAGTATACTCTAAACTAACGGGTGCGTACAAAAGAGGGTATGCCATTACTGACAACAAGGTCGGTGCCGAAGTAATAAGTCGATGGTATCTAACCGCGGGGGGCTTCCTTGGCTTCAATAGCAGCCTGCTCGCCCATAGCTGTAAGAACAATGACATCTGAGTGAAGCATATCCGTTAGTCGAAAAAATCCCGGCCCTTGTCCCGATGCGGAAAGCACTTACTGGTATCCTTCTCTTCGGTGGTGAAGAGCTTGTCAATCTTCTCGCCAATCTCGCCCTCGGGAACCTTGACATCATCCTTGGTCTCGCCATCATCGGCCATCAAGGAAAGGAAGCCATCGTCGGAAACATCGAGCTAGATCCTATCCGTCAGGCCTGCCACAACGTCAAGGAACACGGGCATCGGCACTCACCAGCTGGTATTCCTTTCGGATGACGTTGGGAACATCCATGTTGTGGGTGGATGGGCACAATTCTTCGAGCTTCTTGCCAGTGAAGATGTCGATGGCGACAAGATGGACCTTTGCGTGTCCGTGCTTGCCGGTCTTGGAGGTGGACATGTCGACGATCTTGCAAGGGCGGTTCTTGATGACGACGAAGCCGTTCTTCCTCAAGGCCGAGCATTGGATGGGGAAGGTGGCCGAGGCGCCAGCGTCGGCGGACTCGAAGGTGTGCTCATGCTGATTGAGGTTCAGTTAGTGCCATGATGTCTTGCAATGATGGGCCAAAAGGGCGCTTTTCGTTGGGAGCCGCAAACGATCGATCGCAGAGGTCTATTTCAGACATGCGCCCATCCGACGGCGATGGTGGGGCGCGTGCGGGGTGGATGGGTGGTGTAGATGCTTACCTGCGCGTCATCCGCCATCTTGAATGAAGTTGGGAGGTAAGGATGGAGTGAAGAGAAGATATGCGCAAGTGTTCGGGCGAAGAAGAGTAAGGGAAGAATTCACGGATGAGAGATGGTGGTGGTGGGGACTAGCTGGCTTGGGGATTCAAAGAGCAAGAATAAATGCAATCTTTGAAAAGAGGTGTGGGCTGGAAGCAGGCTAAATATAACACGTGAATTTATGGGGCCCCAGGGGTAAACTGGGCCAGTCACAGGTCGTGCTGAGTCATCGCCGACCCTGGGGCACTGGCCCCTGCTCGGCGGACTCGAGACTATGCCGTTCTCGACCATTGGGACTGTGGGAGGCAGGTGAGCTTCCAGTGTATTTAATATAAAGGGTCCGGTTCGTCGATAGATAACATACATACACTGGGCACCACTCAAACACAACACTGCGCTGCACTACACTACACGACCCTACGCAGCTGGATCCGTTTCGACCATGAATCTGCGGGCACCTGGGAGGCTAGGATCATCACCTTGAAGAGAAGCCGATCCGGGCTTGATGCCAGGAAGCGGAACGGAAGGGGGATATGTGGCTCGACCGGTTCTCAGGGCATTCAACGCCTGCAGCAAGCGCCTCTGGATCTCCGCCTCCATCGGCGAGCAGATCGTACTCTCCAGCTCCGCGGCGGCGACAGAGTAACTTGGGTCCGCCTTCCGCAGCTCAGAGACCCGGCTTCAGCCCGCGATCATCGTCCCTCTCCTTGGCCTCCAACGACTCGACAACGTCTTTGTTGGGTTTGTCGAAACGGCCCAATGGCTCGGCGCTCAGGCAGTCCGTCACCGCGGTAGATGCGCCCAACCCCCTAGATGTGCTAGAGAGGCTCCTAGCTTCGGGGGATAAAGAGTCTCCGTCCTCAGAAAGGACCGCGGCTAGGAATGGGATACCCAGCAGATTGGTATATGATGATTCCGAGTTGGAGCTCGACTTTGGTGGCCTCAATTTGCGAGACATAGCTGGCGGAAAGGGATTACTTGCTAAGGATGACCATATATACGCTGTGCAGACTGTTGAAGAGTGTACGTTGATCATGTTCTACTTTACTGCAAGTACTAACCGCGAGGATTAGTCGAGAGTGAGAAATCCAAGTTTGACGACCTTCACCGATCGATACGCGCCTGCGATGATGTGCTCAATGCTGTCGAAATCAATCTGACGAGCTTCCAAAATGATCTGGCAGTAGTCTCCGCAGAGATAGAGACGTTACAAGCCAGATCCACGGCATTGAGCGTTAGGTTGGAAAATAGAAAGCTGGTCGAGAATGGCTTGGGTCCCATCGTTGAAGAGATCAGCCTCTCCCCTGCAGTCGTGAGCAAAATAGTCGAGGGCAATATCGATGAAGGCTGGGTCAGAGCTTTGGCTGAGGTCGAGAAACGATCCCGAGCGATAGAGTTGAAATCGAAGGAACATGCGAATATCAAGGGAGTTGGTGACCTCAAACCCTTGTTGGAAAATCTCATCAAAAAGGCCAGTTTGCCTAATAATGCATTATGCCATTTACTAACCTTTATTCAGGCTCTCGAAAGGATCAGGGACTTCTTGGTAGCACAGATCAAGGCCCTCCGATCACCTAATATTAACGCCCAGATCATACAGCAGCAACATTTCATCCGGTATAAAGACCTCTACGCCTTTCTACACAAGCACCATCCACAGCTAGCAGAAGAAATCGGCCAGGCCTACATGAATACCATGCGATGGTATTTCATAAATCAATTCACGCGCTATCTAAAGGCGCTCGAGAAGATCAAAATTCACATACTGGACAAACATGATGTGCTCGGCCAGGACGACGGGACGCGGAAAACCAATATTCTGTCAGGATCAAAAAGCCTAGGCCCACACGATGCCTTCAATCTAGGTCGTCGGATCGATCTCCTGAAAGCGTCGACCCAAACGGCGCTCCCGTCGTTCTTAGCAGAGGAGGATAAGTCGACTCATTATCTTGAGTTCCCATTCCGTAACTTCAACCTTGCCCTTGTCGACAACGCCTCTGCAGAATACTCCTTCCTCACATCATTCTTCTCGCCCGCGCTCTCGTTTTCGGCGATCTCGCGGAAATTCAATTACATATTTGAGCCGACTTTTGCGCTTGGCCATGGTCTTACAAAGTCACTGGTTCACGAGACATATGACTGTCTAGGCCTACTATTATGTGTCAGACTCAACCAACATTCTGCTTTTGAGCTCCAGCGTCGCAAGATCCCCGCGGTTGATGGATACATTAATGGTACTAGCATGCTGTTATGGCCCCGCTTCCAAGTAGTCATGGACCAACATTGTGAGTCAGTCCGGTCTGCGACAAATTCGGTCTCTACGCGTAAACAGTCGGCTTCAGAGCAGGCTAAGCAGTCAGCCGCTCCACACTTTATGACACAGCGCTTTGGACAGTTTATCCAAGGCATATTAACTCTAAGCACCGAAGCTGGAGATGACGAGCCCGTCTCGACCAGCTTAATCAGGCTGCGCAGCGAGATCGAGGCATTTCTTACAAAAACAAGCAAAACATTTGGCGACTCGAGAAAGAAGGAGCGGTTTTTGTACAATAACTATTCATTGATTCTGACTATCATCGGGGACCTAGATGGTAAGCTGGCGTTAGAGCAGCGGGAACACTTTGAAAGTCTCAAAAGGGCGTTTGAAGGTACTTGAAGTATATATTCATGATTTTTGAGGCTCCTTCAAGAAAATAATCTATCCTGCAGATTTATGCAACCTGTGACATGTAAATGCGCCCTCTTAACGCCATTGGATACTGGACATCTGGCTCCATAATATCCCCCAGACCCCTGGCGGCCCAGAGCTTCTCCGAGGCCAAAACGATAGAACTCCAACCAGTATTGCAAGTCCAATCGTGCCAGCTGGCCGGCGGTATCTCCAAATCGTCTGCAGAATTTTCTTTCGTTGCTCTGCCCGCTGTATTTCCTTTACATGCTTTTTGAAGTACTCTTCGCCATCCTCCAGCGTTTGATTTATAGGCTGGGCGTGCCAACATGTCGTCTTCAGTACACTATAATTTGATATTGAACGCCACGTCCTCAGGGTTTCAGGGGGGTAGTTTTCAATTAACTTCACAGTGTTTTGAATTAACGCCTCGAGGTCAAGGGGTTTAGGGAGCTTGGAAAGGATTGAATGAAGCATCTCCGGCTCATCGGCTGGGGTCTCAAAGAGTTCGTCCGACCGCTGGAGAACAATTTGGGCAAACATATATACCGAGAACACGGCCTCGCGCGCCAAAAAGACGTCGAATAATCGAGCTATGTCGCTGTATTCTTGGATGTCGTGCGCGTACATGGTTAACGTTCCGGAGAGGGCGAAAAATGGTTGGGTCTGGGAAAGGTGGTTACAGAGCATGGGGTCGACCGCATATAGGATTGATGGTATCAGACGCAATTGAGCCAGGGCTGGGGCGAGTGTAGGGAGCATAAAGTCCCTTATTCGAAGAGCTGAGAGCCGTGCGACGGCGGACGCGCGAGATTGTGGCTCCAGAACCAGGAGGAATACCTGGCAGATATCATGATAGCCCTGGAAGTAATGGAGATATGGTTGCCGTCGTAGAACCTCCGTTATCAGATCGGAAAGTTCCCGCTTTCGTCGATCAAGAGCCTCCACGGACTGGTCTGTGCAGAGGGGAAACGTCAGAACATTGTGATATGTGACAGAAAGAGTAACAGTGACATACCATTCGGATAGTATATAAACGATCTGTTAACATCCAACTGCACCTGATCTTCATCTCGATGCTCCGGTAGATCTTCCCAGCTATCAATATGCTCCTTCTCCAGCCTCGTGCTGTCGTCTTGGCTTGGGTGTCCTAGAAGCATGGGCCCTGCGATTCAACATCAGTCTCGACCCAGCAAGCTCTCTCGATAGCACAGACATACATGCCAGCCTCCGGATCTCGTCAGAAACCAAGCCGCCTTCAGATGTGGCCAGCCTCCTCAATGCCTCGATATCTCTCCATTTGCACGCCTCTAGAAGGGTCGCAGCCTTGGCTTGATGTTTCAATGGGGTCGAGGAGGTCGTGCATGGTGACGCGTCTCGTGCCTTTCCATTCTCCTCTGGAGCTGTTCCATTAGACTCCATATTGAGGACAGAGGTCCCAGGACGCGATGATCATGGCAGTGAACGCTGGAGAAGGTCGCCAGCGCATGACACTCTTATGTTTGGAGAGCACGCAACCCAGACAGCTCTCCTCGGCATCTCGTTAAAAGTTTAACCTTAGCGGCCTGATCCATGTACATTCACGTTCACAGGAAATGATATGTCAGGTCCACATCAATGCCGCATAAATAAAGGATGTCAAGAGTACACGTTTCTTCTCCTTTGACGGCCCTGGTCCACGTCGTCTGTATTGGCAAGCCCAGCTGGCTGAGAGCGAGCGCCGTCGCCGGTTCGGTGGTCTGTTGTTAGCTGCAGTAGTGTCGACTCGACGACAGATAACCCGACAGCCTTGCTACAAGGCTACCAGTGCCAGGAACCGTACCCTAGACACCAACAACTTTAATAGTATTGAGCAAAACAAACATTCTTGCACGTCTTTCCAACACCCGCGGAGCCGATTCAGGTCTTCGTGTCGGCCTGGGATCATTGACGTCACTGTTGCTTCGCTCTCGGCTTGATACGAACTCTTCACATTGCCAACCCAGCTGGAAAACCCTAACTCACCTTAGAGTAAGTATCCACAGCATACTCGATCTGGCGTGACAATTACCTGGTTGCCCTCCCTCTTACTCCATATCTCAGATCGATAGTCGACTATATGGCGTGAGGGTAGGCTAAGATCGCCCCCCATGGCTTTCGCGACGAGTACCCTGGTCAACGGCCAGTGGACCACCAGACCTTTGGATGTCAATGCTGTTCTGCAACATTACGATCAAGAGGACAGGAATGCCAGGGCGATATATATGGAGGTCGAAAAGCCTCCTGTCCTGGGACTCCTAACGCAGACTGTAATCCGGAGCCCATTGGCGCATTGGATTCTACCAATAAGACTGAGGAGCCCAAAGTTAAATGATGTCGCATTCATTGGAGTAAGGTCCCCCGTTTCCTATCTTATATCTCGGCTTAGAGAAGCGGTTACCCTTTCTCCCAGCAGAATGTTTGATGTGTTGGAAGCCGCCACAACAGCTTGCTCTACCACCGTCAACACCGCTTAGCCGGTTGTTGGCTGTTGGCTGTGGCTGTTTATCCCCTCCCCTCCTTTATTCTACCTTCCGCTCCCGGCCTGAGAGCTAATTTCTATAGGACGACTTTGTTCAGATCAAAGAATTGCGAGGTGATAGGCAGCTGTGGGATGTTGTCCGAAAGGAAAACTTTGGTGCTCGCATTCGCAATGCCCGAGTCATTGGAACAATAGACCTCTCTCTCAAGGGTGAGAATTCCCTCTTCGGAAACCCACACATCAAGGATGACGACGATGATCTGATGATGGATTCGGGCGAGACTTCTTTACGAGGCCATCCACGTAAAGTGCCTGGACTTTCCCCTCAATTCATACTTCTACAACTGGAGACTGGCGACTCGGTATTTTTGACACTACGACAGACCGAAACAGGAGTTCTACAATTTGTTTCCAGTCGGCATCGTGTTCCGAAACCAATGCTAAAGCTACAGCCCGGTATGCAGCTTTGTGCAGACCCAAGCTCTAGATATATGGCAGTAGGATGCTCCGAGGCTATCTTTGCTATCTATGCATTACACCCAAGGGATACGCTCTCAGAGCAATACCGACTAGAATCAAATATTCGGCCAGTCGAATCCGAGACTTATATCGCTGTCCGAGGTGTCATCCTCAAGATGGAATTTTTACACCCGGCAGCTGGTGATGAGGGTCACATAATCTTGCTCGTTCTAGTGGTTGTGCGAGGCAAGACACGGATGCTGCTATATGAGTGGGAAGCGGGAAACGACCTGAAGAATGTTCGTGCTCATAGCACTCGAGGCCATTTGCTGGAAGAGTCCCGCCAGGTGCCCCTATTGCTAATTCCATTGACCATAAAGTCGTCGTTCATTCTCATTTATGAGAGTTTTATGACGGTTTGTCGGCGCATTCTTGAAGGTCAACCCGAGTTCTTAGACTTCAATCACAAAATTGATCCGCCCACCAAACTCCATCATGGGCAAGGGCGCCCTCTATGGACGTCATGGACCAGGCCCACGCGACGCGAGGATTATAGAGTTCACCGGGATGATATCTACATTGTGAGGGAGGACGGTGTTCTGAAGCTCCTGGAAACCGACTCCGACTTGGACGAATTTGTGAAGGCCAACATGAACGTTGGTGAGCTCTCAGGCAATTGTGGCACCGCGTTGGCAAGTCTTGACCATCACACTAAAGGCAGCAAGAGTGGTGATATGCTCATCACAGGAGGTGACTCGTGTGCTGGGGGAACATATCTTGTAAGTCCCTTTCGCGCCATAAAGTTTCTACCTGCTACCCTTGTCATTTTACTATTTCCGTTCATACTTCATTGGTTATTCTGCCACTAACTACCAAAATTTCAGATCCAAGCACGAGGTACTCCTATTTTCACCGAACCCATTCAAAATTGGTCACCAGCCGTAGATATGACGACAACCTATGTTCCTCAGCAGCGCCAAAGCGATGATGAATGGACATCAACTCGCCGCAAAAGACAGGCAGTTCAGATGCCAGATAAGATTTATGCTTGCGTCGGTAATGGATCAAAAGGATCTGTCACTGAGTTTTGGTATGGGCTCGAAGCAAAGCTGGGACTTGTTACGGATTATGAAATCCCTATCATGGATGCCTGGGTTTTATGCCCAAATCTCCACTCATGGGATGATGGCGATGACTCCTTATTTCTACTCTCACTGGCCAATGGATCGGCTGCCCTTTGCCTCTCCGCCGATGCCACCGCTATTTCTGAGCTAGATGAAGAATCAACACAACTTGATTTAAGATATCGAACAATTATCGCCAGTATGCACAAGGACTGTACCATACAGGTGACGGAGCAGTCAATCGTTGTTATTAATGGACTGCACTTGTACGTGGAACCCTACGCCTGATGATATTGTGCACTGAATTTTGTAGCTAACTGGATCATAGTCATCGTGTTCATGAAAAGGACGAACTTCTCAAGGTTAATTATGCCGGCACTTCCCTAGGCCACGGTCCGATGATCGAGAAGGCTGTTGTCCATAAAAGCCTGGTTTTATTTACAACACGTCTTGACAATTCGACTTATCTCCAGGCCTTGGATTATAGCAACATAGAAACCGGCAATGCATCTCACATTCAACCGCCGAAGCACCAGACTCTGGGCAAGTACTCGCCTACCGTTTCAAGCATTGGAATTTGTGTGGCATCAAGAAGTCTTTGGGTAGTAATTGCAGATGTCCGTGATGGCTCAAGCTTCCTCACATTTAAAATGATAGAACGCCTAGGTGAACATGAGCTACGAATCCCAACATCATACGGCGATAACCATGTCGATATTGACGCAGTTGTCAGCATTGCTGCGGCATGCAGGTCGCCTGGCTTCCTCACAATACTTTGTGGTACAGGCAATGGCTTACTGCTAACGTTGGAGCTCGATGAGAATACTTTGCAACTTGTCAGCTGTCAATGTGATCGTCTTGGCGTAAACCAGATGATCATTAAAAGGGATGAGCACCAAGCCTTAGAAAATCAATTCTTCGTGAGCTGTGACTCAAAGATATATACACTGTCTCCTAGCAGGTCAGTGCCATCTACGTTGGTCCCAGAGCACTCAACCCAGACCTGGAAGATTCAGCAAGTTTGGCTCACTGATGCTGAGCGGCCTTATTTGGAGCAACCAGAGGTGACATCGATACAGAGGCTAAAACCAAATCTCCCGGGAGGTACTGAGGGTGGAGTTCTCATGGTGGCTGGCTCTCAAATTCTTCTGGCTGCGCTTAGTGCTCAACCTCAAACGGTCCCTCGCCACATACCGGTGGGAGGAACCCCTACACGGTTATTTTACTCTGATTCCCTTGATCTTCTTATAGTAGCCGCAATTGTGGAGGGGAAGTCCACCATTCTCTTCCTCGACCCTAAAACCGGTGAAGATCTTTCTATGGCATACGATCAAAATAAAGGAGCCCCTGCCGATTTTGTATCAGGTCTCGGTAACTTCGATGAAAGAATATTTCATTTAATGGAGTGGTCATACGTTAAAGACAAGAAAGCCTGGAATTTCATCATTGTGTCTACTAGCTCGGGACGCCTTCTAATCATTTCCACGTCTATGGATTCCTCAACGACTGGGGCGCGTACAAGGAGCGGACGGGCTAAGGTTCGATTTTATACCCGCTATAAGTTTAAGTGCGCGGAACCCATATATTGTGTTACTGGATTTTCGGATGGCCTGATATGGTGCTCTGGGAACAAGCTATTTTGCGACACTCTCGATCTAAAGGACAAGAAGTTCAAACGCGTGGCTGAATACGAACTTTGCTCTCCTGCTACCAGTCTGCGGTATGACAACGACGTCATCTATGCGCTCACCAGCTGTCACTCTCTCGAGGTTCTCAAGTTGATTACCAGTGATGGTCGGGAATCAAAAATCGTCCACACACATGTAAGCCAGGTTTCCCGGAATACTTTGCACCACGCTCTCATAGAGGGTGTCTCGGAACGGCCAATACATCTCGTTTCAGATAAAGATTCTTCCGTGTGGGGATTGTGGGCCACTCCGAGCACGAAAGCCGATACATTGCAAACAGTTTTTCAGGCGCAACTTCCCCATTCCATTCTCAGATTCCGCTTTGGGAGATGTCGTCCAGTTTGGGACCCGGTTTGGATACCTAATCGCCTGCAGTTCAACTCAATTTCGGGCTCGAAAGATCCATCAAGCGTTGGATTCGGCGCAGGGTCTGCAGACGCTCCGGAGATTCTTGGACTATCTATTGATGGATCCATAAGTCACTTCACCGTTCTTGATTTTGCAGCTTGGAGATTCTTGAGATTCCTCATCAACCAAGCCACAAGGTCACCACGAATCTGCGAATTCACCCACAAAGATGACACTCCACCACTAGAGCCAATGAAAGATCCAAAGACCACGATGCATATAGATGGCGACATATTGAAGCGGTGTTTAGAGGATCAGCGTCTGGAAGAGCTCCTCCGAGTCGGTCAGCAAAGCTCGGAAGCGGTTCAAATATTCTCTAAATTTTACGAGACGCTTCAAGGATTACATCAGGGAAAGCTCGTTAAGGATGCCGCTCCTTCTGTCTATGTGCAGCAGGCATACGAAGATTTGGCGTTCTTTCTTCGGCCTGTGTTGTAGCTGGTTTGGAGCTTCAGCAAGGACAATTTCGAGGGTTGGGTACCTAGAGAACGTTTGATGGATATGACTCGTGTTGATTCAGGATCAAATGATCTCTCTTGTAGCGTATTGTAATAAAATATGCAGGCATTGCATTTTAATTGACATTACCAATACTAGTACTTGTAGTCCTATGATAAAAGATTGCCTTGAGAAACATCCGTTTTCAACCTTGCCTACACCGTTATATACACCGTTATATATACCGTCATATTTAGCAGAAGCAAGGGTCTGGAGGGGCGAGTCGCTTATGGACCTTGCCGCACAGACCAGGCGCCCGCACATATGAACATTGAACCTCTTTTTGTGCCCCACCTCAACCACAACTTCAACTTCTTGAATCCATTCTCCCATCTACCAACTTCTACCAAAGTGTAGTCTTTGTTCACCGCTAGTCATCCAATCCACGATATTCCGAAAGGCCCTTCCAGCCTCCAATATTCACTATGGCTCCAAAGAAGAAGGGCAACAAGAAGGGGGATGACTGGGAGTCCGAGTTGGGGGAGTCTCCAGCAGCCGCCGCCCCAGAGACGAACGACGCCCCGGCAGAGGCGGATGCAGAGGAGGAGTTCCCTCAGGGCGGGTTAATGGCCATGTTACGGAAGAAACAAAAGAAGAAGAAGAACCAGCAAACAGAGGACTTTGTTGAAGGCGAAGACTCTACGGCGGAACCACAGGACAGTCTCGCCGAGAAGGCGCCCGTCGAAGCATCGATAGAAGACGAATTTGCGCTCCCGGATAAGAAGGGAAAGGGCAAGAATGCGGCCGCGAAATCTACAAAGGGAGCCGACGAAGATGATGAGCGGGGGGCGGACGGGAAAGTGCTTACGAAAGCTCAGAAGGAGAAGCTGAAGAAGGAACGTGAGAAGCAGCGGAAGAAAGAAAATGTAAGTTCACTACGGATTGATGCATTTATGGGTATTTACTTATTCCTTTGTTAGGCTGCGAAGAAAAAGACAGCAGCACCCGCTGCAAAGGGCGCCCCAGCAGCGAAGCCGGCGACAGACACGAAAATAGAAGAAGCTCCAGCCGCAAAGCCAGCTGCTGGTGGCAAAGGGAAGAAATTACCACCTGCCCTAGCAAAGCTCCAGCAACAGCAAGAAGAACTTAGGAGACGACAAGAAGAACAAGAGAGACACCACGCCGAGGAAAAGGCTCGCATTGAGGAACTAGAGCGACAAGAGGCCGAGGAGGAGAAGCGGAAGGAGGAGGCCAGGGCTTTGAAAAGGCAAAAGGATAAGGAGAGGATCGAGCAACAGAAGCGCGAGGGTACATATCTTACTAAGGCCCAGCGAGAAGAGAAGCTTCGGAATGAAATGAAATTGAAGCAAATGATCGCGGCTGGAGTCAAGGTCGGGGGCCTTGAGGGTGGAGAAAAGAAGAAGCCTGTATATGATAATAGAAAGAAGAAGGGGGGCAGAAAGAATCCGGAGGAAATCCAGGTATGTTTCTTTTTGACAGTTCCATGTTGATCAGTGGTAACATTCAGTAGGCGGAGGAAGAAAAGGCACTAGCTGAAGCTGCGGAACGGGCACGCATCGAGGCCGAGAAAATAGCTGTCGAAGCCAAAGCAAAGGCCGAGAAAGAAGCTGCTGAAGCTGCTGCCGCAAAAGCAGCGGAAGCGGAAAGCGATTTAGACGACTGGGAAGCAGCTGCGGCAGATTCGGATGATGATGTAAAGGAGAGCTGGGATGCAGACTCTGAGGAAGAAAGAGAAAAGACCGCTGCTAAGAAGGCTGCGGATGTAAAGACCTTACCCACCCGAGGCAAGAATGTCGAAGAATCCGAATCTGAATCTGAATCCGAAGAGGACGAATCGTCAGAAGATGAAGAAGCTACTGCAGCTGAGGCCGCACTTGCTGTACGGAAGAAGGAGGCTGCTGAAAGACGCGAAAAGACCCGTCAAGCGGCTTTAGCGGCTAGATCAAAAGACGACCTTCGGTCACCCATCTGTTGTATTTTGGGACACGTCGACACGGGCAAAACCAAATTACTTGACAAGATCCGCCAAACGAATGTGCAAGAAGGAGAAGCCGGAGGTATCACTCAGCAAATTGGTGCTACTTATTTCCCCGTCGAGGCGATTAAACAAAAGACTCACGTAGTCAACTCTGACGGTAGCTTCGAGTTCAAAGTCCCTGGCTTACTAGTTATCGACACTCCTGGTCACGAATCTTTCTCGAATTTACGATCCCGCGGCTCTTCTCTCTGTAATATTGCCATTCTTGTTGTGGACATTATGCACGGACTAGAACCACAAACGTTGGAGTCGATGAGGTTGCTTCGAGATCGGAAAACGCCCTTTATTGTGGCGCTAAATAAGATTGATCGCCTCTACGGATGGAAGAAGATTGAGAATAATGGATTCCAAGACAGTTTGTCACTGCAGAACAAGAGCGTGCAGAGCGAGTTCGCGAAACGGCTTTCAGATACGAAAATTGCTTTTGCCGAGCAAGGTTTCAACTCGGAATTGTACTATGAGAACAAGTCCATGGCAAAGTATGTGTCATTAGTACCAACATCAGCGCACACTGGAGAGGGCATTCCCGATATGCTCAAGCTGATCATTCAACTTACCCAAGAAAGAATGGTCGGATCGCTGATGTATCTCTCTGAGGTGCAATGCACAGTCTTGGAAGTCAAGGCCATCGAAGGGTTCGGAATGACTATTGATGTTATTCTATCGAACGGTATTCTTCGAGAAGGCGATCGCATATGTCTATGCGGTGTTGATGGTGCTATAACTACCAATGTTCGAGCACTGTTGACGCCAGCGCCTCTGAAGGAATTGAGACTGAAATCGCAGTATGTCCACAACAAGGAAGTCAAGGCTGCCCTTGGTGTCAAGATAAGTGCGCCAAATCTCGAGGGTGCTATTGCAGGTTCGAGGCTGATGGTCGTTGGTCCGGATGATGACGAGTCCGACATTGAGGCAGAAGTTGAATCCGATCTGGGTGCTCTATTCAGTCGAGTAGAGAAGTCAGGACGCGGTGTCACAGTTCAAGCATCAACCCTTGGTTCTCTAGAAGCTCTCTTGGATTTCTTGAAGGTGTCGAAGATTCCAGTGGCAAACGTAGGAATTGGGCCCGTCTTCAAGCGAGACATCATGAATTGTGGTACCATGTTAGAAAAGAACAAGGAGTACGCTGTTATGTTGTGCTTCGACGTTAAGATCGACAAGGAGGCACAAGCATATGCTGATGAACAAGGGATCAAGATCTTTACTGCGGATATTATCTATCATCTCTTCGATGCATTCACGAAACATATGGCAGAGATTGCCGAAAAGAAGAAAGAAGAGTCGAAACTCCTTGCAGTCTTCCCTTGCGTTCTTACTCCCGTTGCAGTATTCAACAAGACAGGGCCGATTGTTGTTGGCGTCGATGTTGTCGAAGGCAATTTGAGGATCCACACTCCTATTGCTGCAGTGAAGCACAATCCTGTTACTGGAACCAAAGAAATTGTCAGCCTTGGCAGAGTGTAAGTCAATTCCCTGGATACTGAAAGACCCCCAACTAACAACCATAGTACTGGTATCGAACGTGAGCACAAGCAGATCCAGATCTGTAAGAAGGGTCAACCTTCAGTAGCCGTCAAAATCGAAATGGGTAGCCACCAACCCACCTACGGCCGCCACCTCGAGGAAAAGGACACCCTATACTCACTAATCAGCAGAGCAAGTATCGACACGCTCAAGGAATTTTACAGATCAGACGTGAGCAACGATGAGTGGTTGCTTATCAAGAAGCTGAAGCCGCTGTTCGATATTCCTTGATTTTGTGAAATGGGAAAAGGAAAGGGGGGTGCTTTAATGATGACGACGGGAAGTAAAATGGTTGTATGGATAGGATGGCTCTATGACATTGTTTGGTTTACATAGTGTTGCATGGCGAGGAATTTGACAACACGGCATAGAGAGAGTGATGACATTGCCAGGTCAAAAAAAATACAAAAGTAGTAGAAATGATTTCAGAGTCTAAATGATATATTGGCTTTTATATTACCTGTATCTAGAGCTGGCAATATCCATGTCGCTGGCTCGCATTTCTTCACTGGTATTTCCCGGCCTTGTTACCTCATAAACTCCTGAGATGCTCAATAAAGCACCAGTTAAGAATCAAAATGTATTCTATTATTTCTCAAGGATACAAAATCAGTTCACAAGAGATGGAAATGCCACGTCAAACCTTGCCTTCCAGGATAATGCAGTCAGAATGAGCATTGATACTACAAAATTAAGTTGGAGGAGCTGTGATTTTAGTCCAGAGATATGTTCTGAATTGTGATTCGTTCTAAGATAGCATCAAAAGCAACGGCCTCTAAGACCAACTCCTTTCACGCCAAAATAACAGTTGACCACCTCCATTGTATGATTAGTAAAGCGGGTCGCCATGAGAATTGTGAATAGCAAGGTATAATCATTCTTCCCAACACATAACATTGCTAACTTCTCAATAGGCTATTAGGCTACCACCAACCGCAATTTTATTTGCCCTTGTTATACTGAACCTCTATATCTGCAAGACAAACTCTCATCCATCTTTTCTGATCCTCAATAACTCTCACATGGTCCCTTAATCGCTGTGTTTCGTCATCCATAACTTCCATGTCATCTTCCAGTCTCTCCAAACGCCTCTCCAATGATTCCCTTTGTGCCCTTTCATCTCTCAAAGCACCACGAAGGTTATTTTGGGTTTGCTGGAGACTTGATAGCTTAGTTTCCTATCAACTATGATTAGCCGCATATAAATAGGGGAGTCTGAAGAGGCCCACCATGGCTCTAGAGAGTCGTCGTTCCATTGCCGATTCGGCTCCCATGATGGCATATCTGTCGGCTACTTATAGTCAGCGGTCAGGTCCTAAATTATAAAGTATTGGAAGGTAGCGGTCCCGTATGACCATGGGCATTACCCTTGTTCTTCTTCTTCCTCTGGCGTCGACGATAGGCCCCCATCGTAGTAATAGCACCAGCTCTATTGTGAGGTCCATAGTTCCGGGTGGAGGAGGCTGGGAGCGCAGTGTCCCTCTATATACACTATCAGCAACTAATCCAAAGGACGGTGCGATAGGATAGGCGTACGCGGTCACGATAGCCAGAGCGGGCGACACGACGACTGCGTGGAGACGCCTCGCGGGGATCACGTCTACTAATACCACGCAATTCCGAGCCAATATCATAGTTAGGACGTTCTAACTTGATCCTCCTGTTCGTTAGATTAGTTATGAACTAAAAGTACGGTGTCTTACATCACTCCTAGTAACTAGAGCTAGGAAAGAGTGAATGGGGTGGAGGACCATACACTTCAGTGGTTCTATCCATTTGGTCCATTTCTGAGGATTGAACAGGCGTTTTGACAGATGGCCCTGAGGCGATAATAGAGTGGAATGGGTGGATATACTTTGCTAGGTGAATTTGGGTGGAAGATCGGCTGGCAGATGCATTATTGGTGTTGTTGTTTGTGATGGGTGCTATTTCCTATCCCAGCGAGCGGTATGGACGTCGTTGAAGGTTGCAACGGAAGACTCACGGCAGAAATAACATCTCGCTGCTTCACAGTTATTCATTCCTGTTAGATGTATCCTCATATTCGCATATGAGAGCATTCTCTTTATCATTCCATACAAAGTATTCTAATTCGTTCTTTCCACATTCTGGGATATAGGCAAAGCGAAAGGAAGCTCTATACACGATGTTCAAGGGTACCAAAAGCCCGATACCAATGCAATATTGAGCCACGACAAATTGTGATGCTAATTCGTCCGAGCAACTCTGTTAGCAATCCAGCCGTCTACGTAATAGGAAATTTCCAGGCGGTGACTACCAACCTACCCTTCGCCAAACCAAACCCACGAAAAAAGAGAATCCTAAAAAGTAAATTCAATTAAATCCTATATTACCTGTTTCATTTTTCTAAAATAAAAAAATTAACCTCTAACCATCAAAATGGCAAAAGAGTTCGGCCCGGTGTCGAATGCCTACATCTCTTGTCGCTTTCGTTGTTGTTCCCATTTTTTCCTGTCGTCTCTGGCGATAGCGAAAGTACAATTTGACCAGAACACACTTGACCAAGTGCCACGCCCTTGTACTTCGTTAAGAGATATTTGCTTATTTGGCTATAGACATATTAGAGGGGTGTTTAGTAGCTAAACCAATTTTTATTGACCAAGAATAGCAGAGAATAATGGAGAGTTCACAGAAGCTTATCCATTTGAAACATTAGTGCGTACCAGAGAGAAGCAAGAGCTAAAATAAAAGGACTTCACTTAGATCAGAGATACTAACAGCACACCCCAGACAAGCCTCTAGGCTTAGATACAAAGGGCGTTAGACCATACCTGCCACGCTAAGGACGGGATGAGAAACATCGTATTACGCTTATCTAAAAGAAACAACAACGTAGAACACAAATTCCATTTCAGCCGAGCCATATCTACTTCGTAATTCCCATTAAGGACCCAGATACAGGCGCGGAGTCATGAGATGGGTCTACCTCCTTTACAGCACTGCAATTGGAGGACAACACCAACCACCTCAAGGGTCTCGAACATGAACAGCCTCACAAACAACAGGCAGAATAGGACCGGAAGCCCTTGCTCTGCTAGATTCTAGGTACATCGGCAATTAGGACACGCACCACAGATACTTACACGAGCCCTACCAACAGTGCCCTGTATTATAAATAGGTATTGTCGAGAAGCCACCAACCAGCACCGATTCCTATTTCGAAAGCTCAAGTCAAATGGAGAAAGAGGAAGGTAGCATTTCAGTTGTAGGGGTCGGAACAACATCAATGCAGCCACAACATGCTCCATGCAAGTTACGAGATTCCGGCCCGTTTATCAACTTGATCCCAGACCCGAATTCAGCAACTTCCATCCTGTCAATTAGTATGCCTAGCTGAGGTTCTGCCTAATTTAAAGCGTTACGAAGCACCTACGCCTGCATATCTCGACTTTTATCGGTGACTAATATTTGAATTATAGGAGACAACTTGTGTAAGCAGCTCTGCCGAAACAACAAGGAAACCCTGTAGATGCATTTATTCTTGACCGAACCGGTCAATAGACGGGACAGAACAACACTGCCAGCCGGTATCATTTAAATTTCTGGGCCAAGTGCCACTGAGCAGTAAACGAGAATAGTTTAACTTGCCACGGGTGTGGAATGTAATTACCAGCATTAAAAATGGCAACGCCAGGATGCAGTTGTGAGAGACATATAGAAACAGAAATTGCTACGTAAATTTGAGCTGAATTATCAACATCTTCCAAACACCAACTTTGTAACGAGGAAGTTGTGAGTATTGTGGTGGTAGGAAAAGGGACGTTGTAAGAATACCAATATCAGTAAAATATAGCACCACTAACGTTTAACATAGTAGCCCTAGTGAAGTACATCCTATATGTTTTGCTAAGAGCTGCGAACTAAATGAATCTTTAAATAATTGAATCTCGTCGTTGGATGCACACGTGATTTGGCGATTGATCCACCTGATTCTGCACCATGGACGAGTTTCGACTCCCGTACTCGTACCTTGTTCTCTCCAATTGGCGACTACAGCTTCATTCAAACACCATCATATCAAAACGCGATATCCACGATGAGCTCGTCAGAAGCAGCTCAACAGGACCCCCTCCTGCTGCTTCGGCAATCAATAGCATCAGACAGTCCCTGCATACCGTCGACATCCGCAGACCCGGGCTCGGCTTCATCAGTAGACTTAAGTCTAGCCAAAGCAACCCACCTCCACTTCACCGCACCAATCCAAACTTCCCTCCCTCTCACAACGCCCACGCGCTTCACGTCCTCTGATAAGCCCGTCGATCTTCGCAGTATCTACTTCGCCTGGCTAAAGCGGGAGACAGCAATCCATGAGTACAATGGATCGGCGCAAGCCTTGAGCGCGGAGCTAGCGGCGGAAGGAGGCGCGGGGGGAGAAGTACAGAATCTCGCTTTTGTCGAGAGGTTGGATCTGATTACTTGGCTGGAGGGTGCTTCGGAAGAAAGTGAATACATCAAGCCACTAGCTTCTGATACTTCGAGCGCCGCAGCTTCAGCGCAAGTCGCCTCTGGTGCTGCGGGTAGCATTGCGCCGGTTACTATCACAGCCGTTGGACGCCATGGAAAGACTATTGATCCCAGGTTGGCGGAGATATATAATGGGGAGAGGAGGATGGGTGATCGGAATAGTGTGTTGCGGGGGATTAAGCCCACGGTGAGATACTTTCAAACTTTTGTGCTTCGTGTTTTTTCTCGCAGGGTTCGATTGGTATTGGTACTAGAGCATGACGCTGATATTTTACCTCTAGGACTTCTCACATGTGCGCAAACTGGCGGCGCCATTCAATGCGCGAAAAGCAGCTCAAGCTGCAGCAGCGAATCAAGCCAACAATCCAACTCTAGCACACAACCCCAAAGCGCCAGTTCGGCGGCCTGACCCCATCATCCTGCTTTCCCCATCCGCCTCGTCTCTCCTCCGCATGTCCAATATCAAGTCCTTCCTGGAAGGTGGAACTTACGTGCCCCCGGACTCGTCGAACTCTACGTCTACGTCCTCGGCGTCCATCTTACATATCTCGCGCATCCTCCCTTCTATCGATCCTACGCGGCCGATGCGTTTCATTATCGTTGATACGCCCGAGCAGTTTAAGCCAGAGTACTGGTCTAGAGTCGTAGGTGTATTTACTACGGGCCAGGTATGGCAGTTCAAGAGCTACAAGTGGCAGCAGCCCACCGAGCTATTCAGGCATACTTTGGGGATTTACCTTGGGTGGAGAGGAGATCAACCGCCTGATTCTGTCAAAGGTTGGGGTCGAGGTGTGTTGTCCACGCAAGTAGAGAAATGGAGCGCGGGAGCTGCGGCGGCCAGTCGATGGCGGGATCGCGAGGTCGTGGAGGGAATCTGGAAGGCGATTGAGGATAATATGAGGACCAAGGGATGGAGGAGAGATTCCGGACCTATGAATGTATGATGCGGGAAAATGCTCTCAGCATGGCGTCTGGTGTTTGGTAAGGCTTGTGCAGGCGCAGACGAGAAAACCGACATGTTTCTCTAAGAAAAAAAGGAATACATCTATAAATAGAAAAAGGGACTTTTTAAAGAAATGGCATCAATAAATAATACGCCATTTTGGAGGTTTGCCAATATTTCCATCTTGGGAGTTTCTAAGCTTAGGACTGGGCTACCTTTAGGTAGTTGTTGCCTGCGTGGCGCGCTTATGGAGGATTTCGTTCCGAGGGAAATCTCGCGCGCGGCACCCCTGGAAATCAAACAAGTCTTTATTCTTAGAACCAGCCACAAATCCTACTCTGCGGACATGGCGCTTTCCGCGTCGATAATAGGAGAAATACCGTGCATACGTTTAGCTAGATTGAAATGCAACGTCTAAGAAGTGGCGGATATGACTGACTGACTGAGCAAGGAAGGAACTCGTGTGCTAAACGATGCAAGCCATGAATGACTAGGGGGAGAATATAATTTTAGTCGAATGAATCCCGAGACTTTGGTATTGGCGTTTATGTCAAGGATTGATACAAGTGGTTGGCCTAATGGGATATATTTGGGATATGGATTAGGAGAGGAAGGAAGATTGGTTTGCAAATACCGTTTTCTTGTCGAGGTAAGCAGGTAATACGGCATGTCCGACCGAGCCTTGGAGCTGGCTGGGCAAGTCGGATCATGATCTTGAAGGAGGAAGGAATTGGTTTGAGGATTTTCCTTCGGGATTGTGAAGATAATATGGGCAAGGTGAATCCGGTCGTTGGACCATTCTGTATAGATAGTTCCGGTCATACGGCATGTCCGGTTGGTACGAAGAAAAGGACGTACCTATAACTTGTCGGAGGACTTAGGATGAGATGGCCAATTGTGGATAGTGAGGACAGGGACCTTCAAGTCAGATTTGGACGTCTGGCCGTAACTGTGCCATATTGTACGAAAGCAGAGACGGAGATCATTACTAGTTCCTATCTTAGATCACCGAAATGAAAGTTGGAACTCCTCAAGATGAATGGTGAAACCGTGTTCCTGAATTGTATCCCCTGACGAGCAAGGAGGTTCGGCAAGAAGTTCTGTACTTCGCAGAGTAGCCAAAGTGGAATCTTTCACGCCCCCTTTGATCCTGTCCACTTGCGACGACTCATCGATCCATCTAGGTTACCTAGTAACTAAGATCGATATTTCATATTGAGTATCCGCAATTGGAGGAAGCCTACTTCTACCAACTGACACGAACACAGCGTCTCGTGATAGGTCAAGGCTGGCGCGGCCTCGTAGTAACACCAATAATGAATGCCACATTCCACCCCATTTCCTTCGCGCCCAGTTCCCTAGGAAGATGACACAAAAACTGCACCCGGGATCCCCGGCGGCACGAACGAAGATGGACACATGTCACATTCTTGTTGCGATCCAACAACTCGCGTCTGCAACTATGCGCGCAGCCGTGGCACTAACCACATGGTTGGAGGGATCGGCGGTGGCTTCTTCGAGACTTTGAGTAGTACCTCGTACAACAGACACTGCGGATGCCACCCACATGCTGCTGCTGATGCTGCATTGCAGAATCGGCGGCTGAGATTGAAAGGAATTAATAGGTGTCCGAACACAGGTAGATACCTAGGGATGATAAGGTACAGCCATAATGTTGAGAAAGGACATACTAGCACTCGCCTCAAACATGGACACCTAGGTCATTCTAGCTCTAGCTTTTTTTCTATTTTTATAACCCGCGTCACCTCGCATTAATGCCATGATGTGGCGCGAACGCGGGATCTACGTAGTAGAAACGACAAATGTGTTCATCCCCCCTATTCCTTCATGCACAAAATTTGTACAAGATGATACCGAGGGGAATAGAGCTGCTCAGGGGTGCTAGGAGGGTCCCAGGCTCCCAAAGAACTGGGACATGAGGATTCTAGGTTTTCGAGGGATCCGCAGCGCAGGAGGTGGCGTCCTCGTGGCCGCCAGGGGGCCTACGGAGGATCCTGAACCGGCTCCTTCTAGAAGGCTTCTAGAAGAGATGTTCGAAGGAGTTTAAGATTGATTTTTGCTTTGGGGGCGGCAGCGGATTCCTAAACGGGCGACTTGTGGAACTTAACTGGGCCTTGTACTCGGCATTTGGGGTTTGTACATACTGTACATGTTCGGCTACGGCGTACCAATGAAATACGCAGCATAACGTTGTATTATATGGAGTAGGGCCGAAAAGTGAGACCGGTCAATCTGCGTTGATGGGATGTTCTTTTGTGGCTTGACGAATTGGGAGACAGAGCATGGCCAGGAAATTTAAGAACACTGTCTGTGAGTATTCCGAAAAGGAGACAGGGAGGAGACACGTGGCCATCTCACATCTCGGAGATTGTGCGTAGGGACGAACTGTACCTGGTACCTTGATTTGTGGCGGGGCGGCGGGTGTTGACAGGGTATCTCTACATGGACCTTATTATTCCTGCCCCGTATTACTATTGTTGAACTACTCTTAATATCACACGGAGGTGTGCCCGTTCGAAGCAAGTACTGGTACTAACGAGACTTTTCGAAGCTATCCGGACGATCATTTCGGGGATGGCCGATCGCCGACGATCCTAGAGGAAGGAGAGCCATTTGGGTAGAGCACGTTTGCTGCTGCTCTCCGGAGTAGGACGACTCCAGCCGAGAAAGGATCTTCAGGTTATCAACGGGGATTACCCGGAAACAGAGTAAAGGTACAGTACGTAGGTAGTTTCAGGAATTACGTTACGCAGTACGCAGGTACGGAGGTACGGAGGTACGGAGGAACCCGCCGACTGCCGTTGATGACTGCCGCTGATGCTGACGCTCATAGCCGCGGTATGTACAGTACCAGCTCCTCTCTTACTTACGGTGTCCTCCGTATGCATTATTTAGGAACATATTCTCAAACAGAATCCATACCGCCAAGCCTCGCAACCTTCGTCGTGTGTGGATAGCAACGGTGTCAGGCGTGGCAGCCGTGTGGCATTGAAACAAAGTGGTATCGTGGCGGTGTGTCACGGCGAAGACGTTGAGGGGGCCGGGGCCGGGGCTCTATTGGCATCGCGGTGGGAAAATGGAAAATGGGATAGGTCTGGGACTCTGGGGCTCTGGGTGTTGAGGAACTCAAGAGTGGGTGTGTGTGGCCTGATTCGCGGGACTTTGGGCAACTGGCCTCTTACACATTGATCGGTCAGTAATAATAAAGCAATACTTCCAAGCTCCCGCACGCCCGCTACGGGCGAGAACCAATATCGAAAAAGAATTATTGATACTCGAGGCTAGGGAGTAGTTAGGCTGAGAGTCTGTCTGAGACAGGAACAGCAAGTCTGGACCGGGATAAGTAATGCTAGCGATGGTTTTAATTTTAATAGCCGAACTTCAGCCGGGGCATGTCATGTGACTTTCTCACCCCTGCTCGGGGTTAGCGGGGGTAGGTGTATCGGTAACAAGCAAGTAAGCGAATAGGAAACTGGAGATCGTTTAATACGTTTCACCATCCTAGGATAGGATGCCCTCAACTGGCGAATGCAAAGACCCAGAGGAAGTATGTACATGTCCATGACCATGTACACACATACCTTACATACAGTACATACGTACTACATTACTGTGTCTGACTACGAAGAATCAGCACTTTGGCTAAATGGCCAATAAATGCAAATGTATGTTAGCGTCAGTGCGTGCTTTTTTGCGACTCTCGGCGATGTCTCGTTCGTTCTACCGCAAAGTTTATTAATCAGTAGTCGAGCAGAAATAATAGTAAATGCCCTCCCTTTTTTTCAAGCACAGGGCTGAGAGGAGTGAGACAAGGAGCACGCACGCAACGGGGCAATGCTTACCACGGAGCCTAGGTAGACTGCTGTTACGGAAGAAGGCCACGTGGTGGTGGAGCGGCCATCGTGGGAACTGTGCCGCAACGATCACCCATACTTTTGTTGACTCAAGTGCGGGTACGGCGATGCGATATGCTGACTCTACAAAGCACTAGGTCAGCCAGGTAAAGGGTTCTAGTACCTTTTCGTACGCACTACTACGGCGCTACGACGCGTCCGGGGTAAGTACACATCCGCTTGTCACTTTCCGTGCTTGGCGGGCCGCATCGGGTCAGGTTTTCCCGCCCACACAAGGCTACTTCGGAGCACTACGAAAGTAGGAAAGTACCTTGGTACCTAGGCACTCGAGTACCGACTGCTACCGGCCTAGAAAGCGGCTATTGCCCTCGTCATATTGGCAATACGGTGTAGCATTCCGGGATCCGAAGTCCAATTTGCCCTTTTTTCGTGGCTATGTGTCCCTCCCAAGTTTCCCATTAATTTATCCCTTGATTACGGACATCTCGGCGGTGGGGCAAGCGCAGCGTGTCGCAGGCTCGCAGCAGAGTAAAAAACTGCCCAGCCACCGCAAAAAAGCCAAAGCTGCCTCATATCCCAGACCCCATGTGGCCTTTGGATCTCATGAGCCGTGCGTGCGTATAAACATGGGTTTGCAGTTTGCAGTTTGCTGCGCAGGGGGTGAGATCATGCAACGCCCACTACTTCGTACTACGCATGACTCCGGCTGAAGCGCTGCCAGAAAAACGTGGCCTGCGAGAGAGGCGGGCGTGCAGCGCTGCTTTTACGGAGTAGCAGGGCTGCTCGAAAGTGGAGAGGGTGAGTCGGTGACACGTGGAGGGCCCCAAGTAGTACCGATGATCATAATGCGGGTGTTATCAAAGGAGGCATCAAAGGAGGCATGGAGGGCATGGGCTTGGATGCCCTGGGGAGATATAGGGCAGCTACGGAACGGGGTATGACGTGTTCTTATTATTGTAACCACTTTTGTAGGCTTTCACTAACAGAAAAGCAAAGGTGAAGGGTCTCGTTTTGAATTCGGAGGCGCTTCTTGATAGACTCACAATCGTATAATTTTATCTTTTGTCCTATTCAAGAGATATTCCGCAGTTATATATCCAAGACCTAGTAGCTAAACATTTGACTCTTGCTACTTATAATATATGTGGACATTTGTATGGTAATTATTAGATGTAACTGACATGTATGCTTTCCATTTTTCAAGTTATTAGAATTAAATGATACTTTTCTATTATAAAAATATATCATCCCATATCACATAATTACGATATACTGTACATCCTCTGCTGAAATTAGACAATTACTCAACATGCTCTGCAAAGCAGAATGAGCAGTCATCCCTAGGCTAACTGCAGCCCATCAAGTGTCACTCAAGGCTCACCACCCTCTCCCACAGGGAAAGATCTATCGATCATTAATAATAACCTTACAGCGTCCCCGCCTGTCGTGCTTCCATCACATAATATCATGTTCCACCAGCACCAAGGCCGCGTACATCGACACATACATAAGTAGGGTTGAAAACCTCACCGGCAATACCAAACCAGGATGCCTACCCAGTCACCGCCACTCTCCAGCCAGCCTCCAGATCGTGAGAGTACCACCTTGACTTGTCGCCACCTCATAATGGGCTAAGTGAGCACAACATATGTGCTCACTTAGCCCCCATTTTCAACGTTGGTTTCAATGTACTCTATCTGCAATATATGTAGCACCTGCTACATGTAGAATAGTATGGTGTGAGGTAAGTGCGAGGTGAGGTGGGCCATCCAAGTCCAGGGAGCCTCCGATGCCCTTCCCCCCCGCGACCCGCCAATGATCATCCTCCCGGTGTCTGTCATAACACCCCGGAGCTAGCTAGCCACCAGCACAGCGAATTCACACCGCAGAAAAAAAACATTGGCGCTGACAAAACCTCCAGATCAGATCGTATCATATCGGCATCTTTACCATCACTCCCGTCGGCGATATCTTTCCTTCGCAGGGCCTCAACCACCCATTCCCGAGACATTACGCGTTGCGATGCGGTACGATGCGTCAAGGAAAAGCAAAGGAAAAAAAGAAACAAGGATCGGGAGTCTTCGCAACACGTTCTCGTCCTCGTGGCAGCCACCAGCCAGCCCTGGAAGCAAAAAAGCAAAAAAGCAAAAAGCAATAATAAGGCAACACTGGAAACAAAACCCGCCGCGCACGGAGAACCAGGGACGGAGGTTTGTGAGACAATCTCATCATGCCAATAATATGCCAATCTGCTAGTAAGTGTGCGACACGATGCGACACGATTTCCGAATCCCGCGTGCCCTGCCCCTGGTTTGCTGGCTTCTAGAAGGGCGGGTTTCGAAGGGCTGAGTAATAAAGTACTGTCCAAGAAGAGAGATCTTCCCGACGCTCTGAAGACGCTCTTGTTATTATTAGAGGTTTCTTGGTTTCAACGGTTTGGATATGCCTATTACGAGGTATACCTCCGTACGGAGTAGGAGCTAGTGATCGGAGGGGGAGAAACCGGTATACTACTGATAGGAAGATGAATAATGTCTCTTTCGTTCTTTTCTGCCATATGAACGAAGGGCGGGATTAGAGTACCCGGCCCGGCCGGGGGCAGTTCTTCCATATTGTAATAACTCGGCATCTGATTATGACCGCGGCGGGTGAGCAACGCACATACATGTAACAAAGGTAGAGTAGGGTTAGTAATGGTTTTTACTTTATTTTCGTTTGCTTTGCTTTTCTTATCTTACCTCACCGTGCAGAAGTGCCCCGGGTGAGAGGGTTGGTTGACCATGGACCAGGTTTTGGAAATTAATATATAGTACTAAGTAGCACTATGGTCATATGTATGTGTGTGGTGGCGACCGTTTATTATTCTGAGCTCGGGAATTGGAAGATTCTTGGGAGATGACGTGGGTTTCGAAAAAAAATAAAAGGGGTCTAAAATTATCCCGTCTCCGTACTGTAGTACCTATTTTAGAAAAGTACATTTTTCTATTTCAAATTGACCCAATCTCCTGGTCGGCCCAACCAGCCATGATGGTGGTGGTGGTGGCGTACGGAGAAGAGCGTTAGGTGTTGGGTGGTTAGGTTGGGCTGGGTTGGCGTGGCTGAACCCGCACCGCACCGTACCGTGTGCTGGAAGGTATTTCTGGAAGCAGGCTTCCGACTAAACTCTCTCGCGAAACATGGAGTTCTCCGGGTGTTCTCCGTGTTTTTCTAATGACTAATGATGATTTATTTCGGAGATTTAATATTATCATGCAACCAGTGATGTCTGGGATGGGGCTCGTGTGTTTCTTTTGTTTTCAAGTGTCTCGAGCGGAGCGGGGATAGACTCCCTGCCTATCAGAAACTGGGGATTTGTCGTGGAGGCCTTGGGGGCCATCGGTCGAGAGCAAAAAGCAAGGCGCCGCAGATATACTCATCCTGGACCCGGGTGACGGGGTGGTGGAACACATGATATTGCGCAGGACATATTTTGAAGATTGGGTTGGTTGGGTCTGTTGAGGAACTGTTGGATTGTTGGAATTGTTGGACTTCGTTGGGAGAAAGATATCGGGATCATGTGTGTTTTACCGCCTGGATTTCTTACCTCCAGCCCACCTTACCTCCCTACAGCGAGAGCCAGACGACTCACTGGGCCATGGGCATCCCGCGATATCCTTCTGCTACGCTGCTACACTGCGCTGCATTGCACCGCACAGTTGAAAGCCGCCTCATCTCACACCGCATCATGACCTCCTCGGTCGTATCATGAGCAAATGATGTATCGTGTGGGTTGGGTTGCGAGACTTGAGACAGTGAGCGCACCACTTCTGGAAGCAGACATCTGAAACGCCATGACTCGCCACGCCCTGCTCAGGCGCCGGGGGGGCCCCCTGGCCTACGGGCGTTGGGCATCCCTGGCTGCCACGAGCAAGCGACGATCGCGGGTTGTGCTGGTGGCTTTTCTGGCTCCGCTTCCTCCGACTGCGTCGTAGCCTAATTACGACCTGCGGACGGCGTACCACGGTACCCTCCATACTGCCCCAACTGCCACTGCCGCTGCCACGCTGCCACGCTGCTCCATCTCAAGGCCACGCTTCCACGAGCGGTGCCTGCGTTTTGGGGCGGGGCGGGGCGTGTGGTTGGTGGGCAGTGGGGCTGCTGCTACAGTACAGTACCTGCCACATTCTGCCTGCCACAGCGTACTGCTGTGCTAACTGCTGTACTATTCAGGACCCGTATCTAATATACACCACCACTACTCTGTAGTAAGTATGTACTACTAGCACAAGGTCTTACCGTCACCACGAGCTGTCTACTCCGTACTCGTACGCAGAGCTCACCGTTTCCGGAGCAGATTCCCTCCTGCCCAGGCCCGGCCAGCGCCCCGGTCTCGGCCTAGCGCAGCATTCTAGCTCTTTGTGTGCTGTGACTAGTGCTGCAGCCGTGCTGGGTGCTGGCCAATCAGCGGGCGGCTGCTGCTCCTGCCACCTGCCTGCCACCTGCCCACCGGTCACAGGGATGCTACATGCAGCATTATGGCCGCTTTCAGGTGTGCGTGCTCTGTACATGTGCTGCTCTGTACAGGCTTCAGTCTATACAGTACCTCATTACCCCATACACTCACTGACTGCTGCTAAGTACTGTACTGTACTGTACTGTACTGTACGGAGGTACACTACTGCAGTCTGTACTTTCCTGCCCCTCCCCGTACGCTGTAGCCGGTAGCCTGTAGCCTGCCTGGCTACCACGTACATACAGCAACTGTACTGTAACTGTCAATAATAATATTTGCAAGTGCGTGCAGAGGACAGAGTACAGTAGTAGTAGTAGTAGTAGTATTACCTACGCACGTAGCACCTAGCACCTAGCACCTAGCACCTAGCAGTGTAGCACCCGCACCCATAGTATCTCGTCCTTGGTACCGTGCTGTACTGTACTGTACTGTCCTATACTATAACTGTATTATGTTCTACAGCTTCTGCACGCTTCGTGCCCAGCGCGTGTGCGTGTGCGTGTGCGTGTGCGGCGTGCAGGCTGCATTTGCAATTCCACTTTGCTCCGTAAGTAAGGTATATCATTCTTCCTCTATTACTCTCACTACTAAAGTACGTAGTCTGCCCATGCCACTTTGTGATCTTTGCTCTGCTCTGCTCTGCTTCCTTCTCGCCGACCCCGATACACACCGACACCTTTTTGATATAGCCTCTGCGTTCTGTGCCCTCGTTGCCCGCCTCTCCCTCTCCCTCGCCGTCTCCGCCTCGCCTGTTACACGCCCGCCCTTCCGCCCTCGGTCTCTAAACGGACTCCGCCTCTTCCCTCCACACCCTCTACTCCCCCCTACGTGGCCCTCGCTGCCCCCCTCCCACCTCTTTCCAACCCCCTCCGCCCTCTCATCGCCATCATCTAGAG